ATGGATAGTAATTAGTAGGATGGCAAAAGTAATAAATATATGGTGGATAATAATGTCAACTTATGTTATTTAATCACCATATTAGATTACGGACAAAATGAAAATATTAGTTTGGTGTTCGGCTGATGAAATCACCCGGTATCACCCGGATTCTCTACATGATGACTCACGAGGATGCTTTCTGCTCTACAGATCATAGGTTCGAAACCCGGTATAGGCATTTATTTGTCGGGTGTGCATTAATATTTATTACCGAGCCATGGACGTTGAAATACTTATATACAGGGTGTAAAAAAAACCTTTAACGAAGTCGAAGGCCACGTATTTTCCACATCATGACGATAATTTTTTTCTTCTGGACCATACCTGGGAAATTTATGGTTATGGAGATATTGAAGGTCAAAGTCACAATTTTTTTTTTCAAGATTTTTACAAAAACTTTATTTAGTAACTTTTTTATCGACGCAGTGCAGACACAGGCACTTTGTTTGTGTAGCGCCACAGTAGCGCGCCACGCTATACATTGGGTATAGCGTACAGATACCTATTTTTATTAGTGTAGTGAGTGACACCTCCCCCCCCCCCCCCCCAAATTTCAGGCTGCGACCGCACCCGGTGATTGGTTGAGGACACTAAGTTGAGTGATGTACCTATTTTCATACCGATTTTTAATAGTACATTATGATATAAGTGCGGTAAGTTGAGAATTACAGCCGAGGCGATATTGTTGGCCCGAGCCGTAAGTGAGGCCTATAAGAAGGCAGAGGCTGTAATTATCAAACCGCACGTATGTCATACGACGTTTTATAACACATTTGCGAGGAAATAATACTTACCTACGTACGTACTTTCTGAAAATGAATTTGCACCTTTGTTTGTTTTCCATGAGATGAAATTTTGATACACTTGACTGTAAGTATCTATCCGTGGATTTTTCGGGCAGGCTTAGCGTAGCCTTTTTCGACTTCTGGCGGTGTCAAATTAATAAATTCGTTACTACTTGACAATATTTTCAATTAAAAACAATAAAGCGAAAAGAAAAAGAAATAACTTTTCCACAGATCAGCTATGCGCGCACAGCAACGCTTTTTTAGGCAAAGGAACAAAATACAGTCAGTGTTACTAATAAAGTAAATTAATGTTTTTGTGAATTTGTTACAGATACATGGTTGTTATTTATTGTCAAAATGAATCAAATTAAAGAATTAAATGTTTATATATTATATTTTATCTCCCAAAGTTAATTTTATTAAGAAAATGTTGGCTACCTTTCTGACATAAAAACTCTTTGCTAAGATTTAAAAAAGTATCGTTCGTTTTTAGACGGAACATAATAAGCCGTGCGTTTTACTTTACATTACCGCACGCGTATGTAATGTGATAGATTATGATATTGAAATTGGTTCAATAAAAGACGCTTTACGAGCAAATGTGTTATAAAGTATTTTATCCTTTGCCAAAACCATCGCAGAAATTACAAGTGTGCCGTACAGAACCAACATCTTCACGCTCTCAGCGCCTGTCGTTTTGCGCCTTTTATAATTGTTCTGTAAATTCCTGCTTGTGTTACAAACAAGCTTCCATCTCGCTCCCCCCTCTGCCCCACTCACTCTCGCCGCCATCCACGTGCCTCAGCCAAGAGGTTATGTAAATTGTTTAACGAACGATGCCGTTACGGCCCTCGACGGCGCACTTAAAGCATTAACATTTTAAAGCGTTATTTGTGCTAAGCACACAATTACTTGTACATTTAAACTGATTACGGAGCTCGTTTAAAAGAGGATTCACATTAAATATTCTAATTAGTAGTTCGCTCCGCGCGCGCCGCTCTGTGTCGTGTCGTCTTTGGTACGATGCTTGCCTTGCCTTAGTTTATGTTTACTCTTGTGTCTTATGTTCGGCGGCGTCGCCGGCTCCCATAATTCGTTACGCCCACGGGCTTTGTTACCACTCTGTCAACAACGCCTTTTCTTTGCGTTTGTTTTTATTCGCACACTTGTTTGGAAAGCTCTATGTGCAAGCGATATTTTACGATGTGAACATCGGTTGAAGTTTAGAGATTATTATTTATTACAAGTTAACTAACGTTATCTAAATGTTGTTAACACTTCCTCTGCCATTAAATATAGGTACCTGCTGCCTCAATTTCACCCGGCTGGTCTTAGCCCTACATTCCGATCCCGTGGGAACTGTGATAACATTCCCGAAACAGGAATACCAATACTGGGATAAAACATTAATCAGGAAAATCACATAAACGACAAAAAAGGACTGATGTGTGTGAGTATAATACGTTCCTACACGAAAAATAGGCCAAATTCCAATTCTTCAAATTATCCCAAGACAGGTTTACATGTAGTACCGTTTGGACAAGGAGCCTAGTATAATTATGATACTTAAACTAACTTCACATCGATAAGTTCCAACAAGTTTTCTAATATATTTATTACATTGCAATTACAAGCAATGATCTGTTCAGTAAATTCCTTAGGAACAACCAAAATCTTTTTGTTTTCACTGGGTTGTCAACTGGGTTCGATGACACTCGAGTTAACGCGCTATTAAGCGTTGTCTTATCACTGAAATTCGTAAATACATATGCCCTTCGAGCAGACAGCCGAGTAGAAGCTCAGGCCCGCATGAGCTGTTTTCACGTGTGTTGATCTCACAATTTAAACATTCATCCGTATGAAGCAAAGCGGTGGAAATTAGGGTATCCATACTCCGATGAGCGGGATTCGCCATAGAGTTAATACTTTAAGTAGAAAACCAACATTTAAAAACTGGAAGCATAATACAACTGTATGGAATCGTCCATATTTTTCCCTACCGCCAGTAGAGAACTTTTTAGCTGTGTAGAAAAAATGGCGAAGAAAAATTCACAGCGTCAAATTATGTTCTTAAAAATATTTACAAAATAACGTCATCTTTTATCTATAATCATGATAAAGTCATAATTATAGAAGCAGCCTGTTGGAAGGTTTGGAACAGTTTTTACCCGATATTGATATCCTCAATACTGTTTGGAGACTATCTATTCTATTTTAAAATGCACCAATTTGATATTAACAGAACATTCAGATAGTTACCTAGTGGTAAGTGCAACATTTGTAAAGAGATTATACTAAGGTATTTCTTGAGCTACTACAACAATTTTAACGACTTGTTTAAACTCATAACAATAATCTTGCATTATAGTTACAAACTGTAACTTAGAATATCTGTATACATCACAGTTTACTAGTTGCACGTTTGTAGATGGGTGATAATGATAACTAAATGTAAAGATTGTTTTAATGTAAACTAAAAACATCTTTGTTTGTTAAGTGAAACTTTAAAGTGTTTTACATCGCCTAGATTTTTTTCGGATCGCAGGCGTTTAACTCATAATTTCCGGAAATTTTTCGAAGTTGATGTTTGTTTTTCATGTTGATGATATTACATCGGCTTACAAAAAATTTCTTTCTCAGCTAGGAACGAACACGGGTCACTTACGTGGCAGGCGAGCTCTCTACCACTGAACCACCGATGCTTGTTAATAAGGTCTGAAACAGGTCTGAAATTTTCAATAATAATGTTTAAAATGTAATGCGCCTTGCTAATGATGACCAAAAAAGTGGCGATGTAAAAACAGTGGTGTCGTACTTACTTTAAAACCCATCCGCACTCTTCCATCAGTAAGTAGGTCTATGGTTTTTACACGAGATCTGCCGCCATTTTGATGCTAATCTCCACACTCTCAGGGCGTGCCGATTTTGCGGGCATGAAATATTTGCAACAGACGGCTCGGCCCGGCACCTTTTCAATTTCACCCGGCTCGCGCCCGCAGGGATTCGACTCCTGTTTTGTGTGCGTGAAAATGTCACGCTCGCGATAGGATTTCGATTCTCAAAGTTGTACCTGTGACAAGCGAATAGGTTTTTTTTTAACAGAATGGGTGCAAGCGGGCCTCGTATTTAAAATGGATTGCTGTCGTGCATTCTTAAAAGTTTTTTTTTACATTTGTAGCCCTAAACCTTTTGCTCTTTACTTTTCGAATGTATGTAGTGTATGCTCAACCACATCTGTTTCGTTTTTTGAAAATTTAAAATTGGCAAGGTACTTATGCTTGAAATGAATTGCCCTCGTGCATTCTTAAAAATATATTTATTTTTAGTTTTTGCTCTTTTCGAACATCACAGTTGTTCGTAGTTTGAAATTTTAAAATTTGCCAGAGTAATCGACGTTTTGTATGCGCGTTCGTTGGCGAAAACTCTTTACGGCCGACGTGGCGGGCGACGGGTTGCAGTCGTAAATTCGCAGTTAACCCCAGGCGAGGCGGGCACTACATATTTCAGGATCATACGAGGGATCCCTGTCACCGGATGTTTGGTGGCACAATGCATCCGCAGTACTCCCGGTGGCCGATGCAAATAAGATATAAGGCCGGTGAATACGAACGAGATGGTTTGTTTTGGCTTTATGTGAATGTTAGGAGAGGACATGCCAACTAAAGTCTAAATATTTTACGATCAAGATTACACTTTTATAGTAATTAAACAGAACACTAATAATGACGAAGACTTTAGAACTTCTTAGTTTATATCTAGTACTAACGAATATTCCTAAACCATGAGTCTCGTAGATTATCATACCTTTTTTACGTTTTAAATAGGAAATAACGCCGCTAGTGAAATCTACAGTGCTTTTATTAATATTATTTGTTATATTGTTAATATTATACCCAACAATTAGTTGGCAATGAGAATTACCAAAACAGTATTGAAATTCTAGTTAAATATATTATAAAACGATAATTACGACCAATGTATATTTCTCTATTTAATAAAAGCGCTGTAGATTTCGCTAATAAAAATGCAGCTGTAATTTCACACAATGGAAGGCCGATTGTAGATCGATAAAGAACTTTAAGTAATAGTTTATGACACTGGGACACCTCAATCGATCGTTTCATTAGTTGATTACCTATTATTTAAACATCAATTTCATTTTGTCCGCAGAACGCAAGCTATTTGTTGGCATGCTGAACAAGAAGTTGTCTGAGAACGACGTGCGATCACTGTTCGCGGGTCACGGCGCCATCGAGGAGTGCACGGTGCTGAGGGACGCGCAGGGCCAGAGCAAGGGGTGCGCGTTCGTCACCTTCGTCTCTAAGCAAGCGGCCATTGCGGCGATCAAGGTATCATCAAGGTCTTTCTCTATCAGCTTACGGCCAGTTTTATTAATCAATCGCCATCTAGAGATAGGTCGTGGGCCACGACGCCATCGAAGTGTACGGTTCCGAGGGACGCACAGGGCCAGAGCAAGGGGTGCACGTTCGTCACCTTCGTCTCCAAGCAAGCGGCCATTGCGGCGATCAAGGTATCATCAAGATCTTTCTCTATCAGCTTACGGCCAGTTTTATTAATCAATCGCCATCAAAAGATAGGTCGTGGCCCACGGCGCCATCGAAGTGCACAGTGCTGAGGGACGCGCAGGGCCAGAGCAAGGGGTGCACGTTCGTCACCGTCGTCTCCAAGCAAGCAGCCATTGCGGCGATCAAGGTATCATCAAGGTCTTTCTCTATCAGCTTACGGCCAGTTTTATTAATCAATCGCCATCTAGAGATAGGTCGTGGGCCACGACGCCATCGAAGTGTACGGTTCCGAGGGACGCACAGGGCCAGAGCAAGGGGTGCACGTTCGTCACCTTCGTCTCCAAGCAAGCGGCCATTGCGGCGATCAAGGTATCATCAAGATCTTTCTCTATCAGCTTACGGCCAGTTTTATTAATCAATCGCCATCAAAAGATAGGTCGTGGCCCACGGCGCCATCGAAGTGCACGGTGCTGAGGGACGTTCGTCACCGTCGTCATCACAAGGGATCGTTATCATCTCTATCGGCATGGCAGTAAGCCAGTCTCAATTACTAATCAATGAAATCATATCAAGAGATAGGTCTTTGTTATTATCATAACCTTTACCACACCAAATTAGGCAAGTGACACCAGACGATGACAAGACAAGGCAAATATGCAGTCTATATATATATATGGTATTGGCCTTTGCTTAATCAGTATGTATAGGCGGCTTTAAAGCAGTGACACTAACTCACGTAACACAGATATTCCATGACCATAATACAAGATTCTGTCGTGGATAATAATAGTCCATTTCAATGAAGCGTTAACTCAATTTGACGTAGCACTTTAACCACAAATGGGACGATACCGGACGCACTGCCCCCAGACAGTGCTTACCACAGCACATGACAGTTACAGGCGCATCTCGTTCGATCTATACAAGACAAGAATTGAGTGATGACGTTGTCTAAACACCCATGATGAATATGAGCTGTGGAAACGTTTGGAAAGGAGCTCCTTTGTCAAAGTCAAACTTTGTTTGGGAAAATTGCAAATGTTTTAAATCATCAAACAGATATCACTTAGTAATTTACTATTAAGATGTGCAGACACATTTCTTTAAGCATATTATTGTCACACATTCATTATTAAGTACGTCCTTTCCAAAACCAGATTTAAAAAACCAGGATCATACGTCTGTATAATGTCGACATTTAATTATAATTACGTTATTGCAAGTAGACGTAATTATATCTACATTCACGTCTTTGCACCGAAGAAAAATATTTAAACGTTGATTTTTCCAACGTATTTCAGGCGCTACACCATAGTCAAACAATGGAGGGCTGCTCCGCCCCCCTAGTAGTGAAATTCGCGGACACTCAGAAGGAAAAGGAGCAGAAGAAACTGCAAGCGATGCAGGCGAGCCTCTGGGGTCTGACCACGCCGGTGGCGCCCGCGACGGCCTACCTCGCGTCCGAGGCGGCGCTGTCGCCGGCGACACAGCTGCAACTGCTGCAGCAGCTGCAGGCGGTGGGCCTGCAGCAGCAGCTCTTGCAGGGGCAGGGATCGACGCTCCTACAAGGTATTGTGTTCTCATTTACCATCTATTGTAGTGGTCTGTAATATAAGTCTCATAAGGGATTGAAACTTGGGCGCCAGTTGTTATCAGCTCTTCCAAGGACATGGCTCGACGCTCCTGCAAGGTATTGCATTCTCAACTACAATATTTTTTAGTACTGTGTAATGTAAGCCTAATAAAGGATTGAAACTTGGAGAAAGTAAATTGTCGCCCAACGTAGTTTATTATTTTACATAAATTTTCGTTTAACGTAAAATTTTAAGAGAAATGTCCGCTTGATATTCGCTATTTAGTCTAGGAATAAGACTCTAGCTTAAAGAAGACTGCAGCAAAGTAACTACTATTTGTAGTATTATTATTTTCGCAGTGACAGCTTGAAGGTGCTATTGATAACTGCTCGAGCAGTCCGTGTACGTGTGTACGTAGCAGACTGTAGTTCACTATTCAGTCGCAGCTTGAAGCAGTCCATCCCGACTTCTTCAATAATATCTTCCGCTATGATATTTTCTTTCTTTATTGTTTTTAAATGATTTGAAGTGTTAGTTTTACTATCAGTTTTTTTATACGTAACTATTTATAATTTTGTTTTGTTTCTTCTTATTTTGGATCTTTCCATTTCTCTCTCCACGGCGGATGTACCAGGACATCGTTTTCTATGGCGCAGGGCTGTCGAGCGGCGCTACGGATCAGCTCGGGGGTACGCTGGCGCCGGTTTTGGACTTGGATTTCTTTTGTTATTTTCTTTTATTCTTGCAATGATTGGTTTTACTATCACTTTACCTTTATTTTTTATGTTTACGTTCTTTTTCTCACTCCACAGCAGGTGTTAACCACCCGTATATCGGTTTCAATGTCGCAGGGCTTTCTAGCAACGCGACAGACCAGCTCGCGCTGGCGCCGGTGTCGAGCTTAGATATCTTTCGTTATTTTATTTCTTATCTCTTATTCTTTGTTAATTTGTAAGTATTTATGATTTTGTTTGCTTTATTTTTATTTTGGATTCATATTTCCTCCCTGACAGGTGTTAACTACCAGGATATCGGTTTCAATGGTGCAGGGCTGTCTAGCGGCGCGACGGACCAGCTGGGCGGTCTGCTCGCACCGGTGTCTGTGCAGAACCTGGCGGCGCTCGCGGCGATTACCCAGCAGCCGCCGGTAGTAACGCAGCCGGCTACGATGGCGCCCGCCGCGCAACCGCAGCCCGCGCCGCAGTTGTGTGAGTAAACTTACCTCCTTGGATTTGTGTTGTTCTTTTGTTTTGCGTGTTAAGCTTCGTAGGCGCGGGACATAACAGAAAAGACGTACAGTGAGACTATTGTCTCTATGAATGTGAGTGACAGTTTAGAAATGGCGCCACTGGTGTCGATTATGGCATGATTCTCAAAACTTAAAACTTAATGCAACATCAGTGTTTCCTTTTCATTTTGTATAGAGAATGACAAGGATACACTGTTGTCAAATTTAATTTTAGGCTTAGTGAATCATGCTAGGTTCGACACCGTTGTCTATGTAAATGACCGTACATACAAAATATGACGCTTAAAACACGACGGCGTTAGTTCCAATTTTAGCCACATTCATAAAAATCCTTGTCGCAATATAGGTGAGACACAGACGGAGCGCGGACATTGGTGTTAATTCTGGCAAGATTCTCTTAACCTAAAATTAAATTTCACCACAGTGTATCCTTGTCATTCTCTATATAGAATGAAAAGAATATACTGATGTTAAATTTAGTTTTAAGTTTAGAAAATTATGCCGGAATCGACACTATTTTCAGTTTCATACAAAACCAAAAAGCGTCGTGTCCACGCCCTGTCTTTTCTTTAAGTTTTGCGACGCGACCCTTCTATACATTTCGTAGAAGAGACATCTTACATCATTTCTGTGTGTCCCGTGCCCATAGGACTAAAGAAACTTTTTTCTGGTTAAAACTTTCTTTAGACCTCCTTTCTTTGAGAAATAAAGGTTAAGATTTTGAACACCATTACGTTGTTTAGTTTGCACTTTGTAAGACGACCGCACTCAGAGACTCGATCAATGTTTAACGTTTTCACTAAGCCAGATTTCTTATGAGAGTTAATCTATCAGTATCACGCTAAGAAAGTGACAACGAAAATTTAATCAAACCATAAAACTCGTTTTTTTCTATATTTTTCATTTCAAGTTGGAAATGGAAAAGTCTTTACGTCTCTGATTGCGGCCGTAAAACGAGTTATTAATCGCATTCATGCGTTAATATCTTCTCTCTGAAGAAATAATTTAATTTTTACATGATTCCTACTTGACGTTACGGTGCCCCATCATTGCAAAAATACTATTTTTTTTTAAATAGATTTTATAGCCCGCTTAAGAATGTGTATTAAATGTTTGGTCTACATAGAAAACAACCAAATTAAATGATCATTAAAGTAGGTACGATGATTATTTTCATCCTATTCACAAATCTTGATAAGTTGTGGTTACGGTGTAGTAAAGGGGGTGTAAGACTTGGAAACTTCATAATAATATGTATTCGATTAAGTTAGAACTGTGACTTAAATAAGCCCGGCTCGAGAGAGCGAAGCGAGCGTTCCGCCGCAGTGGTCCGCGCAGCGACCAGAAAACAGCATAGTTCGAGTGTATTTTCATTCACCCCCTTTACAACACTTAGACCAAAGCTGAAAATAGGTGGGTAATTTTTTAGGTTTCAAAATGTTGTAGTCATATTATCGTTAGTTTGACTTAGGTAAACAACTATATGTAAGTTTGGTATTCTTAGATAATATTGACTACCTACCGAATTTGGTTCAATTCAGTTTAAAACGGATGAAAAGTGTGGGTAATTAGTTACAAGTATTAAAATATAAATATTTATGATATAAGGTGAAGCAAAGTTATAGAATAAACTGCTATGGTAGGAAGCTAATTTTCAAAGACAATTTCTGTCACCTCTTCCTGATGTATTCATATATGTGACGTTCCGATTCAAGGTTGTAAGGTGTCTTTTAGTAAATTTATAATTAGAATCTTTTAGTGAATTGGTTTGAAACGAAATATTTTCAAACCAATCACGCAATATAAGTTTAGAAACAAATAAGCTTAAGATCAAATTAATAGTAAACGACGATCCGATACCAACCGAACTTAAGATGAAGCCAATTCACTGGCGCGATAAAAGGAAAGAGTCATAGAGAAAATCTCCAGGAGGCCACAAACAATGGCTGCCTGTACAAATGGCCGGCGTCACTCGCTGCAAGCAAGGCTCGCACAAACGGAGCCACCCGGACGCGCGCTCGCCGCCTGAATCGGAACGTCCTCATTACGTATCATGAAAAGGATCGTCCGGGATAAAACTGCCATCCTTAATTGTCATTTCTTTTTGCTCTATTAACGACCGTCCTTTACCCAAATTCGTCCGCTGCAAGACAATTAAGCTCAATAAATTCTGCTGTAATTGCTCGCCCTGTCCAAATCTCTAATTGGAGTGTAGCACATCCACTACATAAGTTAAGCCATGGAAAATTGTAACGACCCGTTTTGTCCGCAAACTTTCCTATTTCAGGTTGGACTTTATATTGAGAAAAGTTAAAAAAAAATACACAAAAACCGTTAATTAACGATGAACATTTTTCACACTTCAGGTCTTCTCGGGAAGACTAACATCACAGGTAAAATTGCAATGAAACCGAAAGTGTGTGTTACTTATAATGGAATGACTTATTTGGCTTTTGAAATTAATTTGTGTTAAATGAAGCAGACCTTTGTATCTAATGTCCGATAAGGAGATTTGGGTTATTTTATGAACTTCGCATTTTCACTTTTAAAGTAACAACCATGACATGTCAGTTTAATGGTATAAACATGCCATGATTATACTGCTGTCCCATCAAAGAACTACTGCAATATTTCTTGACACGTAGCGAGGGACAATACGCAGGGACAACGAAGAAGGCTGACAACTTTCCATATAAAAACAGACAAGACCGACCATTGTCTTTGGTCGCCGGAAATTAAAAATGGCGACTCACGCGCCAAGACGCGAAACGCAACAAACTCTGAATAGCAATGAGAATCGAAGTCTGCCTCGTTTAATACATGTATGTAGGTCCGGCTTGGTTTGATTTCTATGTTGGCATCCAGTATTGAAACGCCTGCATCGCTTGAATGTGTATAGGCTTTTTAATCATCTCGATCGACAATATGGCGGTCTTATTACATAGGAATAATTATCGTAGATTCGGGGTGGACGTTTGTTTATTTTCTGTTACCGTTTATCGTTTTGATATTATCGTCCGCAGGTTGCTTATCGTTTTTTCTTGTCTGTGGATCTAATAATATTACAAAATATTGTTTTAAATGTATTTCTCAGTCGATATTTTAACTAACTACTAGAATATTTACAATGACTATGTTACTCGTAATATCGACTCTGAATATATTGTACAGTTGTAAACTGCTCATCTTTTCTTGTAATCTACTAATAAACTCTATTTCTTCTTACTATTTACACTTCGTTTCCTGTTACTTCATATACCTAAATTGTTAAAGTTTCAAAAGCATATTGTAAGTATAAATCAGGACGGGCAGTTTACTTTTTCTTTTCAAGTTTGTCAATGTTCCAATGTTAATTTGAATTTGTAAATTTCGTAAGAGCGTCCGTAGTAACGCGTAAGTCCCTTTTCTACCCAGACATAACGCAATCTTCATCCTTTTTACGTTTGTAGAATAAAACATTAACCAGTGTTGCAATATTACAAGCTTTCTCTCCTTTGCCTTCACGATATATTACGATGTACAGACAAATACGTGTAAAGCCTTAACTCCCTACAACAGAAGCTTGATAATTGCGACACGACATTCTTTCCTTTCGTGTTTTATTAACATTTGGTTAATTGTTTTTGCATGACAGTGCTAAAATAAGTGAAATTTATTGTTGTTTTATGATACTCGTTCGTGTGTATGTTTTGTCGAGAATGTTAACTTGATATCTAACATTTTGCGAATACAATTTATTTGTTTTACTTTTATGTTTTCGATACTTTCAGGTAGGTATTATGTGTAATTTTGTACCTACGTAATTAACTTACAGAAGTATTTGGTATTAGACAGATAAATTTGAATTTTAGTAACTTGTTTTGAAAGAAATCGTATTGATTGCTACTTTCAAAATTTACTTAATGGTTTACATGTGAAATTTAAAGACAAATATCTTATTTATGAACACTACTAAATGTAGCGTTACTTCTGTTGATAGGCAGGCCTACAATTTTTAAACTAAATTTTGCATAGTGTCTTTTAAAATTAATTTGGTGAGAGCAGTTAGCGTTTTAGGTAGAATAGATTAATTAATTATTGTTGCAAATAAATCTTATGGTATCTCCCTTTAATGTATCTCCTTTACTATCACCCTCGCGTACAATGGTCCACTTAAGGACTAAGAGCGGAAACCATATCCTTTATCATAGAACATTAGTATACGAATTAGAATACAACAATTCTAGATTTCACACAAATGAAAATAACTTCAATAGGTATATGCAATAGATGATAGAACATTTTTCTTATAAAGAACATCAGAGTATAAAATATACTCCCCAAGGCGCAAACATTTTTGAATGTTTGAATTCTTACAATATCCATAGTTAAACTTGAGAAAAGCTCGAATTGGAGTGTAATAAGAAACACTTCAGTTTCCAATTTCAGCCGTTAGACAAGAAAGATAGATTTCAGTTTCTCCATAATCGAGATTAATTTTGATCCATGCTTATTGAATGTCTCTCGCGTCCTATTATAAGCCAGATCGAAATCGTAAATAATGCCCACCCCTTGGGGTGTTTTCTATCCTCTGCGGATTAAGGTGTAAATTCCATCCGTAAGCCGAACAGAGTCTCGAGAGTTCATAATCGTACAAATTTCTCAACCGCACCCCAAGCAACGTGAAATAGAAAAGGCTCCTAACATAAAGTATCGATTCTATCATTCTTAGTTCTCGAAATAAAAAAAACTATTTTGAATTCGAACCTAACTACATTGGTATTTTCGTACTCTTCATACAACATACTGAAACTCATGTTCGGGAGCGCGTAGCGAGTAGTACAGCCTTTCGTGTCTTCTCTTCTTTCTACCTCGACAGCAAGACTGTTATTGAACCGTCCTCTCCGCTGTCTCACTTTCTCCACCCACATACCCTCCCTCCTCGTATGTTCATCCTATTTCGTTTATCAAATCTTGCTCATCACGCGATCACCAATTAAAATAAATAAGTCTCCTAAACGAGTAAAAACTAAAGGGTAAATAAATATTGATTGAACGCGACATTGGCATAGTTACTAAAGTCTAGAAAGATGCTAAATAGGGTACTCAAAAAAAGATATAATAACGCCTAGAAGCCTAGTACGCGCACGAAAAAGGAGCAAGTCAAAGTAAAGTAAAAGATATGACTTAGTTCTTTCCACGAGCTGTCAATGCTCCACGGCACGTCGTGTCGTGCAATGCTCGCGAAAATAAAATAAAAAATGATAGTTTTTACTATTTTAAAATAGTTCTTACACAGGAGGACAGACTAGGATATTCGTAAAAACGAAAGTTGCTAATGTCTAGAAAGATGATGAATAGCCTAGTATTCGCAAAAGCGACCTTAAAGCTAACACGATAAGGGTGTAGTTTGTCTGACGGGCTTGTGCGGTGTGCGCGCAGGGTCGACGCCGGAGCCGCTGGGGTCGGCGTACGCGGCGCAGTTCGGCGGTGGGTTCGCGGCGGCGCCGCTGGGCTCCGTGCTCGGCTCGGCCGCCGCCGCCGCCGCCGGGAAGCAGGTCGAAGGTAACATTCGCATCATACTACACCATACATTCGGTACATTTATGCCTCCCCGGTGCTATAGCACACCAGTTTCGTAAGCTACTGACACGCGTTTTCCTACCGTTATCACTAGTGAACCTTTATTTAGACCAACCATAATATTACAATACAGACGTACACAGGTCGAAAGTAAGAAACATCCCACTGTCAACGTCATCATCAACCGCCACTACAGTCAACATTACTCAATTTTTGTTTGAAATTGAATCCGCCAAAGTTGAGGCAAGCGAGGGGGTTAAGTTAAGCCGCGATTAGATGGGACACATCAATATGACGCCAAGGTTGGATAAATTTGGTGTCACGACGATTGGGAGCGTGTCAAGAGGTTTTGCAGGATTGCTGCATGACCTACCACGCCCGCCTAGTGGAGATTGAAGAGTTTTAACGACAACAGACGCAGCTGAGACCAATGGCGTAACGTGTCCCCCCGAAAACCTCGAGTTACCAAGGTCAAATTCGAACAATTCTCTGTTCAAAGCGTGATAGATACTTACAAATATTTTAAACTGATTATCTAAATGGCCGAGGAGCTCGAGGGCGCAAGTGGTTAGCGCGTTCGACTGCGATCGTTGAAGTTAAGCAACTTTCGCAGTGGTCGGTCATTGAATGGGTGACCAAAAAATTTACTATCTTGAGCTCCTCCGTGCTTTGGAAGGCACGTTAAGCCGTTGGTCCCAGTTACATCTGCAGTCGTTAGTTCCCGCCAATCCGCACTGGGCCCGCGTGGTGGGTCCCTATTCCATCCATAGGGAAGGCCTGTGCCCCAGCAGTGGGGACATTAATAGGCTGATGATGATGATGATCTAAATGACCAAGTGATTTGTATTTATTAAATGATTGTTTTAACATACCTACACAGGTCCTGAGGGCGGGAACCTGTTCATCTACCACTTGCCGCAGGAGTTCACTGACACGGATCTAGCGTCTACATTTCTGCCGTTCGGTCACGTGATATCCGCCAAAGTGTTCATAGACAAACAGACCAACCTGTCCAAGTGCTTCGGCTTCGTGTCGTACGACAACGCCGCGTCCGCTCAGGCCGCCATACAAGCCATGAACGGCTTCCAAATAGGTACAAAGAGACTCAAGGTTCAATTGAAACGCTCTAAAGAACTATCGAGACCATACTAGACACTATAGATTATATTCTATTCCAGAGCGCGTTCCTAGAGTGAATATATACGTTCTCCTTTTGAAATTTTAGTTGAAATGAAAAAAAACGGTTTGAATGAGAACTCTGCGTCGCGCGAGGTTGTAAGTTTCCGAACGTTTGTTGTGATGTATCCGGTGCACGCGTACTGTACCTATAATTAAAATATAGTTAAGTCGACGCGAGTGCACTGTTGTTAACTATAATAAGCATAAGTTTAAGGTTTGTGTCAAAGGATTTATCGTTTCCAAAGTATTCCCCAAATTGTTTATTATTATTATGATTACTATTACCTACTGTAACGATTATTTCTAAGTTTTAGTCATCTATAAGGATAAGTTGTATGCGTTTGAATATTACATTTTCGTGAACGCCAAAGAAGCGGTATATAGCGGAATAGTTTTAAACATTTTTATTCAGTCACTTTCATTTTGACCATTTTCGTTTCTATGAATATAAGCAATGTTTTAAAGGCGACGCTATTAATATAGATACGAGTTATACCAACCAGCATACCGCATAAGTATTGTTTAATAGTTTAATTTACTGTTACGTTCAAATAGAACAAGTTTATAATTATATTCTAGTGTAATATTATTTTTTGTTATAGACGTTTTCTTTATTTTGTGTTACCATAGTTGATTATGATTTAATCAGTAAAATGTGGCCATTGTCAGTTCAGTCTTAGTTTTTTTGTTTTGTTTAAAATTATTAAGATGTTAGAATAACGAAATGATCTCAACGTGATCAGTATATTTATTGTTCACCTTACTTGTTGTCAATAGTGTACTTAACGTTTTGAATATTGTTTTGTGACTATCTATTTCTCGTAAACTGGGTCGTGTGGATATCTCGAACGGAAATTTCTTTGTAAAAGGAGCTTGCTTATTTTTTTATTAATAAAGATTTAAGTATCTCTTTCATCATCTAATATGTGTTGAAACTGCTGTTTTCTTTTGACAAATTCTATAGAAATCTATAGATACAACCCGCTTTTTGAAGAAATACTTCAAGATATCTACACAACTTTTCTTCGTTCGTGCGTACTAAATAAAAAATGCTCGTTTTTGTACCATTTTATTACATTGCGTGTAGAATTTTAATTAAAAAGCAAATCAAATTAAATTTTCTCTCAATTATTGTAACACATCGAACACTGGTTGGCCCTTTAGTCAAAAAATTGTTTTAGTATTTAAGTATTTAATAAATAGAATTATTCACTATTTTCGTAAGTTCGTTCGGGTATATGTTTACCTACTTAAATAATTTTACTGATGTATTAAATAATATGTTCACGTACCTATACTTTTCTGTAGATTCTGGCACGTTATTTCACATGATTTTCCAGGTTGCTACGTAAATAAAAATCGTACCAAAGTGTCAAAGTATCGAAACTTTGATGATTTTACGCATAAAAGTGCTTTTTGGTTTAGTAATTAATATGATAGTGTTGACAAAAGGAAAATTGGTTGATTTGGTACGGTTTTTCTAGCGTACTAACCTCATAATGAAATATTACAAATGCTTTTTATACACGTCTTACAAATTAGATAGAAACATTTTTAAAAAGAATAAAAGTTTTAATTAAGTGTTTAAAAATAAAATACCCTATTCCTCGGATTCCTACTAAACGAAACGCTCAATATATAAGAAAGAAAAGAGATTGTTTTAAGGTTTAATAAATTCTTGGAAGTGTCTTTATATAAATGTACGTTGTTACAATGGGAAAAAATATGTAAAAAATCACTAAACGGTTATGTTCTATTATTGTGCCAATGGAGAACAGATATTAGACGTGTGATCAGTCTAATGTTTGTACTTCGACATTCTTTGGGTTGTCGCTTATCCGACAGATTATTAAAAAAAAAAGACCAAGCGTACATTTGAATATTGCGTACCTATAAGTTATTATTTACTTTATCTTTAAAAGAACTGATGTAGACATCATTATTACTATAAATTTAGTTGTGTATTGTATTCTATTTAAAAGCATTATACTTATTATCAAAATGGGTTTATCAAATATTCTTATTTTCTTAGTTTAATCATGTTTTATTTGTCTATAGAAAGACAAGGTTTAGACTGAATACGTTCCCGTAAAGATGTTATTCAATACTACCTACAAGTGATTCGATTTTGTCTTGTGATTACTTTATAGTATAATATGCGTTCTTGGTGCACCTCCCCGCGAGAACAGAATTTTGTCTTTATTTCCTTCGATGTAAGGTTGTAAATTATTATAAATGGATGGTATTGTTATAAACTATTTTGACATTGGGAATATAAGACGCTACCATCTAAATCCTAGACACTACTAAGAGGTTACCTGTTAAGGTGTGATCTAGATGTCAACGTAAATTAAGGCAATTTTTTACCTACATTTTCTAGGTATCTTAGATGAGAGAAACCTCGAAACCTCACGGTTGTTGTTGTGTTGATTGATGAGGTACCCGCGACTAGAGTTTTGCATTGTTGGTGGAACTCTTTACTGACCAGAGCTTACATTTGAAAGCCTACCATTTCGCTAGAATATTTAAGTTTTTCTTCATGCGCGATTTGTGAGTTTAAAAACAAACAAAAGCATTTTAATATTCGACATGAGATCGTATAGTCAGCGTCAAATTTATCTATATAGGCACTATCAAAATGTCCTTTTTGAAAGTAAGTAGGTACTTTAGTGCATCAACTTTAAGAGCAGTTTTAATTGTATTTGGGAAATGTTAGACCCTATCGGTCTCGCTACAAAAAAGTTTGACAATGTTTTCACCTTGTTTAGGCAAATTTTTTATGCGTTGAACGCATGACTTACTTTTTTGTGGTAATATGGTATATCTTCAATATTGTTGATCGAAGCCTTGTAATGAAGTAAATTTAACGCTGATTGTACGTACCTACTCATAAGGAGTAACTTTAAAGGCTTTAAATGCAAGAAAGTGAGACAAAACCAAACATAATGCAGATAGCAGCATCCCGCTCCAAATCTTTGGGCACAAATGAAAGGAAATTGATACAGAAATGCAGCTACATAGTAACGTAGGTACATAGACGTATGCGATTGGATCTCAGATATACTCGGGAGAATGTCGATGTACAGTTTTAAAAGATCTAATAAAGATGCAAATACTGAGTGTTCATATCCTTAAGGTTCTCATTCACCGAGAGTATTCGCCTATGTATAACGTAACATTTTAGAATAGATTTTGAGCATTACATTAGGTACAATACTGCCTTCCTAACTGACGGATCTTTCGCCTGTATGCTACAGAAATTCAATTTTCGTCCGTGACAGGACACAGCCGAAAAATAAATAAATGCTCATCGATGTTACAAGTTGACTTTTGAATTACAGATTGTGTCATTACAGTTTGCGAACTGTATTATTTAAGTTGCTTGTACTTGCATCTCTATTAGAAATGAGTAATCAACTCCCAATACAATATAAGATCGATGTTCGCATACATGTGCGTTTATGTTTGTGCCATTTGCTCGTTTCAATGAAGCTGTGCTTCTGTATTTGTATTATTCTTCGGGATCCTGTTGTGAGTTTGTGATGCCACCATGATAAAAATACTGAAAGCCTCTTATTAAAAGTATTTTTAAGTAAGTTAAGTACCAAATCAAATATATGTCATTGTCAGTTCCAGTTTTCAAATCTGGTTTACTTGTCTTAAATATGCGACTATGATTCCTAAAGTTGTTTCATTTCATACTTTTACAGTTTTTGAAGTATTGGCCAGCAATATAGCAAAAATAAATGATAAAATAAATAAATCGCGAAAAAGGCTTGGCATCTTCGGTTGAAACAAAATTACAGGTGAATATGTATTATAAATAACAAAAACTTGGTCAATAGTTCACAGACTAGTAAAGCTTGATTGAAATTATTGCTTTAAAATGGCGGAACATGAGTTACGGTACCTACAAACCATCATATCTTAAATTATGTGAAAGCAAATTTATTTTTACACAAATTCGAGGCACCCCTATTTAGTAGGTATAAAATTGGTATGAAGTAAATAAAAAGAACTGTTTTATACAACACCCGTTTTGTTGATATGTATGTAAATAAATGTCAAGTTAAAAAATGTGTGTTTCCTTTATATTAACATTTCACACTACAAGCAAAAGAAAAACAGTACATAGGTATGTATGTACCAATACCTACACACATCAAAAAAAGTTTGAGATCACTTGCAAAACATATACCTATTTTCAAAATTTAACTTAATCAAGAGAAAATGTTTACGTTAAATATCTTTTTTTATTTAAAAATACACTTTCTGAAATAAAAAATAAAACTAATTTTATTAATACTAATTACATTAATAATTCAATCCTAAGGCGATTGTAATAGAACTTTGATAGAAATAAAAAGATAGTTTAACCAAACTTAAAAACCTTTTATAAATAAATTGTTGTTTATTTAATACAATATAGGTAACTCCTCATCCTCCTGGACATGCTGAGGATCAACTTGTCCAGCAATTGTGGTTGTAACCTGTACCATTCTTGAACAGCAGCTTCCCTGAGCTGCGGCACTGTCTGAGGTGGTGGCTGCCGGTTCCAAACAGCTCGCTTAAGAGCATCCCACGCGTGCTCTATTGGGTTTAAGTCAGGAGAGCCGGCAGGGAGCCATTCGCCTAACGGAAATGCTTTGAAAAACGCTAACACTTACGATTTCATTTTGTTATTTCTAGCCACCTGAGGTTTTCAAATGCCTCGCGCTCTTTTTTTTCTTTTGCATTGGTAATAACAATATTAAAAAAATTGAGCGTGAGGTATTTAAAAACCTTCGGCGGTCAGAAATAACAAAATAAAATCGAAAGCGTTTTCCATAGCATTTCCGTTAAGCGAATGGCTCCCTGCCGGCTCTCCTGACTCGGAGAGCAGCATTGACTCATTGAGCTCGATGTGCGGGCGCATTATCGTCAACCAATACAAATTGGTGACCATGGTTTACTAGGAAAAGTCTGACGATTCCATCAATAGCGACTGTTTTGTATCTGTCTGCCGTCATGAAGCCTTGATAAGGGATTAAAGGCGTTCTAACCCCATAATACCACCCCAAAAGGACTCTGATTTCCCGACTTGCTGAATCGTTCCAGTGGCCGTTCTTTGCCTTTCAGAGTCTCCAGGTCTTCTCCAAAACACGGACACGTCGGTTATCTGGATGAGTACTGATTCGCAATTCGTCAACGAAGAGGCAGTTTTGCCAAATTTTTTCCTCTTCGTATTCTGCGTATGCCGGAGCCTAGCCCACTGTAATCTCCGTCGCTGACGTTCCCGTGAATTCAAAAGTGCTCGCCAAGATCTCCGTGCTCGTAATTGAGTCTTGTGTAAGCAATTCCGAATGGTCTGAGTGCTAACTTCAAGTCCGGAGGCGGCTCGTGTTTCTGCTTTTAATTTAGTGGCGTTTATTCTTGGGTCGTGGACTACCAGCAACCTGATCCTCATGGCATTTTTTAAATCACAACTTTCCATGAAAAAATATTTTAATGGATAACTTTTTATATGGATTGAATTGAATTATTTTATTGTTTAACGTTCGAATTCTATTTTTAAAATTAAGAATCTTAGCAGAAAAAGAAATTACAAAAAAGTCTTCCAAACACAAAAAACAATATTTTTCAAAGTGATCGCAAACTTTTTTTGATGTGTGTACGTATGGTAAGTAATGGAAAGGGTAGGGTTGACATCTACTAAAAATACAAAAGCCAGACTTAGCGCTCGCTTCAACGCAGTGGCCATTGAGCAACATACAAACAAATACACTTCAATCCTAATTCCGTTTCATTGAACACATTTTTTCTAAACTAAAATCTTTCATCTAAAACCCCTTCACTAAACGAAAAACTCCCATATACCATACTTTAAGTAACAGCAATAAGTATCTTCCTCTGCCTATGTCACTTTATTCCTTTCCTTATCTTTCTTCTTACCTCATCTAAATACTTCTCTGTTTTCCTCTCCGCTTTCTATGTCTATATTTTAAACAACTCTTTCACCCCTGGCAGTATCCCTAGCAGCCGAGGGTCGTCTAGACTAGTCCACGACGTCCAAAATAAAAAACAAACCTAGCTTACACAGCTTTATATAAAATGACGAACGGATTTTATAATTTTCGTCGAATGAATTACGGGCAGTGGGTTAGGTTAGGAAGCGCCAGCCATCTAGACAATACTTGCTATCTTCTTTTACACACATTGCAGACTGCACATTCGACATTGTAAACAACGATATTTAATACCTACCCATATACCCTAGATACACCAATATGAACAAAATCGTGGCCGAAACCTGTCCAAAAGGTACATTGGATGATCCACGGAGCTCCGTAAGATGATCGCGTAGTCAAAAACAATATAAGGCATTTTTCAAACATTGAAATTCACCTTTAATGCATACTGTATAAGGTCCTAATTAAAACGCATCGTCAAACAGTTATGACAGTTCGAAATGCAAGCTCGTAAAATTTTACGACTCATTGCTACATGCGGAAGAATATATACCTTATTTTTTTGATTCTACGCGCAATTCTGAATGCGCTGTTAGTAATATAGCAGGTACGGACCGCAAGGAAAAGAGACGGCTATATAACCGACCAAGTATTTGGATATCACAAAATATTTTTTATTAAATCAGTTTATAGTAAGTATTAGAATTTAGAAAAAAAATGTTACAAAAGCGTTAAATTAACAAATATTGATTAGATACCTGTCGTAAAAACCACACTTTACATACTAGAAGTATTTTTTCACATTTCTTCACGGAGCTCTGCGGCAAGTTGACTGTTCAACGGTTCGCGCGTGACTGTGAACCAAGAAGTGCTTGAGTGGTGTTCAAGCACTTTTTTGGGACACATTTTGAGTGCATTTGGTGTATCTAGGGTATTTAATATCGTTGATTGTTAAGAATACCTAGGTAACGTATAAAATGATACGAATAATATTTCACACATTGCGTTGACGTTTTTAGCATTCTATACATTGCTTAGATATCGGTATATAGAATGCCACATTATACCGATTGTCGGTTTTAAAAATATTAACTTAAAAATATTAAATTTTTAAGTTGTTTATAAATTCATAACTCGCAAACTATAAGAAATCGCGGAACATACATGGGGATGTTTCGGATTCTCCAAGGGGTGTTCTATCTCGGGACTACCGCTTGACACTATTTTTTGGAACAGCTGTATAATAGAAGCTCTAAATATAGACTTTGAGGATGAAAGGAATAAAACAAAAACAGAACGAATCACCAACAAACATTTATTTTTATCACAAATCATAATCAATCATTACCTATCTTTGGTAAATATTTCTCTTTCAGCTCACTATCGTCATCATCTTCCAGTTCCGTTTCAACCAACGCGTCTTGCTTCACGAGTACCGGTTTGGGAGATTTTATTAGACCGTTTTCATCGGCTAAAGGTAGTATGTCACATATTAGTGGGGACTCGACGCCTAATATGTAATGACAAGTTCTTGGTTCGAGCAAGTACAAAGAGACTTGTGCAGGACTCGAAGAGTTTTCGAAGCATTTCAACTTGACTTCGGTTTGACGAGGCTTGCCAGTTTTGTCGCAAATATCGCCGCCCGAGTAGAAATGGGAGACGGATGTGCGTTGCTCTGTGGTAAAGGAAATGTTTACAATAAATAAATAAATTATTGATATTATACAACATTTTTAAGATTTATTTTCATACCTACTTATGCTTTTTGGATTGTAACAATACTAGATACTACTTTCCAAATTAATAATAATAATAATAAATATTTCCAACACTCACACCAATTAGCCTAGCCTCAAAGTAAGCACTGTAGGCTTGTGTTATGGGATACTAGGGTAACGGAAAGATACATATACTGTACATATATAAGTATAATTATATAGAAATACATATTGAACATCCATGACTGGAGTACAAATGCTCGTATTCATCACACAAACATCTGCCCCCAACGGGATTCGAACCCGGGACCTCTCGCCACCATGAAACCCGGTGTTCAAAACTCTCGGCCACGGAGGTCGTCAATCAATCAAAATACTGTTCAATTCTTTAATCGTCATCAGCTTATTAGTGTCTTCGCTGCTGAGGCAAAAGCCTTCCCTATGGATGTAAAAGGGATCTGGGACGACCACGCGGGAATAGTACTGATTACTAGAGATAATACATTTTTAGTCACCCATCCTCTGACCGACCATTGCGAAAGTTGGTTAATTTCCACAAACCGAACGCGCCTACCACTTACACCGTCCAGTACCTCGCTTAATAATTAAGCTGAGTTCAATAATGCCAAGTTATATATTATAAAACTTTTTAACAAACAAGTCTAATCACCGAAAAGGAAAAAAGACAAATTAATATTTGGAGTCGGTGCCAGTGCCAGGTCAACCGGAGTAGTAAATAGGAACTTCGATCTTTTAAAGTTCTATTAACTATATTATAATATACAACTCGGCATCAAAATCTGTGAGTGCACAATAAATCATCCCCTGTTTTTATAGGGGTTCAACCCCCTTAGAGTTGTTCTTTTTCCCTAATTCATATGAGACCAACTTCGGGGGATAACTATGGGACAAGCCTTTCCAATATTTGGTTTAAACCAAGACTAACTTCCGCGTTTTGGAAAAGGCGGTTATAGCTAGAGAAAATTATTAAAACCATCTTGTTGCGCAACCCTTTCACTATTCCAAAACTCCCTCAAATCCACAACTGTTCGTTTTCAGAAATCTTTTCTTTCAAGTAAGTGCATTACATGAAAGAAACGGTCCTTGACCTTGGACCTTCCACGGTTTCCCTCAGTACAACTGGTCCTCTTCATCGAGGCCTAAAAACAGAGTTCCACGAAAGACCTTTAGGTTTGCTATTGTATTCTGGGTGATCATTAACTACTATTATGAGGGCCATTGAAATGGTCTTTTAAAAAGAAATCATAGTTAAACATCTCACCGACTGGTTTCGGTGCTTTCCTCTTGTTCTCCTTGATCCAATCCAGATGCGCCTGCTCATCGAACTTCCCCAAAAGCAGGGTAGTTTTCTCCCCGGTACGGTCTACGTGGTACTGTATCACGTCTTTACCGTAGCAAAATTCGTATTTCCACCAACCAGTGCCCTGTTATGGAAAAACATGTAGGTATGTTTAATGCATAAACATTAACTTCTATGACGTGAAGATGAGATGATGATGAAGAGAAATTAGAAGGAGGACGAAACCTAGGACAGCCGAGACTTCACTGAATGTGATTAGAGTAAATCTAATCTTATAAATAGGTGACCTTCAAAAGCTTTAAAAACCATTTGTGAAAACGAAAATTTGCCATGTGGCGCTATTGCCTCTCTGTCTACTGATAGGTAGGATAACTTTCGCGCAAGGTGTGCGTGACTCTAATATCGGATTGTATGTACTAGACACAACACACACACAACTAGTCAATGTGTAGCGACAAGCACATCTACCATGCGTAGTAGATATTTTTTACTGATACAAAGCGTAACGTAAAGTATGCAACATCGTCATCATCAGCCTATTAATGTCCCCACTGCTAGGCACAGGCCTACCCTATGAATGGAATAGGGAGTTTGGACCGTGACCCACTACGCGGGCCCAATGCGGATTAGTGGGTGCTAACGACACCATCACCATCGAGCTCCTCACTACTAGAATAGTATACTATGGTAGTGCTTTAAAATAGTGCTACTTTAACAGTGCTATTAAATAGTTTACGGCTCGCCCCATGCAAACAAATCTACCCGTTGTGGTCTTAGATTAAAACAAAAAGGGAAGAAGATACAGTACGCTCATACTAGCACCTAATAAAAAAAGCTCCAGCTCAATGGAGAAGTATACGCAAAGTTCAACATAGATGGCGCTGCAAACGCTTGACCTAAACCACAAAAGAATATTGCAGCTGACAAATTTAAATTTTTTTTTGTTAAAAATATTAAATAAGTGCTGAAAATTTATTCAAGTCTGTAATACAGCCGAAATCAGAGTTGGAAAGGAGAGGAGCATTTGTGCAAAGCAGAAAGCTGATCTTTTAGAAAGGTGCTGTTTCTATTATTATGCTAGAATGCTCATTCTCGGTACATAGATGCATTTTCCATAATAATTTTAATAGTTCATGGATCTTAGTAACTTTTAGCGGGCTCATTAGTCAAAGCTATCATATTTTCGCATCAGTCAGACATCTCATAGAGTTAGGTTACCTCTGGATAAAATGGGAAGTAAAACATTGGATTTTTTTACAGACTTGAGGCATATGACCGCAATTAAAATTTTGGTGCAGTTTTTTCTGATCAGAATAGTCAGACATCCAGATGCAATTACCTGCCCTAGATACAAACCATGATGTAAACAGCAGCTCAGTTCTTCCCTCTTTTTGAAAAATTTCCTTTTCTTCATTGCTAGTTCCCACAATCTTTTGACTTTTCGGTCTTTTGGAAACTTGTGCCTTCCGTTCTCACAACAACCAGGAACTGCACAATGCGGCATTTGTAATTTGTTTAATAAAAAGCTTAAAAATATAAAAGAGTATAAGCTAATAGGTATGTATTTGGTAGAAGTTCTGTTCTTTATATAAGCACATCAAAGGCATTGTTTTATTTATCTTTATAACACGAAATATACGCAGTATATTGAGTGCACATGCAACGTGTTTGTATGTCCAATTGTGACTAAAGCTAATTGTAGTGCATGACCACAATTTAAGCGGATCACTTTTGAGCCACGAGTGCCATACCTTCCCTTTTTGTTTTAATCTAAGGTCGTGTAACATAAATAATTACGACCATGGTGACACGGGTGGAGTGTCGCTTGATTATTTCTCTCGTTGTAGTCGCACAAAACACACATACCTACACACCATTTAACGACAGGGCAAGTGATTATTCAATGCGAGTAAATGCATGCGATCTCACTTCATTCTTGTAATGGAAGGATTAATTTGTTAAACTAGTCAATTAATTACCTACTTACGGATCACTTTTGAGCCACGAGTGCCATACCTTCCCTTTTTGTTTTAATCTAAGGTCGTGGTAGCAACACCGTATCGTCGGCTTGTCGACTACTATAACAGTGCTATTAAACAGTTTACCACTCACCCCATGCAAACAATTCTCTCCATTAAGGAAGGCGCGCACGGGCGAGTCGTCCACTATTACCGGCGGCGTCGTCGGCTTCTCGACCGCTTGAGCATTGGACGGCTCCTCCGCTAGCTCCTCGTCTTCGGTCAACGGATGCAGTTCGAATTTCAAATGGGTCTCGCCGTCCTGGAAACGTTCCTAATTTTTATCACATGTGGAGATTTTTTTGAGTTTATATTTTTTTATGTCTGTTTAAAAATAGTTATGTTTATATGTGTTAAATAATTCTTTGATGTTTAGTGAACATGGTAGTCTGATGGGTTATGATTAATATAATAAAGACATCAGTTATTTAAAAAAATATGAATTTTGAGGCAGAATTTAGGGATTAATCTCAGATTGCCTAGTCCCAGTGTGACTATATCGCAAAATGCCTACAAATAATTTCGTCTAGATCTTTAATTGACTACATCGCATAATGACTAAGATCGCAAAATGGCTAGATCTTATATGACCACATGAATAATGACTAGATCATAAAAAACCTACATCTTTATTTGGCCACATCTTACAATCAAATCAAAATTTGTAGTTTCATCTGACTGTATATTTATGTAACAAAACACAAACTAGACAAATAAGCTATCTAGTCATTATGCGATATAGTCAATTAAAGATATAGACAAAATGATTTGTAGTCATTTTGCGATATAGTCATTAATAAGTGTTAGTCACACTGCGACTAGACAATCTGAGATCAACCCGAATTTAGGTATCTTCATACAAATGAAATCATGATTAATATATTTTTTTTTTATTTTTTTGACGCACAAAGGCCTTTAAAGAAATACCCCAAAAAGAGAGCTTAATGGATATAGGGAAAATTGGGCATGATATTGGAAGATTTGAGACGGACAGACAGGCACAGCAGCAACTTTTTTTAGCGGTTACAATATCCTATAGACGCATGCGATACAAAAAATATCAATGGCGTTGTTGCCAACACTGACCCAATTCCCAACCTCTGAAGCCCTAGAACCTTACTCTTAGACAGAAACACAACACCACCAAAAGGTAGTCTCATTTTACTGTAGTCTACTGTAAGGTGGAGGTTACTTCCCCAGATGGGCCCAGACCTCTCTCATAATAGAGCGATCCAAACTGTATGTCGGTTGTGAAGTTAGCATCGAGCGCACCTCCATTACCTTGAATTTAGTTTACTGCCATTGCGCTTGTGCTAACTTCACTGTTGACTACGCTAAGTCGACCTTTTTTATACTATTTATTTATTTTTGATAACTCTTTTTTCCTATGGTTTTTATGGCTGTATTTTGTTACTTATTATTACACGTCATTTTCTCAAAGAAGAGAATTTTATTTCAGCTTTCTTCATACGTTTTCAACATTCACAATAATGGTATAATGCTCTTCGTACAAAACCTATCTTGTTATATTTTTTGCTTGGATGACGCTGTTTTTATTTATTAAAAATAAAATGCATTATTAAAATTTAACTAAACAAAACAAAAACTTACATGAGTGCAAAAAGTTGTCAGCAAACAAAAAGACAATTTCATATTCTAATTTGCAAATAATATCATAAAGTGTGTACAAATTCAAAAACACAACATAATTACCTTATCAATTTTTTCAACTTTCAAAACAGCAAAAACGTCCTTAGGTTCCTTATCCTGAGTGACATGCCAATACAAAATGTTAATGAAGCAACTAAATACTACACTACAAAATAAACAATATTGTGATTATGAAACAAAACAAAAAGCATTAATATTATGTGTGATGGACCAACACTAATATAGGGCTTATTTTACAACAGAATCTAGAGCCAATGTTCAAAGTTTAACTATTTTATAAAACTCACACTAGCAAGACAAGCCCTTATAATATAAAATACTATTATAAGTACTAATACTACTCTTTGCGTTCATTATATACACGCCTAGATAACGTATTAACTGCACGGAAAAAAATATCTACCAAATATGGTAGATATGCTAATAGCTACACATGCACACATTGACTGCTTTCAAACATTAGAGTCACGCACACACTGAGCATAAAATGAGCCGTTTTCTTTACGTGGTTGATTTGGATTGCTCTATCTAGGCATGTAAATAATCAAAGACTCTCTGACAAACAGTATTTGACACAAAAACCAAATGTGAAAACTTACGCTGTTCATGTACTTGATGGTCTGATGATGGAATTTCAAGCTGTCCACTTCCATTTTCAATAAGTTTCTTGGTTTTTTTGGTGTGTCTCCAATCGAAAAACAATCAATAGCATTCTCGCTGACATCTTTCGGTTTGAACTGCGGATGTTCACAGAGCAATGGTGATAGAATAATGATTTCATATTCACACGTTGCTGTCTCTTTGAAAGAGTACACCTCATGTTTACCATGAGCATAACAGACATACAAAACTCTAGTCATACGAGGTTTGCCACTCAGATCACAAACAGAACCTGTAAAAATTAAATGTTACCATAAGTGTTTATTTATATTCAATGTACACATTTTACGTAACTAATTAATTTTATTGTTTAATTACTGGTTGTTACTGCCTTAACTGGTAATCAAAACAATGAAAAAAATCTTTATCTATACTGTATGCAGTAAGGAAGGCTAGATTCTTGTTTGAAATACACTACGTGATTTTAAAATGGAAATTAAAATACAATGCATTAAAAGATTTGTGCATAACATATGAGAATATATGATTATAAATACTAAATATTTGATTATATGCAATAACAAACTACCTTCATCCATCTCCATTTTCACATATGGTAAAGTGAGTCCGTCTACTTTAGTAGTTTTTGGTTTCTCTTTAGTCTCTAATTGGTCCTTCATATCGGCTTCAAGCTTCAGTTGCTTCTCAGGACTCCAGTACCCAAGATAGTACTGTTGAGTTTTGACCTGTTTACCTGTAAGCAATTTATAAGTATAATCTTTAAAATCTCTTCATATATTGCATACATTTCATTGCTGACTTGATGGACAATATCTTTTAGAGAAACTGAGTACTATAATGCAAGCCCAGTATGTATTTGTTTATATTATAAGAGGCAACCGTTACTGACTGACTGATCTATCAACGCACAGCTCGAACCATTGAATGGATTGCTCTGAAAGTTGGCACATATATAGCTATTATGATGTAGAAGAGTGCTAAGAAGGGATTTTGTAAAACTAGAAATCGAAAAGATTGTATGGAAAACTGATATTTCCACATAGATGAGGACTCATTGTACCCATTAGTTAGGGAAAAAAATTGAAAATACTTTATTTCTCTCTATTCTTGCCAAACTTGTTGATTCTCCGCCACCTCAACTTAAATGCTCCTCATTTCTTCAATACTTTGAAATGTTGTTGTCTTTGGCTGGAGCATAAAATGCATGTGCAGCAACATAAAATTTATGTAGAATTAAATCAACACCCTGCACTATCTGGTCAAATACACTGAACATTATGCTACTAGCACTGAAAGCCCTGCCTTGTGTCAAATTTCATATAGTATTTTTATTAGGCTGCTAGTATAGGAAGTTAATTAATTTATAAATAAAAAAATACCATCTCTTTCATCGTGGTACTGCCGTATGTACCTCCCATGGCAAACTTCATAACTCCAATAACTCTCAAGTCTATAAGAGCAGATCTTCTGGGCAAATAAGGGTTTCAATAGGTTGATAGGTGAAGGCCCATCATAGTCTTCAATGCTAATTGACTCTTTCGTTTGCAGCTCTGGAATATGGCATTCATACTTTTCTTTCTGTGCTGTTGTAACTTTAAGTACTTCTTTATTGTGAACCTGCAGGTAACAGTTAACATACCATTAATATCGTAATATACAAAATAATTACCGCTTAATCATTGTTACGAAATCAATTGCTAAAGCTCGTTAATAAATGGATAATTACTACAATGAGAACATTGATAATAATATAAATATAATGAAATTTTAAAAACCTTAAACGGTAAATTATGAATTATAATGCCTACCTGTGATTTATTCAGCTCACCGTCAGCCAGATTTTCTAAAACTTCAGGGGCACCGGGCCAATTTATCCCAAAGAGAATGGTATCGTCAAATCCTCTTGAATCATGTTCAATACACAAAACAATACCAATAGCACAAACAGTAAAGACACAGATATGCTTCATTTTAATTCAGCACATAAACATAATTTGTATTGGAATCAATTTATTAATACAATTGAACTAAAAAGTGCAACAAAATACCCATCAAACTTTACTAGAAACGATTAAGGTATCCAATTAGAAAGTCATTTCAATTTGACACTGGCGCTAGTAGAACTATTCCACGAAGCACTGACAAACCACTGACTTCAATTAGTCGACAGAAAAAAAGACACCTTTTAAAATTTGTTGGCTAATGTTTTCATCTTTTCTTGAGCTGCGGGTCAATTATGCTTTAGTGATATAATCATAATGTGATGTCAATATGATGTTGATGCCAACTTGACATTGTTTTTAAATTGGTATTATGAAACATTCCTATGTCACATCAAGATCATATCAATATCATATCCTGTATCACATTTTTGACGTTTTTGCGATACTGTTTTAAGTCAAAAAGTTGAACGTAATACGCATTTAAGTTGATATCATTTTAAAGAGTTGATCATAATAAGTACGCATAAGTTGATGTCATTTTGATATCGCATTTTTCGGAGAGCATAATACGTAATGTGAAATTGACATCAAAACAATATCACAATTAGCGAGCATAATTGGCCTGCTGGACAGTTGTCATTCGATGACAGGCATGTCAACTGATATTTTTTATAATTATTATAACTTTGTATTCAAGCCATTTCGCTTAATTTCCCTTGTCTATGGTATGTATGACATGGACCTATGATTTTATCTAAACCCTCTATGCACTATCCATCTTACTGGATTGGAGCCAACGCTATACACGTAAAAGAGATGAAGATACAAGATCTGTTTTACGCATATTGCACTTTCCTGTATGCAGGATTCAGTGAGATGGATAGTAGTAGTATGTAATTACGTTAGAGTGTTAATAAGCAACATGCAAAAGTAAGTGCGTGCGTGCAAACTCAAAGTTATCAGATCAATATTGCCAAAAGCTCTGATTTTAAAGCTCTGAATACTGAAACCTAAGGAGATGGCATACCTACAAAAAAAAGGTGTATACCTACCTAAAGTTACTAGGAAAAGAAAATGGCGCCTTAACATAGTGCTGCCTCAAGGCTGCCCCATTATATATCGATATCTTTATAAACAAGTAATTTTGTGACGATATTTCGATATTCTATAAAAGTGACTTGTGACATTGAGATTATTCTGATATTGGTGGGATATCACACAATACATATGTATCATGATACAAATGCAAAAGTATATGTGTGTTTATTACCTCTAGATTTAGAGTTTATGTATTATTAGAGTACTTGACACAAAATAGGTATCCATATTTTTGTCATTTACATAAGAGACGGATAGCCAAACGGTAACGGTCTTGGGATCGAAGACAACTGATAGGTGGTGCGATCCTGAGCTCGGTAATATTTTTAAAAAGTTTCTTTTTTCTTTTATTAACTCTCGTCTTTGAAACAATGTAAATATAGTAAAAATTATTTAATTTGGACCTAGGTCAAATCCTACGCTAAAACCTACCTACCTACGGAAACCTACGCTCTAAATACAACTTTTTATCCTAGCATTTCAATTTTGACATGGTATCTATGAAGCTTATGTCAAAATAGATGTTTTTTGCAGCTAGGGTCGCAGTCCTGCTGTTGTGTCATTTGAATTCAGTGTTGCCATTGATACGGTAATTACCGTAATATACGGCAATTTGAGCTCATAATTTCAGATTATACGGCATAAGACAGGTTTGTCATTACCGTAATATACGGCAATCCAATTTTGTTTTGAATCGATTTACAAGGATAACGTTATAAGTTAATTACGATTCCAACAAAACATCGTAAAAAATTGTAGTTTAGGCCCATCCCTAGCACGGAGAATGTATCCTTACTGGGAATCCACGTTCGGTATAACTAAATTAGTTACTGAAAGTGTAAATGAAACACTTTTGGTGAAGCAAGCCTTCAGAAATGAAGTAAACAGTACAACATTTCAGCCATCCCGTGACATGTGTGTGAAAATTAAAAACAAGGACAAATATTGTTTAAATAAATATGACAGCGAAATAGTTGAGTTTATTAAAAATCTTTAGGTGGTGATTATAATGTGTAGGTTAATTTTTTAATTGTGCCCTTTATAATAAAGTTACTATTAATTAGTTGCTACCTATAAATTTTAATAAATAAAATTAGATAATACGGCAATATCATGATATTTATTTATAAATACAGCAATGTGATGTATCGTATACGGCAACTCTCTCAAACTTGATGGCAACCAGTGTTGCTAATTTAGCGACTTTGTGACGCTAGAAATGACGACTTTTGTATAAGTGTCAGCGACTAAAAAAAGTTTTGACGACATAAATTTTTTAGCGACTTTTGCAGTAGGTATAAATTAAATCAGTTATAGAGTCATTATTGGATAAATCTTTAGTCAACATACATTATGGAAAACAAACGCACCAAATTCAAACTTTATTAAATTAAAGTCTGTTTAAAAAAATATTCAAATCAATACATTTAAATTTTCTTCCAAATCTATATTTCACTTAACCTATATCAGATTTTTCAGAATGTCGCATGTAGCTGAGTTGGCAACACTGAGCTCAATAGCTCGATTCCTTCATTAGTTGGCGATCGGTCACGGGCACACTGGAGAATCCTCGAACATTATTTTTGTGTACTGCACAATCGGTTTGACATCGATCGACTCAGTATATTGTTTCATAACATCACGATCGGTCTCTTTGGAATTAACTTTAATGGTCGGTACACACGTAACGATATATCGTAGCGATTTCAGACTGTGCAGATAAATCGAACGTTCCTAGTGACTCCACATGCCTCCGATATCGGCGTCGATTGTCTGTTCGGTCAGTTCTCCGCAAAAGCTCACGCGAGGAACATGTCATCCACGATGGAAGATTATGACGCACTTGCGATATTAGGCCTAGTTATGTGTTTAAAGAAAAAAAAGGAGCGGAGTGTGTGGTGTAGACTGGCTTCACTCTATAGCTCTCTATGAAATCTTGCATTAGTTCATGGTGTCCACCTCTTTCTATAAAAAACATCTAGTAAGTGCTTTATATATGGATCTTACTAAAGCGTTTGACCTTGTCGAACATAATATACTTCTTCACAAACTGGAGCAATATGGTGTGAGGGGTAATGTTCTTAAGTTGATAACATCATACCTAACCAACAGAAGACAGTCAACACAGATCACTCGATTGTGTATCAAGCGCAAAGAGGAAATAAATTATGTATCTGAAATCCAGTGTGTTAAACGAGGTATACCTCAGGGAACTGTATTGGGACCTCTATTCTTTTTAGCCTTCATAAATGATCTCCCAAAATCAATAAATGAGAAGCTAATACTATTTGCTGATGATAGTACAGCTATTTTTGTCGGTAATGAAATCAATAGCTTAATACATAACATTAATGACTCGCTTAGTAAAATTATCACTTGGTTAAATTCTAATAAGCTGTGCATGAATATTGACAAAACTAACTATATGACATTTTCTAATACATATAATTATTCTAATCTCGATTACGACATTAATTACAGAAATACAAAAATCGACAAAGTAGAGACTACGAAATTCTTAGGAATCTATATTGACAATAACCTAAATTGGAAAAGTCATGTTGATTACGTATGCAGCCGTGTTAATAAATTTTCATATGCACTATAGCGTTTGAGTAAAATTGTAAACCAAACAACATTGATAATTGCCTACCATAGTCATGTTGAATCCATATTAAGATATGGTATTATATTTTGGGGTAATTCAACAGAGAGATATACTGTGTTTAAATCTCAAAAAAAATGTATTAGAGCGATTTGTAAATTAAAATATAGGGACAGTTGTCAGCAACATTTTGCAAATCTCAACATAATGACAGTACCATCTCTGTATATTTATGAGGTGGTAGTCTTTGTGAAAGCAAATATAAACATGTTTCAACATCTTAGAAGTATAAGACATAAAAACGATATTTGCTTCCCCGCCAGTAGGACTGCCCTTTACAATAAAAGTATATTTGGTATGGCACCACGACTGTACAATAAATTACCAGAATGCTTAAAAGAAATATCCAATATCCAAACATTTAAATTGAGAGTTAAGAAATTACTTGTGGAAAAAGTTTACTATACAGTTGACAAATATATGACGGATAAATTTTAAAATAATATTGTAATCCATTTGTATTCCTGTTTTGTTATTTTATTTAATTTTATTTAAATGACCTATCTTGTAATTTGACCTATAATTTAATTTGGCATTACCTTCATTTTGACATGTATTCTAATTTGACATTATGGTAAGGTTTTTGTATGTATCCATTATTATTGTCAAAATGTCAAAATGTGACTTAGACATCTCATTTATCAAATTATAATTTCTTTTTAGATTAATATAAGTACTTAATTGACATTGTTAGAATAATGTAATTAATAGTGAACTAAATGTAATAACATTGCATGTCAACAAGACAGAATATGGCTGAACATAATATAATTTGTATACTTGAACACAACACAATATTACCTGTATTCGCAATAAAAATTATTTGAATTTGAATTTCTTCTTCAGACATGTTGCGATATAAGAGCGATCCGCACGTGCGCACACTTGCGAGCCTACAGCCGAACTGAGCGATCGCCATCCACACTCGACGATAAAACTGTGCAAACGCAATCGACAACGATTTATCTAATAAAAATTGCAACTGCCACCGACGACCGATAATCGACAACGATTTGTCATACACACGTTCGATAAATCTGCGCAAGTCGATTTGCACAGTTTAATCGTTACGATAAATCGTTACATGTGTAGCAGGCATAAGTAATTATAAAGTGTTTGTGTTGTGATACTTGTGATCAGTTAAATCAGGGATATACCTAATAAAGAAAAGCAATACGTTCAAAAATATCCTGGTGGAATTAGTTTTAGCGACATTCTGGTGCCAATTCTGGCGTGATTCTCTAAACTTAAATCTAAATTTAACATCAGTCTCTCCTTTTCATGCTGTATAGAGAATAACAAGGATACACTGTTGTCAAATTTAAGTTCAGGTTTAGAGAATCATGTCAGAATTGATACCTCTAGCGACTTTTGATGTTGTTGAGTCTAGCGAATCGAACTTCTAGGAGTTGACAACTGATGGCAACACTGTTTGAATGTCAATCAAATACATTTTGTCAAAATGGCGTTTAATTTTCCTGCGTTTTCATATATTATTGCGCTTATTGTGGATGCATTTCTTATATTTTTCTCCATATTCCACGTTATAGCGTTTGATGAATTAAAAACTGACTATAAAAATCCAATAGATCAATGCAACAGCCTCAACCCGGTGTGTATTAACTTATTTACTTTATCAGTCATAGAGCTCAATCGCTATTTTTACATAATTTTATTATTTTTATTCTTTACAGTTGGTTCTGCCGGAGTATTTGTTGCATCTTTTTATAAATATCCTATTCCTCTTATCGGGAGAATGGTTCTCCTTGTTAATAAACATTCCTTTGATATTATATCACATACACAGGTAAGCTTTGAGGTTATATTTTAAAGAAAGTTATATTAATGTTTTCTCAAAATTACCTACTTATCGCTTCTTATCTTCTTTAGAAATAAAGAAAGTCAAAGTATATCTGTTATATTTTAACCAAACCATATAATGGTGTCGATTCTGGCGTGATTCTCTAAACTTAAAACTAAATTTAACATCAGTCTCACCTTTTCATTCTGTATCGAGAAGGACAAGGATGCACTGTTGTCAAATTTAAGTTTAGCTTTAGAGAATCATGCCAGAATCGACATCAATATTTAGTAATTTACCTAAAAAACTATTTAAATCATGCATCATTAATAATATTTTGTGATTTCAGATACTATACGAGGCCTGTGATGTCAGGCCCAGGCCTGTATGACCCCACAAGCATTATGAATGCTGATGTCCTAACTGTATGCCAACGGGAAGGCTGGATCAAACTTGCATTTTATTTATTGTCCTTCTTTTTATACCTTTATGGGTAAGATATATCATGTATCGCAAATACTTTAAAACAAATATTAAGCTAAAACCTTTCTATTTAAATTTAGCCATCCAGCCAAAATTAAATAAATTTTAGTTGACATTGGTGCCAATTCTGGTGTGATTCTCTAAACTTAAAACTAAATTTAACATCAGTCTCTCCTTTTCATTCTGTATAGAGAATGACAAGGATATACTGCTGTCAAATTTAAGTTTAGGTTTAGAGAATCTTGCTAGAATCGACACCAATGTCATACAATATTATTATAACATTCATTATCTTATACAGTAAATTATTACTAGTCACAACTTAAAATATTTTAAATACAATGAATGAATAGTTGATACTAGTGTGAGTGGCATAAAATTATTTTAAAGTTAACTGTCATGTCATATTAAAGTCTTACTAAAATGTAACTTTAACTTGCTCTGTGGTGCAACTCACACTAACTATTGAGGATAGAAAATCCATTTAGGAAAAAATATCAGATGAATTGATTTAGGTCTTAATCAATGTGGCCTATCGCATATGAATCAGCTGCTAGGGGCACTTGTGTAGCGTGAGGTCTCTGAAATGTCAAATGTTATTGCTTGTGGGTTGACTCTGCGGGTTTATTTATTATGAAGTGAATATTTGGTATTAAATCTGATTAATTATGGCAAATATGGGTTACATGTCAATGAATTTCTGAACAAAACAGAACTGCACAACACAGTGGCTCTTTTGTATTAAAATATGATTTAAATGTTAACTTTAATTTCACACTGGTATTAACAAACTTTAAAAGCTACATTTCAGGACCTCACTCAACAGTGGCACCATCTGGTGAGACATAGAACGGAAGCCCTCATTAAAGACGCATTATGGTTTTTTTATAGACAATGTGCATTTAATATTTCTTATTATGTTTCAGAATGATCGTAGTCTTAATTGCAGCATAAGTGCAACATAATCAAAACTCCAACAAGTCATCATAATTTATTGTTAGAGTTCCTGTGATTCTAGTGTCAAGCAAACAAGTGAATATGAATTGTAGGACTGTGTGATTGAACAGTATTTTGGTAAAAAAATTACATATTTGTAAATTGAAATAATATAGTTTTTATTTACCTCAGTTTAGAAATCACAATTTCTGCCTTTCTAGTGATGATTTCCGTTATGTCCTATTTTATTACACAATTACAGTCTAGCATGTAGTCATTGTCAAACCAATATTTGCTATGCTAATGCAAAAAAATAAGACTAACGTTCAAACATAGCAGCTTATATTTAGCTGATGTACATAGCATTATTTAGGCAACCTATTCTGCTAGGGTAACGGATAGAATATATATACTGTACATATATAAGTATAAAAATAAAATAAATAATAAAAATAAAAATAGCCTTTATTCTCTGATATAGTTATACATAGTACTTACTAACTAGCCGTATTACTAATTTCCTATTGCTACAATTTAAATTAATTTTACATTGCTTACACTAATAAAAGAAAACTAGCAAACCAGTGAACCAAATGTTCACCAAAACCTGATTTCTCGAAAACCGGAAGTGCTACGTTACTCAAATCCGGTTTGTAGTCTTATCAGACTATTCTTAACTTATAACTTAAATATTCTCTTTATCTATCTCTTACGGTTTGGCCGCTGAAACAGCACCACAGACAGACGGACTTGTCTAATAGATAAGAGATTGGTAACACCAGCACTATTTTAATCAGGTTGTCCTCCTCGGACATAGGCCTCCTCTATAATTTTTCATTTTTTCCGATCTCTTGCTAATCTGTGCCATCCTTTTGGTAGCTCATCCTCCCATCTTCTTTGTGGCCGCCCTCTTGTCCTCCTCCCATCTCTGGGGTACCAAGATACGACCTCTTTGGTCCATTTTTCTTTGGGGGATCTGATCACATGTCCAATCCAACGCCATCTGCCACACCTGTGATTTTTCTAATTCTGCTCAGTCTACACTTGTCTTTCAAACGGATGTGCACCATGCTTCTCTCTATCTCCTGCTGACACACCTTGAGTTTTTGACTGTGCGCCTTTGTCAGGCCCCAAGTTTGACACCCGTAAGTAAGTATTGGTAGGATGCACATGTTGAATACTTTACGTTTGATTGGCATTGGAGTGTTCTTATTCTTCAATATTTCCTTCAGCGACCAGTAACGAGCCCAGCTGTTGTTTACTAGTGTTTGCAACTCTGTCCATCTGCGAGTTTGGTGAAATTATTTGGCCTAAATATGTGTAGTCATTCACATACTCAATGGCATGATTATTGACACAGATTTTTTGTTGATGTCTATTGGTCATGATCTTTGTTTTATTTGTGTTCATGGTCAGACCTGCTTTTTGACTTTCTGTTGCAAGTTGTAAGAGCATTTCCTGTAGAGTGACTGGGTCCTCCGCAAACAGTATCAAGTCGTCTGCAAATCGCAGGTGTGACAGCCTACATCCATTAATATTTAGTCCCCTCTTTTCCCAATCTAATTTTCTGAAAATTTCCTCTAGCACAGCTTGGGAGATAGAGGATCCCCTTGTCTGACTCCTTTTTGGACTTTAAATTCCTCTCCAATTTTTTCTAATTGTACTTTTGCCGTGTTGTTGCTGTATATATTCTTTATGAGTCTAATATACTTATTTTCTATTCCTTGATTGAACAAAGCTTTATATATGTAGTTATGAGATAGCGAATCAAATGCCTTATTATAGTCTACAAAGGAAATATAATATGGTTTCCTGTACTCATTGTACTTTTCTATTACTTGTTTTACGACATGCATGTGGTCTACCGTTGAAAAATCTGCGCTAAAGCCTGCCTGTTCTCTTGGTTGTTCCGCGTCTAGTCGTTTGGTGAGCCTGCCTAAAATAATTTTCGAAAAGACTGTACAAATTTGTCATGAGGCTAATGGGTCTATAGTTGTCTATTTTATCTTTATCGCCCTTTTTGTGAATCAATATTATAGTTGATTTTGTCCATTGTTCCGGAATAATTTCACTATCTAAGATTTCGTTAAATAGACTAGTAAGTGTTTTTAGTATAGTACTCAATGACACTTTAAGCAGTTCATTGGTTATTTTATCTTCTCCTGGAGCTTTGTCGTTCTTTTGTGATAGTATGGCTTGTCTCGTTTCGCTTTCTAGTATGTAAGGGACTTCTTCTTTGTTTAGATTTTCTATTGTTACTAATAGTTCGGATGAACTATAAAGGCTTTTGTAGAAGTTCGTAGCGATTTTGCTGATTGATGTTCTTTTTGTAGTTGTATATTCCTTGTTTTCTTTGTTTTTCCCCTTCATTTTCGGTATCCAAAATAAGTGATCCTTAAGTTTCTTCATTACTCTTTTGATTCCTCCTGTTCTCTCGATTGAATGCTGTTGAAACGTACTTCCTTTTTATGGTCTCTTATACTTGATGTGATCTTTTTACTTATTGCTTCTATCTTTTTAATGTTCTTTTTCCTGTCTGCAAGGATTTCTCCTCTTTCTTTTATTAGGGTTCTTGCTGTATGTCCTATTTTGTCCATTTTGTTTAACTTACTCATGTGTCTCAATTCGGTTCCTAGATTAGTTAATATTTTTTCGAATGTGTTATATTTCTCTTGAATTAAATCGCTATTTTTAATTTTATCCATCTGACTTTTTACTTTATTAAGGATGTTTTCTGATATTGGAGTCGCTATCTGGTTTGATCTGTTTTTTATGTATTTCCTAGTTCATTTTTTGTTTGTAATTACTAAGCTAGCTCTAACCTAATGGTTTGTACTGAAGTTTAGGTTATTCACTATGCCTACATCATTGAATAATCCCGGTGTGTTGGTTAATACGAAATCGATTTCATTTTTGGTTTTCCCATCAGGTGAAATCCAAGTCCATTTCCTGCTTCTTTTTTTCTTATAGTAGGTATTCATTATCCTTAAATTGTTATCAAGGGCAAGATCGATGAGTTTTTGTCCATTTTTATTTCGCCTACCTTGACTGTAGAGTCCAATGATGTTAGTTACTCCATTTTGTTGGCTAACTATCTGGCTGTTGAAGTCTCCCAGTATAATCTTATTTTTATTAGTTGCATTGCATAGATTATAATAAATAAATAATAGTAATAAATATTTCCAACACTCACACCAATTAGCCTAGCCCTAAAGTAAGCAATGTAGGAATTTCGTTGACTGTAAGGCTTGTGTTATGGGATGCTAGGGTAACGGCTAGAATACCTTCATATACTGTACATATATAAGTATACTAATATATAAATACATAATAAACATTCATGACTGGAGTACAAACGCTCGTATTCATCACGCAAACATCTGCCCCCACCAGGATTTGAACCCGGAACCTCTCGAGTCGGCGACACCATGAAACCCGGCGTTCAAACCACTCAACCACAAATGATCAATACTGTATTAATCTCCGAAAATGCACAAAGCAGATTTTGGTTTGACAATGACAACGTGGTATAGGTGTTATAGATAAAAATGAAACGTAGTTTACCATTTTGTTAATTTTAGTGTTCCATATAAAAAGGAAAAAACAGAACCCTTATAGGATTACTTTGTTGTCCGTCCGTCCGTCTGTCAAGACCGTTTTTCTCAGGAACGCGTGGAGGTATCAAACTGAAATTCATATCTTATACTCAGGTCTACTGTCCCTTGGAGCTGTGAAAAAATCAAACTTCTAAGCCAAAGCAATCAAAAGATACAGCCGTTTACGCCGCAAATTTTCGAAATGCGCACGGGAATCAAAAGCTACAGGGTACTTCCCGTGAACTTACAAAACTTGAAATTTGGCACGAAGTAACGTCATATAGTACAGATAAAAGAAAAATTGCGAAAACCGTAAATTTTTATTTAGGTACATCATATAATAAAAAATACTTTTATAATAATTATTAAAATATACCGACATGTTTGTACGGAACCCTCGGTGCGCGAGTCCGACTCGCACTTGGCCGGTTTTTTTTAATAAGAACCAATTTTATTTAGTGAGCTGAGTTCCACATAATGCAATTTTTATCATCCATCCTATTACTAATGTTAATGCTCTAGTTGTATAATTTAATAATTTCCACGACCACAAACGCAGACTGAACGTCGCCGCCTGACTGGCCACTACGCCGTCAAAACAATCTGGTAGACTATAAGATCGGCTCCAATTTTTATGGGATGGAAATCTTTAATAAGTAGATAATATCATCTAGGTATTCAAGAAAGCATTTTATGGCATACTAGCGGTCGCCCGCGACTTCGTACGATTGGAGTTAGTTAGAAATAAAGGTTCACTGCACGTTCCCCGTAGGTGATAGCGTGATAATATGTAGCCTATATGTTAAACCGACTTCTTAATAATATTCGTGTCAAATTTGAAGTAAATCAATGCAGTACTTTTTGAATTTATCCCGGACATACATACAGACAAACAGACAAAAATTCTAAAAACTATATTGTTGGCTTCGGTATCGATGGCAGATCACAACCCAAGTAAAGTATTCTTTTCAAAAACTATTCAATGTACAGTTTTGACTTTTATATACAGATATATATACAGATGATATTGATATGTGTAAGTATATGATGGAGCTTCCCGTTATTGTACGGCTTGACTGATTTACCTGTTTATTTTTGTTTTAGCGGTATTTTTTAGGTCAAGATGTCTTTTTAACCGACTTCAAAAAAGATGGAGATTCTATGTTCACACAAAAATAGAAATTTTGGGGGTACCCATACTTAGAACAAATTTTCAAAAAAAAATCAAAATACCCATTAATGTGGGGTATCTATGGATAGGACTTCAAAAATGGTATTGAGGTTTCTAATATATTTTTTATATACTGAATAGTTTGCGCGAGAGACACTTCCAAAGTGGTAAAATGTGTGCCCCCCTGTAACTTTTAAAATAAGAGACTGATAAAACTAAAAAAAATATATGATGTACATTACTATGCAAACTTCCACCGAAAATTGGTTTGAACGAGATCTAGTAAGTAGTTTTTTTTATACGTTATAAATAACAAATCAATTATAAAAATACACTGTTATTAAAACATCGATCAAAGTTACAACGAACTACAAGAACTTTTATATTATGTTACTTGCTGCTACGGAACCCTTCATGGGCGAGTCCGACTCGCATTTGGCCGCTTTTTTTATTCTTGGTGCCAATTTCGACAATTCTGCCGTAAGCCTCTCACTACCTATTAATCTAGAAGGTCCTCCGACTGCCTTATTTTCTATTTTTTATCCAAACAGTAGATTTCCGCGTCTGCCACCCCCACTCCGGTAACTATTACTTGGTACCTTAACTAATCTTGGTACTTAGTACCGAAGCGAAGTGAGGATGGGGCTTTTCTCTAGTATTTTATAAAATTAACTTTCTACCATCTTCTACCTACAACTACTTCTTCTACTATTCTACTTCTCTAATATATAAAATTCAGGCGTCACTGTATTTGTAACAAAACTCATACGAAACAGCTTGACCGATTCTTATAAATTTTGTGTATATATTCAGCAAGTCTGGGAATAGAACGAAAACTATATTTCATACCCCTAAGTGGTAAAGGTGGTCCGGTCCACCCCAATTATTTTTTCTTTTTTGAAACAAAAAATCAGTAGGGTCACAGGTCAAATACGTTAACAGAGACGATACAATATTTTTACCTTAATTAACCGAAAAGCAGGTAGATTACTATGCTGTTCTGTACATCATACAGCTGTATTCAGAGATTTAAATCGCTGCTCGTTTTGCAAAATCTTTTCTGCGCCGCAACGAAAAGTAGGACCACACGTTAAAAGCATTGTGTTATAGTAGAAGCTAACTGTTAACTCTGATTGCAAATTTCTCGGACAGTAATAAGAGAAAAAGCTATAAAACCCGTTATCGCCCGGCACAGACAGTGCTGCTGTGAAGTGAACCGATAAGCCCAATTTTCGCCAGTGCTGTGAATAAACAGAGGCTTTTACTTCAGTTAAGTTAAGATATATGGGTCATACAATTTTATTGCCATTATCGCACTTCGAATGTACCTACAAAACAAACTATAAAATCAAATCCCACAAGAAGAAAAGAAAGAAAGAATACCTGATGACCGAGCACTGCGAAATATAATAACTTACATAGGTATTGCAAATCGAACCCACTATCCACTGCGCCATGGAATTCCACAACTTATTTTTTTATACATATATTTCCCTTAACTTCATTCAACCATTCTATTCCCGCCGGGCGGGTATCTAAGCAGGTAGGCAGCTAAAAAATTTGGATTTTTGAAACGTGATGTGACCACAAAAAATACAAAACTCAGTGCCAAAGACGTACAATATTTTATACAGTTCGTACCTCATTCATATTAACTTTTTCAAATGAATCGTTAACTAGAATATAATTATTTACGGAATTCGGCCATGAAAAATCATACATTGTTTCTTGTGCGTGTTTGTTGAGTTCAATTCAAACTACTTAGTTACTTACTTCCATTTGTTTGTAGATTATTTGAAATGGTTTCGAGTCTTTGCTCCTAAGTACAAAATTACCAATATACTATTATGGCGCAGTGGTTAACGCATCTAGTCGATGAAGAGAAGCAACTCTTGACAGCCAATGGCTTTAGGGCCCACTTATTATATGAGTGGCCACAATAGACTAGACAGCGCGAAACTTTTATGAGAGGATTTTTCTATTTCTTCTTTGTAAACAACATCCCCAAAAGGTACCATAGTACATATACCTAATGTAATTTTTCATTGTGTCAATCTGTATGTGGCCTACAGTGTACTTATTACAATTGTCTACTCCTGAATCCTGTTCACATACAAATAAAATCAGATAAATTTAAGCATAAATTGATGACAAATTTAAATTACTTGAATAAATCAGGAGAACCTTACTGGGTAGTTAATGTTATGTAATCAAGTGAATTTTCTTTGATTGATTTGATATGTTATCATTATCAAACAATAATTGCACGCTTAAGTACGCAATTATTGCTACGAATATAATGCGGCAAGATGTAGTGGGTACTACGTTACGAATGATTTCCTGCTATTTGATGCTAGTATTACCGACCATTTACTCATTGATTCAGTCACTTCACCTTCTGCAAAGTGCAATTCAGTTTAAGTGGACGTTGCCCCTTGCCCTGTCAATCAGTCAGTACGACCGACCGCCGTTGCCGGCGGAGCGCGCGGCGGGCAGGGCACATGCAAGCCACGTGCGTTGCGATCGCGATACACTGAAAATAGAAGTCGCCTCGTCGTCGCCGCCGCCGTCAGTACGCGGGAGAGAGTCCCCGGAGAGACAGACACTTCGTACTAGCTGGCAGCGCGATGCGAGCGCATTACGCGATCTTTTCCGTCGTGACGGTTTTATTTGCGTTGGTGAACAATGCGAGCCCAGCGAGAATCCTCGGCCTCTTCCCGCACACGGGAAAAAGTCATCAAATGGTGTTTGAGCCGCTCCTTCAAAAGCTAGCTGAAAGAGGGCACCACGTCACGGTTGTGTCATTCTTCCCGCTGAAAAATCGCCCTGAAAATTACACCGACGTCAGTTTGGAGGGTATCGCCACTTTAGGAGTGGAAACTATTGATTTAGGATTCTTCGAAAACACTAATGTGATAGCTAAAAGACTCGGCATCGATAGGATACTGAGGCAAGCGTTCGATATAGACCCTTTAGCCGACATGGCTGTGGATGTGTGCTCTAAACTCGTGAGTTGGCCGCCGCTGGCTGAAGCCCTAAGAAAAGACTACGATGTGGCGTTAGTGGAAACCTTCAATAGCGATTGTATGCTCGGTTTGATGCATGTTTACGGTAAGAGAGTGCCGATAATAGGCATGTTATCGAGCGGACTGATGCACTGGTCTGCGGATCGTATCGGTGTCACCGATAACCCAGCGTATGTTCCTAGCATCGCTTCAGAATTGACGAGCAAGATGACGTTCCTGGAAAGATTGGAAAATACTTTTGTGACTTATTATTTGAAGATTTGGTATCGGTATAAAGTGCAGATGAAAGAGCAGGAAATAATCGAGAGACATTTCGGAAGAAAGATACCTGATTTGAATGATCTAGCGAGAAACACAACTATGATGATGGCGAATGTGTTTCACAGTTTGAATGGGCCGAAGCCCCTGCTGCCTGGTCTGATAGAAGTAGGCGGCATGCATTTGAATCCCAAGAACGGTGGAATTCCACCGGTAAGTATTAGTAATTTGTTTATATCAATACAAAACTACATACTTAAAAGCTTAGAATAATAACATATCAGTTCACGGCCTATGCCTTTCAGGGTGATGGCACAATATTAAAACAGAGCTGTCTGCTGCACAGTGCACGCATGTGGCTAGTGTGAATAAGATAAATATTGTGGGGAAAGGAGGAATGAAGAAATCATGCAAGACTGACTTGCATTTGTGTAGGCTACCAAAACAGTTTTGAAAATACTGGGTTTGAGTTGGCGAGAAACAAGCTATATTATAACATCTGAAACAAGTTGAAATCCCTAGGATTTTCGCAAAAATTTGATTTATCAAATCATTCTACAACTTGCATTATAATAATGATCCGGTCATATTTCTGGGTTATCGCATGCAGACAGATAAAATTATCGTGACATTATTATCGATTGATATTTGGTAGTAATGTGATTTTTCATTTTACTATTGTCAATCCAATTACGTACAACATTTCAATCCTATTAGGCGTGATGCAAATGGCGAAAGGCGGGACACAGGGCGGTCTAAGTATTACACTTCATTTTCAGCAGTCGTGAAAAAAAATGCACTTAATAGTTTAATATTTCGCAAACGGATCCCTAAATGACAATGACAGATTCTGACCCACCATATACAGTAATATTAAATTTATGAAAAAATATATACGACTTTTTTTCTCGTACCGATTTAATTATTACTTTGTAAAAGCGGCGGATACGAAATAAATATTAAAATAATTTGTATCTACTGTTTCCGTTAGGAGAAGAACGAAAACATGGCATATGCGTTTTGTTTCACGACAAACAATAAAATACCAGTCAAGTTTTCGCAAAATATCATTCTATTTTTAATATTATGGATAAAATAAGCATTTCGGTTATAAATATAATTAATTTATGTTTATAAAAAAGTTTAACGATTATAGTACCTTGTATTTTTAATGCGCATACACATTATTAAGTGGTAGTAAATATGTGAAACTAAACGTTACTCTGGATTGATATCCTTTTGATTGACATTTCCGTCAAACAAAAGGATTTGTACGACATTGTCGTTTGTGATTTGGAACCATGTTGAGATGCATAAATTGTTATTTATGTGTCGATAGAATACAAAGGCATGTCGTTTAAACACTATCAGACCTACAATATGGACACTGTTGAATAATAATTTATAGAAATTCCAATTTTCTGTTCAAATTGCAGCTCGAGAAACGTATGATAATTGTACTCTTTGTAAGTATATTATTCAATAACCACAGCTTTTAGAGAATTTAGAACTTTACTATTTTGATTCCTAATATTACAGCTATGAAAAGTCATTTATCGCATTCGTGTACACCATTTTTATCGGGTGGGTTAAACCTCTATAGAACTTCTGGCATTGTCCTTTAATTGTCTTAAAAACCCTGTCATTTTAAAGGACCTATTTAACGACACCCGGCACGATGGGGTAGACGATGAAAAAAAAATTACATGTAGGGTAGCTACCCCAAAAAAAATATTTTCAAAAATTTATACTACCACTTTGTCGGCGTGATTGAAATACATACCTCCACAAAATTACAGCTCTCTAGTGCCAAAAGTCTCCAAGCAAAACCGGGACTGGGCAGGCCGACGGACATGTCGAAACTATAAGGGTTCCTTGTCAGGACTACGGAACCCTAAAAAAGTTGAAGTAGATATTTTAGCCATTGACTATCATCATTAATCATTGTAATTCTTTAGATTTTCCTTTTAATCTGCATATTTTATGCTTTTTGTTATGATGCATTTTTAGGGTTCCGCAGCCAAAAGGCAAAAAACGGAACCCTTATGGATTCGTCATGTCTGTCTGTCTGACCGTCCGTATGTCACAGTCACTTTTCTCCGAAACTATAAGAACTTTACTGTTGAAACTTGGTAAGTAGACGTATTCTGTGAACCGCATTAAAATTTTCACACAAGTATAGAAAATAAACAATAAATTTTCGGGGTTCCCCATACTCAGAACTGAAACTCAAAAAAATCTTTTCGTTAAACCCATAATGCCCCACCATTATGGTTATCTATGGATAGGTCTTCAGAAATGATATTGAGGTTTCTAATATCATTTTATTGCTAAACTGAATAGTTTGCGCTAGAGACACTGCCAAAGTGGTAAAATGTGTGCCTCCCCCAAATAAAAAAAATATTTAATTTAATCAACATAAACCTTACCTATGTATATAAACCGTGAACTATTATTTTCTAATAATCAATCTGTAATAGGTGCCTAAATAAAAACATTGATCAAAGGAGATTGCTCAGCTTCCATACATGTTTGGCCTAAAAACCAATAACCATGAAAAATTGTTTCCTAGATTCGAAATTATATATAAATTACCGTAGAAACGAATATTATCGACGGCCACTCCTGAGAACTTCTATAAACCATATACACTGAATGATTTTGAGGTTATATTTGCAAATAGGCACATAGGTATTAAGATAATAAAAACCAAATAACTTATATAGGAAAATAGGGCAATCAAGCCAAGTACCGATATTATGTATTAGATTCAGGTATATAGAGCATGTAAAATAACAGATAATTGCCTGTTTTTAAAATTAATGCACAAGAGTAAGTTTTAAAATCATGATTATGCCATTGCGACTTTCAGAAGCAATCTTGTTTCATTTGACAAGTGTCTAACACTAATTACACTAACAAAATGCATGTCAAGGAACTGGTACCTGCTTACCTATGTTATGAGAAACATGGAACTGTTATCATAATTTTATAAAAACCAATAGGATATTTTCTTAGTAATAATTAGGTTTATAATGGTAAAAGGTAATTCTAATGTAATAATATATTGCGTAGGTTCATGATAGTTCTGATCAATGTGTGAAATATGTATATTCCTGACATAGCTTAAATATTCTGATAAGGTAAATTAATGAAATAAAACAACTTAAGTACTTTTATGTTGCGTTTAATATTACATATCATCTACATTTTGAATTAAAATATCATCGAAATATTTTATCAATCTTTACAAAATAGATTTGTTTTGATGTTATATAAACAACCTCGATCAGTCTTTGTGAATGTTACTACACCCATAGCCAATAAAAATGATTCGTATGTTTTCCAAACCGGTAAAAATAGAAGTCCTTTTTTAAAATTAATATATTATTTAAAGGTGGCCTTTAAAATCTAATGACTGTAAAATAAAGTATAAATTACGCCAAGAATTACTGTATATGTCAATATTTTATTTGCATTTAGGCCAATTTGACCAATCTCCTTTACAACGAACTACAAGAACTTTTATATTATGTTACTTGCTGCAACGGAACCCTTCATGGGCGAGTCCGACTCGCACTTAGCCACTTTTATACCAGTTGTGTTGTAGACAAGTTTTTCAACAACATGGCATTCTCCTTCCACATAATTAGTTATTCCTAGTCATTCCTCAAAAACACACCAAATGCGATTGATATTTGATACATTAATTACATTTTACTGCTGTCCGCAGTCCTATTAGTAGTAGAACTCATCGTAGAAGTACACGGACTTTAAGATTTTTTCCGTAAATTCTATTAGTAGGAGAGGACCCCATTTTTTATCCGTTCAGTTGTACTAGTTGACATTAACGGATATTTTTCTCCGTTTAGAGAACTAAACGGGTACAATCGTTATTGTTACACAATATTACCTAAGTACTTACCGTTCCTACTAAGGATTTTTCTGGCTTACAAAATTATGAATTTTGTATGTCGGATAAATGAGTGAATTCTAAATGATATTCTTAAACGAAGATGTTGTCATCCGCTGATATGTATCATATTACGATTAATGTCATTAAAAGTGCTGCGTTAAAATGTAGATCCATAAAAATATTTATCGTCAGCTTTTAGAGTTTAGAACCTTCTTGATGCATATTATTTTTTGAAAAATACAAAAAATTTGACTACAAAATAATAACAAAATATAATACAAAACAATGTAGGGAACATTTCGATAATTATGCAGGTCAATAGGCATTACATAAATACATTATCAAGCGACGCGTCAAGCGAAAAGGGGCATTGAATGAAAAACTGATACGTAAACAACAGTCAACACAAGGATTTCTTTTGTTCTATGTTTCGCATTTTTTCCCGACTGCGCTCCGACAGACTTCGAACAACAAGCCAGACGTGTCCCAAACTCCTTATCGCTGCGCCTAGCGTATTCATAGTGGAATTCCGATATTTCAAGAATGCCAAAAAAAATTGCTTGAGTACCTATGTGCCAATATTGTATCCTCCACGGAACAGATAAATAAAGTTGGAAAGGCCCTCGCTTCAATTTTAGGACAACTGTCGCCGCTTGACTCCCACTATTTTAATTTCTACACATACGCAATACTATGTTTACAAATATTTCGCACACAACCAAATCACACATCCATAAACCCATAAATCGCGCTTGCCCCGCCCACATTACCATTCCAACCTTATTTATCTGTTCCGTGGTATCCTCAATTTAGAAATTTCATGATCTGACGAATTAAACAATGTGGCGAGTTTTATTCAGCTGCAATGCAATCCGCTTGCAATCCCCGCGGTCCAGGGGGGAATTCGCCTAACGGGATTGCTTTGGAAGACGCTATCGCTTACGATTTCATTTTGTCATTTCTGACAGCCGAAGGTTTTTAAATGAAAATGAATGAAAATATATTTATTGGAACTAATTAAGGTTACATGTATAATTAGGTTCGTTAATAGCTATATTAGTTTCTAGAACTGTGTTACAGCTATTAGCGCCCACCTCCAATAATAATATCTCACGCTCATTTTCTTTAATATTGTTATTAACAATGCAAAAGAAAAAAAAAGAGCGCGAGGCATCTGAAACCTCAGGTGGCTAGAAATAACAAAATGAAATCGTAAGCGATAGCGTTTTCCTAAACAATCTTGCTAGGCGATTGGCCCCCTGGAGATATTTCGAACCGATTCATTGTAGGAGTGCAGGAACTTTGTAACATGAAAGTAAAGTTTTATTTGGCAGGTTAACTGCAACTTTTGGGTTGTGTAGGTAATGGTTTTCATGGTAGGTGGGTCCTGGTACTGTGAAGGAAATTTCGATAGCTTAAAAGGAGAGAAAAAAATTAGTAGTGCTCAATCCAGTGCTGACATATATAATGTGCAAAAAAAAGAAAAGACAATATTATTAGAGATTAACAAAAAAAAGATTACTTCTTACATTTAAACCAAAAAGATTATAAAACAATAAATATGTAAGTACAAAAGAGATTATTAACAAAAGGCTATTTACACAAGAATTCGCAACAGGTACCATATTCTTCTAACGAGAGTAGGTAAATAGAAAATTACTTGGCTAGTTTAACAAATTAATCTCCATTATAAGCATGAATGAGATCGCATGCATTTAGTCGCATTGAACAATTACTTGCCCTGTCGTTAAATGATGTGTAGGTATGTGACTATGTGTGTATTGTGCGACTATAACGAGAGAAATAATCACGCGACACCACACCCGTGTCACCATGATCGTAATTATTTACTTTACACGACCTTAGATTAAAACAAAAAGGGAAGAAAAGGCACTCGCGGCTCAAAAGTGATCCGCTTAAATTGTGGTGCATTACCACAATTAGCATCATCAACAGCCTATCTTAGTCCACTGCTGGACATAGGCCTCTCCAAATGCACGCCACTTAGATCGATCTTGGGCTACTCGCATCCAGCTCCTGCCAGCCACTTTGCGCAAATCGTCACTCCATCGCGCCTGAGGACGTCCTACACTACGTTTGCCTAGACGCGGTCTCCACTCCAGAACTCGTCTACCCCAACGGTTATCGGTTCTTCGACAAATATGGCCAGCCCACTGCCACTTCAACTTGCTAATCCGGTGGGCTATGTCGATAACTCTGGTTCTCTGCCGGATTACCTCATTTCTGATGCGATCCTTCAGAGAAACGCCGAGCATAGCCCTTTCCATAGCGCGTTGAGCGACTTTGAACCTGTGGACCAGCCGTACCGTCAGTGTCCACGTCTCGGCTCCGTATGTCATCACAGGTAGGACGCACTGATTGAAGACTTTCGTCTTCAGACACTGTGGGATCGACGATGTCAGGACTTGACGTAACTTCCCAAACGCTGCCCAACCTAGCTGAATTCTTCTATTCACCTCGTCCTCAAAGTTGTTTCTACCTAACTGCAATGTCTGCCCGAGGTACACATATTTTTGAACAACTTCGAGAACGGCACCGTGTATTGCAATCGGTTCCGCTAGAACATGTTCATTGAACATCACCTTGGTTTTATCCAAGTTCATCCGTAGGCCGATGCGTATAGAAGAGTCAGCCAGGTCATTCAGCATCTGTTGTAGGTCCTGCAGGGTTTCTGCCATGATGACGATGTCGTCTGCAAATCGCAAGTGAGAGATGCGTTCGCCATTTATGTTGATGCCACGTCCTTTCCAGTTTAGCGTCTTGAACATATCCTCCATTGCATTAGTGAACAATTTCGGGGAAATAACGTCCCCTTGTCTCACTCCACGATGCAATGGTATGGGACTTGTTTGCTGATTCTGTACTTGGACAGACATGGTGGCGGCTTCGTACAGACATCTAATCACTTGGATGTATCGCCAGTCGACTTGGCAACGCTGCAGGGACTCCAGAACAGACCAGATTTCAATCGAGTCAAAGGCCTTCTCATAGTCCACAAATGCTAGGCACAGGGGCTGATTGTACTCTTCAGTCTTCTGTATAATCTGCCGCACTGTGTGTATGTGGTCTATGGTGCCGTATCCGCTCCGAAACCCAGCCTGTTCCGGTGGTTGGAAGTCATCAAGTCTTCGCGCAAGACGGTTCGCGATCACTCTTGAGAACAGCTTATAGACGTGGCTTAGAAGGGATATGGGTCGATAGTTCTTAAGTTGGGTCTTGTCCCCCTTTTTAAAGAACAAGACAACCACACTCCTACTCCACGCCTCCGGAGTACTCCCTTCGAACAGGACAGTGTTGAAAAGCTTTTGGAGCTCCCTCAGTACGGGTTTACCTCCAGCCTTTAAGAGTTCTGTTGAAACACCATCCTCTCCAGGGGCTTTTCCATTTTTAAGCTGTCCAAGAGCAATTTCGATTTCGCCAATACTGACTTCTGGCAGGTCTTCGGTGAAGTGGCGTGTTAATGTGGCTCTAGAATCCTCATTTCCGGGATCGGGTCGAGATGCATGTGATGCGTACAACTGGCTGTAGAAGTCTTCCACTTCCGAAAGGACTGCCGGCTTTGAAGCAACAACTTCCCCACTTGCTGTGGTCAACTTCGTCAGATGGCTTCTTCCAAGAGATTGTACGAACACTTTGGATCCTCGATTCTGCTCGATCGCTCTCTCGATCGAGAGAGTATTGGAGCACCGGAGGTCGCGTCGTACGTGCTTACTGATCTCTTGGTTTAGAGTCCGCTTTGCCGACTAAGTGACGGGTGGATTTTCACGTCGTTCCTTCATTAGCCTAAAGTCTCTTCCGAAAGCTTTGACTTCCTGCCCTTACGCTGCGTTGCACATAATCTCGTACCCTCTTTTCTCTGAGGATCCGTACCACATTTTCGAGGTTTTGGTTTACGTCTGTTGTGGTTTCCACTGCAGCAAATCGGTTCTCCAGGTTTGACTGGAACGTTTCAGACCCTGTTATAGATTGGAGCAGAGTAGGTTGGAGCCTGGATTTCATCAAACGGACGCGCTCGGCCTTAAAGTTGATATTCAAAGAGCCCCGGACGAGTCGGTGATCACTACCGGTATTGAACCTGTTGATCACTGAGACGTCTCTGAATATGTACCTCTTGTCCGTCATGATGAAATCGATCTCATTTTTAGTCATAGTGTCGGGGCTTTGCCACGTCCACTTCCTTTGGGGTTGTTTCTTGAAGAAAGAGTTCATCAAGAAGAGCCCCTCCCGTTCGAGGAAGTTGACGAGCATTTGCCCCCTATGATTTCTGCTTCCAAATCCATGGGATCCTACTACCGATTCGCTGCAATTCTGTACTCCCACTTTAGCGTTGAAGTCCCCCATAACAACGTTGTAGTGGGTCTTAGTAGTGGAGTGGAGGGCCCTCGATATATCATCGAACATATCCTCCACTTCGTCGTCCGAGTGTGTCGAGGTCGGTGCGTACACTTGCACCACCTTGAGGCTATACCTCTCGGTGAGCTTTATAATAAGGTACACTACCCTGTTCGACACGCTGGATATTTCCACAACGTTATCGGCAAGGGACTTATTCACCAAAAACCCAACGCCACTTTGGGACTGTTGGTCTCCCCCGCGGCAGTACATTACGTGGCCAGATTCGAGCGTTATGGTGTCCTCCCCCTCTCTTCGGACTTCACTTAACCCTAAAATGTGCCACCTAATCTTCCCAAGTTCCACCTCGAGTTGCGCCAGATGCGAGTCAAGCCGTAGCGTGCGTCCGTTGTACGTCGCCAGGGTCAGTCTATTGTGGTGGCCTCCCGTAGCCCGGAGATTCTTCGCACCCCCCGCCCCGCCGTTACCGTGGCCAGGAATAACGGGGCTACCGGGAACTGGGGGCCGTGGCTTTTTGTTTGTGTGCATTCAAGGTATTGCCCATAATCGCCACGCTGGGCAGGCGGGTTGGCGATCGCAGAACGTAGGTTATTTCACTGATGACGCTGCTGCCCGTCACCAATGAGATTTTCCTCCCCTACGTCGTTGGATGGTTATACCGCCATCGGTCGGTTTGCCAGAGCCTCGTCTGTTGGTCAACAGGGTGCACCACGTGAAGGTGAGGTTGGCTTGGGTTCTTGCAGGTATATTAAGAACCCCTTACACCCCAATTAGCATATAAGTCACAAATGGACATTCAAACAGGCTGCATGTGCACTCAATATAACAATTTTGCGTATCATCATCATCAACAGCCTATCTTAGTCCACTGCTGGACATAAGCCTCTCCAATTGCACGCCACTAAGATCGATCTTAGGCTACTCGCATCCAGCTCGTATGTTCTGTGTTATAAAGATAAAACAACGCCTTCGATGCTTATATTATAAAGAACACAAATAGTTCATAGTTCAAGATCAAATAACAAATTTTACAGTAGGTAACACGTTTTCTTCGTAAAACTATGAAGAAATTTGTTTTCTCAAAAATCACGGTTTGTCATGAATGTTATATAATTTATCACCATTTGTTATCAAGAAAAGGACAAAAATAAAGCTCAGCCGTTTGTAGAGAGAGAAACGAGAACGCAGTCGCCAAAAGATAAACTGATCGTTACATATACACAGTTAACTTAACATATTATGATGATTAGTCTTGACCTGGATCATGAAAAGCAAATACACTGCTGCCATTCCCGAACTGAAAGAAAGTACAAATACATCAGTCGAATTGAGAACCTGCTACATTATAATTTGAAGTCGGTTAGGTTAATTATTTTCGTTTGAATTGTTTACATGCTTCAGTGCTACAAATCAGTATGTAACTGTATCGTATATGCTATTCTTCTTATAAACATTCTAGCTGTAGTGCAAAGTCCACAATATCCTCTCCTTTATTATCTGATTTGTCGCTCGTTCGTTTAACACTAATTAACACTTTTTCCTTATTTTCCAGCACATCGAACGCTTCCTCAACGAGTCTGATCACGGCGTCGTGTTGTTCAGCTTCGGTTCTTTGCTTAAAACGTCCACGATGCCAGAGCACAAGGAAAAAACTATAATGAAAGCCCTCTCTCGGCTCAAGCAGAATGTTATCTGGAAATATGAGGACAGCGCGGAGGAAGGCACTCGGATTGGCAACGTACTTAAGGTCCGGTGGTTACCACAGTACGAACTATTAAGTGAGTATGCTGCTATGCTAGAATAAAAAATAAGAAAGAATAGCTAACATCATGCACTGAGTGCGGACGGCAATGCTCCCGGTGTTGCTTTTGCTTTCAAAGCTCTTAGCAGCCGCTATCAGGCAACTTTTGACGCCTTAAGATCTATTTAAAGTCGTCAAAAGTTGCCTGGGGGCCATTCGCCTAATGGAAATGCTGTGGAAAACGCTAACGCTTTCGATTTTATTTTGTTATTTCTGACCGCCGAAGGTTTTCAAATACCTCACGCTCATTTTTTTTAATATTGTTATTACCAATGCAAAAGAAAAAAAAGAGCGCGAGGCATTTGAAAACCTAAGGTGGCTAGAAATAACAAAATGAAATCGTAAGCGTTAGCGTTTTCCTAAGCATTTCCGTTAGGCGAATGCCCCCCTGGTGTACCTATAAAAATATATTATACTAGCTGACCCAGCGAACTTCATACCGCCCTAAAAAATAGGGGTTGTCCAGCGGACAAAATTGTGAATCTAAACCATTCTTCCCATCCCCTTGAACACACACAAAAAATTTCATCAAAATCCGTCCAGTCGTTTAAGAGAAGTTCAGTGACATACACACTCACAGAAGAATTATATATATAAAGATTAAACAGTTATCAGCTGTTTAGGTACTTGGCCAGCTTTTCGTTGGTTCGCGATCAATTACGTTATACCAATACCTTGATGGTGTTAATGTAAGCGGCTAATCATCTTTTACAAAATGTTGCGGAGTTATCTTTTGTTTTACTTCAGTAGCAGCTGCCACAGAATTTATTTCTGTGATCAGCTAGCTGCACTTCACTATTATGCATTGTGACAAACGTAAAATGCTATCCCAACTCGTGATATACTTATTTTTGATTAGTTCCTGTGATGGTCATCAGAATTTTAGACATAATTCCTCAATCAAATGTGCCTAATCATCTTTTACAAAATGTTGCTTATTCCAATTCAGGGACGTTATTGGTTGAGGAGTTATCTTTTGTTTTACTTCAGTAGCAGCTGCCACAGAATTTATTTCTGTGATCAGCTAGCTGCACTTCAATATTTATGCATTGTGACAAACGTAAAATGCTATCCCAACTCGTGATATACTTAATTTTGATTAGTTCCTGTGATGGTCATCAGAATTTTAGATAAAAATCCTAAATTAAATGTGCCTATAATTTTTAAAGAGTTCCCTTGATTTATTCAGGATACCAATATCAGATCTTGATTGGTAAATTTGGGGCCACCTCGGGAACATAATGTTATACTAAATAAAAATATATTTTTTAGAAACCGTTCACAATTCACGAAGATGTTGGCCAGCATACACAATAAAAACTGTAGTTGCCAGTAGTTACCACTATATATTTGAGCAGGTGTCTTTATTTAAATACTAATTAATATCAATCTATGTATCTCAATTAAAATACCTAAATCAAAGTCAAACTGCGTCTGAAACCCAAAATCAATTCGATATATATATATATTTTTAATACGAAAGATAACCGCGGTTTTTTTTTGTTTTCTCCCAGGCGGGGGAGCGGGTTTGAACTCCTCATTGATACCTTCGGCTGCAAGGTTATTTCAAACTCTTACTGACTAAAAGCTTCATCTGAAGCGATCATCCCCGCCGATATTTTCAAGTGCTTATAATATACTTTTTATAACAACGTAAGGTTAGACTCAGAAGCCATTTTCTTCGTCAATGGGTAGCGGTTCTGGCGACAGATTGGTGCAATGGTGTCATGTAGCACCTGCTTTTGTACCCTTGTGTACCCTTCAACGGCCAAGTCACACAACATTAACTCCTTAGACTTGGCAGGACTTTGTCTAGATTTAATTACTTTTTAGAGATAAACAAGCAGCTCCATCGAGACTTGGCCAGTTTTTTACAGAATGTTTTTGGTGGGATTTCACTTCTTTTTGTAGAAACGTGGGCATATTGATTTATTTTATTAGATTTTCTTATTTGACACATTATTTTTCTTTTTAGGAGTAGTCTTTTTATTATTACAAATCTTTCTTTTCTTTTTTTCCGGTTCTGGTTCTTGTACAGTAGCCGCAGCGTTTCGTATTGCCCAGTCGCGTTCTTTATTTATTCTTTGAGACGGTTTAATTTCTGAAAGATCGGCGCGGTATTTATTTCTAAGCCGGTTGTATTAGGTGATCGCTGAAGCTTGAGCTTTTATACTCTTGAAGTCAACATTTATGAGGTGCACCTCATGAAGATTGGTTACTCGTGAAAGCGCCACGTAGGCTTGGCCACAAGAGAATATGGAGGTGCCAATGTCTATGAGGACATTTTTTTGACTTAGACCTTAGTATCACCGCCACTCTTAGTCCAATGCATTATTAAATTTCTGCGTTTTGGTCTTATCCAGAGGTTCTCAAATAGGGGCCTGAAAATGCGGGGAAATGGTTCCAGTAAAGGATGGTACGGCAGTGTTTGCTTCGCGCTCGACTTGGCGAGGGCACTGCCGTGCCCCCCGATATGTGTGTACAATATATACATGTATGTATATTATACATATTTCATTTACTAGCTATAAGAGAAAGAGGGAAAGAAAAGTGCGCGCGCACTGCTTTCTCTTGTTTATATCCCCCACTCAACTCCCGTTCACCTCGCCCGAACACACTATTCGTAACGCGTAACGCATTCGCCAGCTTATCCCCCAAGTCAAGCGTGCGTAAAGAATTTCACTTCAAAAATGTGGCGATGTAATTAAAATTAATTATAATATACATAGACGCCGGATATGGAACCTCCCCCTTTTTTGTTTAAAAAAAAGACGCTTTTTTGTTTAAGTCGGTTAAAAAGAGTGCTCAACAAAATCGTACAAAGATAGTCAAGGATAAAGTAAATGAGACAGTTATAATTACAGCAAGCAATTATTGTAGGAGACGACGTAAATAATGGGGCAGTGACGACAAGCAATCTATTACTATTGGTTGTTAACAGAAACCATATGACTTAGACTTTAGACCATACACATATATAATATAGGTATTTGGTATATGCTCTAAACCATATGAGGACGATGAAAAATCGAAATCCTTTTAATATGTATATGGTCTGTTTAAACAAGTGTATCTTTGTTTTTTTTTTAATATTTCCAACACTCACACCTATTATGCCCCACCAGCCCCAAAGTATGCACTGTATTTAAGGCTTGTGTTATGAGATACTAGGGTAACGGATAGAATACATATACAGTACATATATCTCATATAAGTATATTTACATAGAAATACATATTAAACATACATGACTGGAGTACAAAGGCTCGTATTCATCATACAAACATCTGCCGACATTCGAACCCAGGAGACCTCTCCAGTCGGTGACACCGATAAACCCGGCGTACAAACCACTCGGCCACGGAGGTCGTCATTAACCATCGTCGTCGTGTTTAACCATCTTGCGTTCAAGTTTCCTGATACCTGCTTTCATACTTACCTGTTTGGCGTTATATAGGTAGGTATATATGACACGACGTAATTAAACTAGATAACCCACTTCTTACTATGAATAAACGGGGAAATCTTAGCCGACATCGCCTAGAAAGCGGTCTCTTTAAGAGATATACATATAAATTTAGTACCTACCTTGACCATAGCTAAAAATAACTTAAATCAACGATAACAACAAACTAACTTATGTGTTTATTTTTGTTTAAAAACCGCCCGCGACTTTATGCGTGTTAACTTTAGATTTGCAGAATCCCACAGGAACCTAACATTTTTCCGGGGGAAAAGTATTCAAGTCACAAACTATATGCGTACCAAATTTCATCCAAATTCGTTCAGTAATTTTTGCGTGATTGAGTAACAAACATATACACATACAAACACCCAAACTTTCACATTTATAAAATTAGTAGGAAATAGGATTAAATTAATAAGTTTTATTAAATAATTATATACTTATCTAGTTTAGTAATTGAATACAAAACCGACCTCACAGATGATAACCCACTTTTTTGCTTTTATAAATAAGAAAATGAAGACGACATTGCCAAACTAGCTCAAATAAAATAGATTGTCTGCAATAAATAAGTAATAGGTTTGTTTTGCTGTGAGTAGTACATTGACAGATATTTCTTTGATAAGATAAGCATTTTATTTCGTGGTTTCGATTATTAAGTGTACAAACACTTTATCTAATGAATGACTTTTGACTAATCAAGTTAATCTATGTTTAACCATGTTGTTTTTAGATTAAAAAAACAAAAAGTGTTTTTGATTTAATCTAAGGGAATATTAAAGTAAATTAGTATGAATAGCTAGCGAGGTACTTAATATTTTTTTAACCGCTGTATATGTTTTTTTGTATTTTTCTTCTTACTGCTTGTTTATTCAAAAACCTGTGTAAGGTATCTGCAGTTTGACTTGGATTTTAAAAAATGTGTAATTTAAATAAAAATGTTTAAGTAGGTAGACGAGCGTATTTTGTACTTGAGTCATGGCTATTTATTTATTTCCATTACCACAAAAATAATCTCTTCTTATCTTTATCTATCAGTGAAGTATTTCTATACGTGTCACCCTTCTATCCTATAACACAAGGCTTCTAGTGCTTACTTTGGAAATGTAAACATTTATAAAGGCAATCTCTAGACAAGTCCGTCTGTCTGTGGTGCTGTTTCAGCGGCTAAACCGTAAGAGATAGATAAAGAGAATATTTAAGTTATAAGTTAAGAAAAGTCTGATAAGACTACAAACCGGATTTGAGTAACGTAGCACTTCCGGTTTTCGAGAAATCAGGTTTTGGTGAACATTTGGTTCACTGGTTTGCTAGTATAAATTATAATATTGTGGATGGAAGATAGCTTAATAAACGGATATGTACCTACATATTATACCCAGACCCGTCTTTCCCAGTGGGCACTTTGGGCAAGAGCCCAGGGCCTCGTGATCAATAGGTGGGCACCTCAGATCACAAATACAAAGTCCCTAGTTCTTGTTAGATCACCAAACGGTCGTAGGGGCCCCATTATCCTAATATGTCCAGGGCCTCCAATAGATCAAAGACGGCACTGATTATACCTTTTAATCCAATTTAATATTATAAATGTGAAAGATTGTAAGTTTGTGTGTTTGTTACTTAGTGACGCAAAAACTACTGAATGGATTTGGATGATATTTCGTATGCATATCGATACCTTTGGGTAGCAAGGTCGTTTAAAAACTATTTTGGCCAAATTGAGTTACCATTGTTCTCAGTTTTTTTTTCTCTATGGTCTGTATATACGAAATGCAGAAATTCGCACAAAAATGGTTAATACGACCCAGAAATTTTCGGTAATAGCTTCTTAAAAAAGTTAAATTTTCAATATAAAAGCCGAATGTTTTTTTTTTGTAGTTTTGTTATGATGTAATGACCATAATTTATATTAACTCAGGGCGTAAAATTGTAAATGGTTTATACACCCTAAACACAGTTTAAATTCGACGTCGTAAATACATTTTTGGTAAGCTTATGGTCACATTTTTACCGTCGTTAAAACCCATATTTGCAGTTTTTTTTTGTATTCAAAACCATTTTAAATCATAGATCAATTGAATTCTGGCTAATATACAATCCTCTTACTCCCAGAATTAGTAGGAACTCAATTATTATTATTCTATTCTAATACCCAATAATGGTCGATTCAAATAAAATAAAACTACCTGAAATACGAAATCAACATTTATTGAGTATTATAATGCCCCATTTAGTACATCTTCTTTTGGATTTTAATGAATGCTTATGTAGTCAGGCAGTTTTTAAAATTAGTCAGAAGTTATGGAACATCTATATTTTATTTTATTTCAATTGAAAATCCATTCTGTTTTACTCAATTCATTTTTATTTAGTATCGAGCATTTTTTTATATCTTAAATTAAAGTTAGGAAGGAGATTATTTTACTTAAAAAACTACAAGCAATAGGCATTCTGTTAAAAAAAAATTAAGAAAAATCGACCCAAAAAGAAGTTGTACTGTTTTAAAGTTGTCTGTCTTGTCTTGTCTTTTTTAAATCATCATCATCATTCAACTTAAAAAATAACGAAAAAAAATCTAACTCGAAAACTACGCAAAATCGTAGAACATACATGGGGGTTAAATAGATAGGTATGGTACTCCGCTATCAGCTCACACTGGCTTGACACCCTAGAAGAAACATCCTGTATAACCGGGTTCAAATCTCGATTGGAATAAATCTTACTAATATTATAAATGTGAAAGTTTGTATGTTTGTGTGTTTTTATTGGACTCAATCACTTATAAACTACTGAACGGATTTGGATGAAATTTGGTACGCTTATAGTTTATGACCTGAATAGAGACATAGGATACTTTGTACCCCGGAAAAGTGGTAGATTCCTGAGGGATATACCAAAAAACTAAAGGTAACGCGGAAAAAGTCATTGGCGGACGCTAGTGCAGTATAATTAAGTTATTTTTCAATCACAAATGATTCCTTTTACCACAGGGCACAAGAAAGTCCTAGCTTTCATAGGGCACGGAGGGATTCTCGGCATGACAGAGGTGATATCGGTTGGCAAGCCGATGCTGGTGGTACCGTTCTTCGGAGATCAGCCAAACAATGGAGCCATGGCAGAGCAAGTAGGACTGGGCTTGTCATACTCCTACCAAGATCTCACTGAAGACTCGTTCTATGAAGCGATCAAGACTGTATTGAGCGCTGAGTAAGTACTAAGACAAATCTGCTTTGTATTACGTCGTAGGATGATTTGAAAGATCGAATTTTCGCTAAAATCCTAGGGACTTTGCGAAACGCGGATAATTAGACAATGGTAAATGACATTTCTTAATTTAACTAAAAAAATATAGGATTTTTTGCGAAAATGCGAGTTCAGTAAGGTTGCGAAAAGAAACGTTGGCTAAAGTTGGCTTATCCTAGTGTCCGTGTCCGTGTGAAACGTTGGCCTAAATCCCTTGGATCTTCGCGAAAATTCTATATATCAAATCATCCTATGAAATAACATAAGAAATAATCTCTCTGAACTATCATAATTTTCCATGCACTTTTAACTGAATCAGTTTTTAAAAAGTTGTAAATAATTTTAAACAGTCATTCGGTCCCGAATCTCGATATCGCAGTAGGTACAAAGTGCATTATTATAGGCTAATAGGTTACGTATCATATCACAGCTGTCTGTGGCGTATCAAGATTTCGAGAAAATCCATCATTGACGATAACCTTGAATAATACGTGTCTGATAGTCGTATGAAAATGTTATCTTTTGTATCAGTCACTATTTATCACAGAAATAAATAAAAACAGAAAAAAAACAAATTTATCGAAACGACTTCCTCTATGAAAAATAATTTACTCTCTAAACAAACTTGCTATCCCTATTCTCCTTTTTTAGAGGGCCCCTATATCTCCATACCAAAGTTCAACTTTAAAAAAAACTAGAATTACCTACCCTACAACTACTTACTACATACATCAAAAAAAGTTTATGCAACACGCATAATTTACAGAAACTGTGTGTTTTATTAATTGATGTTCATTATTTTCTTAGAAAAGTAGATTTGCTTAATAGCTTTTTTGGTTTGATAATAAAATTTTCCGGTTTTAAAAATGGACAATGGCCATAAAAAAATTCAAAACCGTATAACATGTTTCTTAGACTTTTTTGATAAATAATACTACGTACTTACTTATTTCTATTATTAGAATGACTCAATCATCCCTTTATTATTTTTTATTGTGTTTCGAGGAGCTCGGTGGCGCAATGGTTAGACCCCAACACTTCGTGCACACTATCTCGGGTCATAAATTCATCTTCAATAAGTGTACCTATATAAAATATACCTAACCATATTTTTATTACAGAATGCGTCTCAGCGCACGACGTGTCTCCAAAATTTGGCAAGATCGAGATATGAAGCCATTAGACAAAGCAGTTTACTGGGTTGAGAGAGTCGCCCGTTGGGGCCACCATGATCCTCTACATTCTGCATCTAGAGACTTGAACATCATTCAAATATCTCTACTAGACGTAGCCGCAACATTCATACTAGGAATAATTCTTCTCATCTTTGTCACTAAAATGTTATTATCATTTGTGTTAAGAATCGTTAAAGTTAATTTCAATTCCAAAGTTAAAGATAAGTTGCAGTGAAAACAGTAATTAATAATAATAATAAAGTTGTAAGTAGATATAATGATGGTGAATACATATTTTTATTGTGAATATAAATTATACTTATACTCGTATTTTCCGTGATACTTGTTTTAGATTTTATGTCTGCATGTGTTGGTACAGATGTCTTTTAAGTAATTACTTTATAAATTTGGTTTTATCTACGTAACCTACTGATAATCTAGTTCGAATAAGTTTTATTTTGTTTTTATAGTAGGTATTAATGGATTGGGAAACAAAGTCTTCTGTACTGTAAAAATTTTTTGATTCGTTTTACAGATATAGGTAGGCAAGAGTATCGAGTATAATTTAATAGAAAATGATTTAATTATAAAATTTATAGGCTCCAGTTCCTCAGTTATTTTGTAAGGTAATGTTGATTTCGAAATACATGTATTGAAATTTTTTGTTGAACACTTTTATTTTATTTGAGATAATAAAAAAAAGTAGCCCACTTATTTATGTCCGTTCATAAAATAGGAATTGTAAAGCTGCGAACGGATAGCGCGTTTACCCTTAGCACCAACCAATATCGCATTCGTATCGTTTGCGAGTCCGAAATGTCATTGTCAAATGTGTACTGATTTTTAGTTCTCGTTACGTACTTTGTGCCGTGCGTTCGTGCTAAGGGTTCTAGGGGTACAGTAACCCTTCCTTAGCACGAACCAATATCGATATCGAATAGTTTGCGAGTGCGAAATGTCATTGTCAAATTTTGTATGGAAACTTGAATAGCAGCGGCACAAAGTACGTAACGAGAACTAAAATTCAGTACACATTTGACAGTGCCCTTTCGTACTTACTTGCAAACGATACGAATTCGATATTGGTTCGTGCTAAGGGTACTGCACGCGTAATTGGCTACGCGTTCCCACAAGGCTATAAAAATTCTGCGCCATCTCTCGGGATGTGACTGTGACATAGTTGTATTTTAAGTTGCATGAAAGATACATAAAATATATTTTCTTACGGAAAAGGAAAAACAGTAACTACCTACTCCAGCTGAGGTCTCTTGTGGCACCTGAATAAATGTGGTTCAGGGTTCGAACCTCAACGCCTACCACAGTCCACGATACCATTAAAGTTCATTCATTTGAAAGTAATTCACAAACGTCAATTATATTCTACTTACGAGAAGCTCGATGGCGCAGGTGGTTAGCCTGTTCGGCTGCGATCGTTGAAGTTAAGCAACTTTCGCAGTGGTCGGTCATTGGATGGGTGACCAAAAATCTTCTGTATCGAGTTCCTCCATGCTTCGGAAGGCACGTTAAGCCGTTGGTCCCGGCTGCATCTGCAGTCGTTAGCACCCGCCAATCCGCACTGGGCCCGCGTGGTGGGTCATGGCCCAATCTCCCTATTCCACCCATAGAGAAGGCCTGTGCCCCAGCAGTGGTGACATTAATAGGCTGATGATGATGATGATGATTCGACAACCTTAGTAAGTTCACACAATCTTACAAAATATCCGCTTGAATTCTGTTGTCTAACTGATTCAAATAATTGCTTACAAAGAAATACCTATATTTCTTCATTTACCTATCTTGGTTAGTGTAATCGCAAACAAGAAATTATCTTTAGTGGTTCGCAACAATATCACGACACCTCGCGGTTTCACGCTTCCGGGTAATTTGATCATCGATGCCTATGATTATTTTCTAGAACAATAATTATGTATTTCTCTAGAATTACTGATCATAACAAATAAATATAATTACAGTTTCTATAATAGCAATCTAAATTTAATTAAATAAATTCTTACTTCGCTTAGGTAAATTACCCATATAAAATAAATATTTCAGCAGAAAGCTCATTAATATTTCCCATTAGTTAACTTTCCTCTCTTTAGATGATTGAAAAGGCATTATTATCTTAGCTAATTACCTTGGAAGATGGTAAAAGTATTTTCAGGTAGGTATATGTATTAAAGAAAAATATATTAAAATATACAATTGCTATTTCTTCTTTCGAATGTGGAGTATCATCGCTACATAATATAGGTATGTACCTATAATGGCCGGCGCAGACGAGGGGTTTCTGTCCGCCAAAGTAGATCACTTACATCTGCATAGAGTTCGAGTACTCCACAGTGCTATTCTGTTATCACGCGAAAAAATAAAAAAAATGTGTCTACAGAATAGCATGGATTCAGGGACTTTTGTCCTTTGCGGACAAAAGCCATTTGACTGCGCAGGTCATAAAAGTATCTCGTTCAACAAAATAGTTTACGTATCTAAAATGTAAAGAGATGGCGTTGCGTTACAGCCTTATACACCATATATCTACCATTGAGAGTGGTAGATATATGGTGCTCGGACTATGGACTAAAGGTAAACCCGGGTAAAACAGAACTAGTTCTGTTCACCAACAAAAGGAACCTGGGCAGCTACCGTATGCCAGTATTATTCGGCAAGACGCTGTGTTTCTCCAAGGAGGTAAAGTATTTAGGCATAAACCTAGACGCCAAACTCAACTGGGGACCACATATTGACAAAACCATTAAGAAAGCCTGCATCATTTTGTACCAATGCAAGAGAATGCTGGGTAAGAGGTGGGGCTTATCCCCGTTTATAACAAAATGGTTATACACGACGATAATAAGACCCATCATAGGCTATGCAGCGCTTGTATGGTGGACGAAGACAACGCAGGTAACAACCATAGACAAACTTATGTGCTTCCAAGGGAGGGTCTGCCGGGCGATAACGGACTGCATGAAAACCACCCCTACTGCAGCACTAGAGACGATTCTGAACGTAAGACCACTACATTTCTACATTCAGCAAGAAACAGCATGTGCGTCTACTAGGCTCCATATGCTGGGCTTGTGGAGAGACTACAATACGCCACATAATCGTATTCTAAAAGGTATTGAGGAAGAATACCCCTTCTTCATGGCGAAAAACGACATTATCCCTAGACAGTACGTATTTGACAAAAAATATAGAATACAACTAAGTATATGAAGACAATCCTGACCGAGGACTGCACAAGGAGCTCAGGGTATACACAAACGGCTCCAAAACCAGCTCAGGTACTGGTGCAGGTGTGTTCTCAGAGGATATCAACATTCATATATCAGACAGCCTGAGTATCCTCAATAAGGTCTTTCAGGCGGAGTGTATAGGCATTGTCAGATCAGCGAAGGCCATCACACGACGTGCAATCAGGGGTAAGAACATCCGGATACTTTCTGACAGTGCCTCGGTACTCCAGGCGCTAGAGTTGTCAAGCGCCTGGAGTAATATGACGTCGGGCTTGGTTTTTGAATGCCACTGCAAACTTATGGAGGTAGGCAAAGAAAACGAGGTTATACTCCAATGGATAAAAGGACATAGTGGGTCAAGGGGCAATGATGCAGCAGATTGTCTGGCCAGGAGATGGTCGAACACTGTGGTATTTGGCCCAGGACCAATCGTATCGATCCCATACCGGCTGCTGCGAAGTTGGATTAGGGAACGGTACCTGCTTCAGCACAACTAATACTGGGCTGGACTTACAGACTGCAGGCACGCCAGGTAGACCCACGGCTAGCAAGTAAGTTTTGCAAGTTACCAAGACATGCTTTGAAACAAATAGTGAGCATTCTCACAGGACACGGACACTTTAATAAACATCTGTTTAAAATAGGTGTCTCGGACAGTCCTCTGTGCAGAACCTGCATGGAGGAAGAGGAGACGAGCACTCCCTTCCTGCTGCAGTGCAGAGGCGTGGCCAGACATCGGATGACACACCTGGGCAGCCCGCAGACGCTACTCGAGGCCTGCGGAGACATCAAGAGACTGCAGAGCTTCTTGGGGGAGTTGGGATGGCACGACTAAGGCCAACCTCACACGCAAAATAGGCACCTGATGTCGAGTTGCGGAGAACACCCACCGTTAAGAAGAAGAAGAAGCATGAGCTAGCAGTTTGTGTTTTTAATCTTATGAATAAAGACTGTGATAGCCAAAACATTACAATGTATTTTATAATGATTATTTTACCCCCTCGTGTGTGTAAGTGGATGATTTATGCCACAAGTTGAGAAAATTATTTTCATTTTATCATATTTCGTAATGATTTTTAATTTACACATCTAATATAATAAGTTTGTAGAGAAACTGTTCAGGATTGATTTAATGCGCTTACCACACGCACAAGCTTCACCACAGTTTGGCCTGCGCAAGCATCTCGCACGAAAAAACTGTACACTTTGTGCGTTACCACTCAGCACAGTTAAGTACGCGCAAGCCTCATTCTTATCGAAATCATTTGCGTGGAAACAATGTTTCCTAATGAAGAAACATTTCTTATGCTACTATTTTTCAAGTGTTTGCTATTAAAAAGAACATGTAAAAACGATAGGATATGTACATAATATGTGCAAGTAGTTGGTAGTAGGTATTAGGCATAGGTATTTAATTGCAAAAATTATGTTCTTACCTCTTTCATTTTATTTATCATTCTTTCGTAAGTATCGTTCTTTTTATTTCGGTCGGAATATTCTTTAGATTTAATTTTCCAGAGTGCAGGCAGAGATTTGTATAAACTAATTAATTCAGACGTGAATTCGCGATTGTACGTACGCAAATCTGCCATTTTTGAGTGACGATGACGAACGACCTCATGAAACGACGAGCGAGCCTCGACTCAAAATACACTCGACTGTGGCTTGAACACTGAACGCCCAACCACACGCACAGACAAGTACGCGCAGGCCGGGCTTGCGCAGGCAAAATTTCAAGCAAGTCGAAAAGTGCGCAGGCCGCGCTGTGGGGTTGGCGCGTGATACAGTTTTACCAACTACACGCACCGTGTTCCGTGTACAAACCGGCCTGCGCAGGCAAAACTGTGGTGAAGCTCGTGCGTGTGGTAGGCCCATAAGTCATAAATGAAGCCTGGGTGTACAGTAGAACTAGAATAATAAGAGGAAAATCGCCCGGGAAACATTTTTATTTTCCGGCCGTGAAAAACAGAGTAGATGGCTACACAGCTGAGGGGATATTGATGCTTCCCAAAGCAAAGAAAGATCTAATGTTTCTTTATAAACATTTCTGTATTTTAACTTAATAACAACAGCATAATATGAGAATTTGTCAATTACAATTTACTATAGTAAAAGTTGACAATAAGTATAAAGCAGAGAAAGCATATTATACAGACATTACTTTAGTACTTTATTTATAAAGCTGTAAATTAATAAAAAGAATGTGTATTTATAATTTTTTTTTTTTTGAAGTTATACTTCTTTAGGTGCGTTATGAAAAAATGATGAGAATGAAATTTTAAGATGCGCGCGCATCACTGTAACACAAAAAATTAGTCGCTAAGCGACCAACTTCATGCTGTTACTTTCGTGTTTACCGCACATTAAGAAAATCTACCAACAAAATAGAAATAGAATCTCTATTTTGTGGGTGCTAACGACTGGATTGTGAAGGCCTATCAAAAGTATTTATTAATCTGGAAGAACGGAACCAAAGCGCGAATCAGGAGACTACAGCGCCATCTCTTGACCATTGGTGTAGTAGAACCAAAAACCACATCTTTATTTTTTGTAATAAAGTAACAGTTATAGGTATTCATATTTATAATATTTATCCACATGTTTCTAGTTTGTATATTCGGAATACGTGTTTGAGTTTCATACAAGTGCAAATCACATATGTTCTAATAAATTTTATTCAGTAGTGATTTTAATTGAATATTTTGATTATTTATTTATTTTTTCAAATTAAAACTGAACTTTATTGACTGTGTCCTTTTCCAGACTTTTTATTAATTTATTGTAATTAATTATTTGCATGCAATTAAAAATTAATTTTAAACGATGCCAAAGAAGGATAACTTCTCACGCGCCTACATAAGTACACGCACCCATTTTTTTTTTTTTAATGTGTATGATGAAAAATCTAGTGCCTTGTAGTCAAATAGTCTAAAAGCATTTTAACACTTTTAATTTCCAATCAATTTTTTTATCACAATACAGATCAATAAAAGCATTTTATGTGTTTAGCTATAGTTGACAATTTTGAAATTTCTTATGCTAGCTGTTCCATTTCAAGCCTTTTTATTTTTATGGGTAATATGTTTACCATCTCCTGACATAAGCTATATTCCTCTTGCATCATGGCAGCGGCGTCTTTGTCATTTGTACAAATATCAACTACAGCTTGGTATGAATCATAACTTTTTTTTACATGTATCAGCTGCACACTTTTATCAACTGCAATCCTTTTCATACTATTCCTACCAATAAATGCATAAGCGCTAATAACTGGACGAATGAGATCAAAATCAAGCTTAGTTGGCATCATTCCATTTTTGTCTTTGACTGAATTTAAAAAGTGGTCATAATTCTCTATGCTTTTCTCACACAGCATATTAATTTTCTTCAAAGCATGCGGTGTAGGTTTCTCCTTAGTCTTGTTTAGCTTTTCTAGTTTAATATTCAGGATGTCCGAGTAAACTTCACCTAGTTCAAACCAAAGTTGTCTGCAGTACTGTAAGTAGTATGTGGGGTTTATTTCCTTCACAAGTTCTTCGAGCATATCTATTCTTCTTTTATGCATTTTTGCCCTCCTTTCATCATCTTCCTCAAAGAAAGCAAGATAGCTGTACGACTGGGAGCTATCTTGTATAAGCTCTATATAATCTGATGCTAAAGAATCCAATTTGTAATACTCTTTGGCTTTATTCAACCAATTCTGACAACTCAAAAACACCTCCCTTGCATCTTGATAAGTCAGAAGGAATTTGTCCCCTATTTTGTTTTCATACTTGGACACATCAATATCTGGGAAAACTAAATTTTTCACATCACCACCACAGATGTTTTCATGATCTTCAATATTCAAGTTGGACATATCTGAAATTGGATACAAAATCATGTTTAAAATAACTTTTAAACCTTAATTACCCTATTTATAGATTTTATTAGATTATCAGTTTTTATAAAGCATACTAACCTGTTATAGCATCCATGAGTCTCTCAGAATCACTCATAAGCCTTGCTTTTGATGCGGTCATCACTAACAGACAATATTTAGCCCAACATCTGGCTACATCAGCTGATCTATGCTTGAATGTCTCTAATTTTGCAAGAAATGCATCTTCATTGCTTTCCAAAGACATAAGTTTCTCCTCATAATTATCAAGAACAGTTGATGCTGCTGCTAGGTGATGTCTTGATTGATAAAACCCATTCTGTTCAGCGAAGAATTGTGATAGTGTTGCTGAATTCAATGCCCAATCAATGGGTTCATAATCAGAATACTGCAATTGCCTCCTCAAAGTGACATGACAATATATAGCCGATTTTAAATTCTCTTTCAAAGATCCATAAACTTGAGCGAGATAGTAGAGAGTCAACGTGTGAGCTTTCTCTAACAGCATAAAATCACCAGCATCAGTTTCTCCTACATTATTGATTAAGTGTTCAATTGGTAAAGGCATTTGCAAAGTACATTTGAATGTTTCATATAATTCTTTCGCACTGTTAAGAAACACTTTGGCTTTTCCTGGTTCATCTCTATTGGACCACAGGATACCCAGATTATTGTAAATGTTAATCAATGTTATGACTACTTCAGGCTTTGTGGAATTTGGGGTCAGTAATTCCAATGCCTCAGTTAAGACTCTCTCACTAGAAGGTAATTCTTCAGTTTCCATATCTACAACACCAATATTTAATAACACTGCTCCTAACATTGCATCTAATTTGATACTACATACATTAGACTCTTTAGTCATCATTTTCTTCAGAGTATCACACATATTAGAGAGAATTTCTTTAGCTTTATATTTAGAATAGTATGGCTCATTTTCAGGATCATTCTTGCTGTCCTCATCAAGAAGTTTACGTACCTTGGCATAATTTTCTTTGAAATCATTAATGATCTCCTTTGCAGTCATTTCAGAGGTTACTATCATGTTAAAAGGGATAATTTGAGCGATTACAATATTTGAGGTACAAATTTAAAGCAGTTTGTTATAATTTCAAGCAGCCAATTGTTATTTATTGAAAAATCACTTTCATCGGTAAGATAAATCTCATGAACATAGTAGTTTGGACTTGGGGTAATTTCGAACTATTTTAGTCGCAAGTTTATTAGAAACATTCAAAAACCAAAACAGACAGATGGATTGTAAAAAATCAAATTGTCAACAACTAAATCAACATCACAAATGTCAACTGTAATGTCAGCCCATATCTTGGCTATTCGTATATGCTCTTTGTAAACTTGACAACAGTCTGTCTCTATCATGACTTGTAAGGAATGAAAAGGACAGATTGATATAAAGTTCGCATATAGCAAATACGAATAGCCAAGTAAAGTGTCAGCATAACAGTACGTAGACTCAAAACACAGAATGAACTAGGACGCTGATTCACTTTTATTCATACTGTACCCCTAGCACGAACCATTATCGAATTCGAATAGTTAGCAAACCGAAATGTCAATGTCCAATTTTGTATGGAAACTTGAACAGCAGCGCCAGAAAGTACGTAACGGGAACTAAAAATCAGTACACATTTGACATTGACATTTTGGTTTGCAAACTATTCGAATTCGATAATGGTTCGTGCTATGGGTACTGTATCTCTTGTGCGCCTCATTTTTCTTATCACTCGCTTTCGTAATTTCGTTAGTTCAATCTTTCGTCTGGCTGAAAGAAGCGAAAGGTTCTGCAAGTATATTTAGTGTGAGTTGAGTAGATTAGAGTAATAAACACACAAGGTAACTTTAAAATCAGATGCGATTTATTTAATTAAAACAGCTTCGTTGATATTTTGCTGATTTCAAAGAGCGAGCTAGATGAAGTTTAAAGGGGAGAAGGAGGTGCCTCCTTCTCCTTAGCACAGGGGCAGATTTGAACATGTGGATTTCTGAACGTAACTTTATGTTAAACTATGCCGCAACTACATTGCCAATATTTGGCAGCACTGGCTGTGACAAACTCGTTTTCAAAAAGGTTTATAACCTGCCGTCGTATTTGTACCGGTGAAGTTTTTTTTTTATTATATTATTTGCAATCAGTCTTTGGACTATGAGCAAATTTATTGAGTTCAACCAAACATGACAGGAGTGGTCGGCCAGCGCCACCACTTTTTTTAAAGAACATTCTTCCTCTTCAGTCTCGAGATGCGGTTAGCTTGCTCAAGCAATTGGCATATTAAAGGATTTGGTTGGTTTTAGAGGTGCTCAGTGTACCTCGATTTGCACTTGTCTATCTCTTCTGCGTCAGTTCAAGTATTCATGAATTTCGTCATTTTTTGTGAACCATGGTGCATGTACTATTGTTCTGAGGATATTATTTTGAACTCGTTGCAGGCAAGTAATGTTGCTTTTGCAAGCAGTGCTCCACAACTGTGTCCCATAAGTCCAAACTGGTTTAATAATGGAATTGTGTATTAGAAGCTTGTTGTCAATTGACAGGGCAGAGTTGCGGTTCATAAGCCAATGAAGGTTTCTATATTTTATATTAACTTCATCTCTCTTTTTCTTTAAGTGCTGCTTCCAGGTGAGTCTCCTATCCAAGTGGATACCAAGATACTTGACGCAATCTGAGTGTGGAAGTGTGTCCGACCCAAGGTGAACAGGAGAACAGTTTCCCCTCCTTAGTGCAAATGTAATGTGGTTTGATTTTTGGCCACTGACTCGAATACACCATTTTTTCAGCCATGTGTGTGTTTGATCTAATAGGTTCTGTAGCTTTGCACTAGCTATGTCAGGGTCCTTTTCGCAGGCAAGGTATGCAATGTCATCAGCGTATGTAGCAATTACAGCGTCGCCAGCAGTGCGAAGGTCGTACGTGAATATGTTATACAGAACCGGACCAAGTACCGATCCTTGCGGGACTCCAGCCTCCACAGCTTGCAAGGAAGATCATGAGTCATCGACTTTAACCCTAAAGTATCTTTGTGACAGGTACGATGCAATTATGAGGTAAACCGAGTGTGGCAGATTCTTTTTAACCTTGTACAATAGGCCCTTGTGCCAAACCTTGTCAAACACCTGTTGCACGTCTAGGAAAGACGCGGAACAGTATTTTTTTCTCTCATAGCAATTTGTCACCGTACAGGTGAAGTAAAAAATAAAAAGAAATGTTGTAAGGGATTTACTATCACGTGAGTAAAGGTTTCCAACTAATTCTTATACAAAATTGTGCAGTACTTATTAGTTTTCAATCCACCTTGTAGTTTTTGCTTGCCAGTTATTTCACATTATTTTTTTGTAATATTTTATCTTCTAAGTGACCATGGGGCAGATTTGATCAAAACAAACGGGGCAGATTTGAACGGGACGTTCAAATGTAAACTTCAAATGTTTTCTTAGAAGTTTGTCATTAAGTTTATTTTATGTTTAATTTTGCGTCTGAGGCAGTATTATATAATAATAATAAAAATAAACAAACTCTTATGCGATTATTTCATTCGTTAACAAGGAGGAAGTTATACACAATTAAAATTAGTATTTTTATTTTTGTTACTGTAATGCAAGATGTAACTTTAGAAGTTTCGTATAAGTTTAATTTATAATTTAATAACCATAAATATCAATTATATCAATATAGTATCAACCTGAAATTAGGTACATTATCTACGCACCGTTAATATTTCCATGAAATTAACTAGATCTTAGAGACTTAATAATTTCTATATAAAATTGAGCTGTTAATATTATATTACAAATTACGCTTAACATAACTAATATAACATTGCGGTTCATCTTATTCTTATATTTGATGTCAGCTTTGAACCTCTGTTGGTAGTTGGTAGTATTTATTATAAAAATTTAAATAATCAGACTTTGGTTTTACTTCGATCAATTTACGAAGGGCTACATTTAGAAAATATCTCTTATCTATTAGACAAGTCCGTCCGTCTGTCTGTGGTGCTGTTTCAGCGGCCAAACCGTAAGAGATAGATAAAGAGAATATTTAAGTTATAAGTTAAGAATAGTCTGATAAGACTACCAACCGGATTTGAGTAACGTAGCACTTCCGGTTTTCGAGAAATCACGAATTTCAAACGAAACCACACAAAATCTCCGAAGTTCTCAATTAATTAAATACATTTTTTTTTAAAATCAGGTTTTGGTGAACATTTGGTTCACTGGTTTGCTAGTAGTCTATAGTAGTTTCAATGCAGTTTGTTTGAAAAATTCATTAAATCTGTTAAATGTTCAGAATTTTTGGTTCCCTATTTTTTAGGATGCAAGGATGCAGGACTAGGGAAGTAAGAACCACTACTTCTACCATTTCTCCGGCGCTACGGGAATAGCAGCCCCTCCGCCTTTGCGTGATAAAGTCACAAGCATCACTCCCCTTCACACCTTCGGCTTGTTGGTCGCCACCTCCCGCCGGAGGTGGCCACCGCCGTAACCAGCCTCAGGCGCTACGGGTCGCACATTACTCGCGGCTTTGTCACAGCAGGCGGGGGCTGCTCTCCCTCGGCGCCTCCGGGCTCTAAAAAACACTCTAGGGGTAGGGCAGACCCAGACCACGGCGTGTCGGGGTTGACCATGTCGGTTCTGAATTAAAGAATGTTTTCTATTTACCAAGATCTCAAAACAAACAAACAGCAATGTGATAAATAGGTGAGTTTAGATTGTAATTAATCACTTGGCCCATAACAGATACACGAGGAAGACCCAAGAAGGTACATTACTTAGGTAAATCTATGAACCCTTGAGATGCCGAGTCATGGACTTGGGATGTGGGGTTGAAGGAAGCTCTTTGTCACTTCTTTTTCTTAGATAAATGTCTTGTTTGCGTTAACCACAATTCCGTTAATGTCACGAAAGAAGCTTTGACACAAACGAAAGGGTTTGTGTGTGCAACTGCATCCCTCATTAACGACTATCGCTATCATTGAATGATGTGCCGCAGTCAGCAGCTAAAGAGAAAATCTCTCTTAGACAGACCCAAGTTTGACTGATGTAACATAAAAGCCGGCTTTGGAAAATTATGTTACATGGACTCATGATAATAGTTATTTATTATACAAGAGTGGAAAGTTCCTTTTTAACCGCGTGCTCGATTTGGATGACCGAGCAAGCGAAGGATTCTAAAGTTGAATCACGAGCGCAGCGAGTGATTCTAAATTAGAATCCTGAGCGTCAGCGAGGGAAACAAACGAGCACAAGGTGAAAAATCTTTCCACTCGAGTGCAATACGTAACTTTTCATCCCACCTCAGCGAGGAAATGACAAAATGAAAAAGAAAACAATTTATAATGACAAAATATTTAAGCAATAAAACGTGAAAAAACTAGAATGGCGCGAAGCACGCAAATAAAACAAAGAAACCAAGAAGGTTCCAAATTTAAATTTTTTCACAATTTAAAAAGTTCTAATCATAAATTTGGCACCATAGAGGTTACATAATAGGTTTAATGACGTTTTGAAAACCCGAGTTCTAATCATAAATTTGGCACCATAGAGGTTACATTAAATAGGTTTAATGACGTTTTGAATTTACAATTATATTGAGTACTCATTATATGTGATGTTCTAAATTCAAATCTACTTTGCCGCTCAAGCGAATAAAATAGAATTTTCCAGCCAGATTTCGAAGCGCAAAATTACACTTTCCGAGGTGGTGGGATGAAAATTTATTTATCGCCTTGAAATTAAAAGTAATAGTTAAAAATATACTCGTCCCTAAGAACTTGAATAAATAAAGAAAGCTTGAATTACTTTTCGCTTGAACAATCTCATACAAGATGCTGTACTTGTACTTTCAGGAGCATGTTTACCCTAGGTCCAAGAGGGTCATGGCGCGGGGCGGGAAGCTACGAGGGGCGGCTCCAGAGCTGTGAGGAGCGGCAGAAGTCTTGAGACATGCATTACTTATCTATATTTTGATTTGATTTACTAAATCTAGGGGTGGGGGTGCAAATCACAAGTGGTCCGTACAACTTCAAACAAATAGAAGATTGTTGGACAAGGGATGACACCAGAGATATCTAGGCACACAAGCAATTCAAATAAGTAAGTTACTTAAAGTACGAGGGTACTTGATAACCAGCCTTTATTCAGAATCAATCAAAATGAAACGATACAACTTATTTTGCACTGTTTATTAATAAATCATGTTCTTAGAAGTTACACCATCCATACAACAAAAGTCATACATCCATCAGCACAATTCCCTTATCCATAGACAAAGCATAAATTATATTAAAATTAGTCATTATTTACATTGTACTGTTAAAAAGTTCGTTAATAAAATATATTCTATACAAACCTTATTTATCGGTCACACATTCATAAAAATATTTATATCGTCAAATACTTAAAATAGATAAAACAATAGGGTTTAGAAATGGCGTATGAATAAAGGAATTGTATGCCATGAGATCAGGAGCATAAAACAGAAATTATCATTTTAATACATTCCTATACATTAATTGCGTAAATCAATATACCTAATTTTATTTTATTTATAGAATTATTATTTTACATTCTGGATTCTAATAAAACAATATGATGTTTAGTTGTTCGATGAGTTAATCAAAAGCTGTGCATTTTATCACAACTTTGCTGAAAGTATTTAAGCCTCATCTCCATTAAAAGACATCGACAAGACATCGTCTCGTGGCTGAGCGGCTTAAGTAGAAGCGCTTCTCCGTGAGTCAAAACTTGCCCTGCCATGAACCGCGGCAGCCGCGTCTTTGATCCATTAGTTAACCGGAATGTGATCAGCGGTGGGTGACTAAGGCGCTCAATTTTAAAGCTGCTGTTTCATCACTGCTCGAGTGACGCGGTGTTTCCACTCGAGGTTTTGCTTAAAGAAATGCGACCTGAGCCACGGTAGTCTTCTAGGTCTCTTCTAGGCAAGCGGCTCATATTGAAGAGAATTTGAGCATGGAAAAAATGGGTAGAGAAGAGGTGATCACCTCTAGGCTGATCACTCGTCGCGTCGAATGCCTCCACTTGAGCTGCTCAAACGCGTCGCGAGGCGGCGGTGTATATGTATATATGGATATGCTGCTAATGAGTTATGGTGATGACAATGCGGCTTTATTGGTGCATTCAATGATATCACCTGTATATCATACTAGAGGCACATAATGGAAGATAGTTTATAGATTTCACACCCGGTGTCGATAATCCAATTAAGTGTAACCATGAACCTCTTTCTACTAGAGGTATACATTCATGCATGCAAGGCTAACAAAATTTAATATCTACGCTAATAATTTTACGAATCATAAAATTTATTATATACTTCACATTGCATATAATATTTTTAATGCGATTCAAATAAGAATAGGAAAGCCAATGAACTCTATCTGTCAAATGTCGCTTGAAAAGTACGGTTTGCAAAAACAAACTTGGAACCCTTTTTTAGCACTCCGCTAATTCAAGAATAAAAACCAAACATTTGTAAACAAACAATAACAAATATTGATAATTAACAGCAGTTGATATTTTTTTTTCATTTATTGAGATTTGGCCATGAATGGTTGATAACCTAAATCGTCAACCAAATGTCACTTTAAGTTGCTGTCAGAAACTCGATTTCAAACTTTCGTTTACAGAAAGGATGCATGTTCGTATGTGACCTAGTAATAGTGCATGATTAATCATAACTACTCCGGCGGTAATGCAGAGATGAGCGGAATAGAAGAGCTAGATTCTGATTAGTTTTTTCTCACAGTCTTAATAAATAAATATTATTAAAAATCGGTGTTCTTTTTTCTCAATCTTAGTAAATAAATGTTATTAAAAAAATCTGATGCTTTTTCTCACTTAATCTCAGTAAATAAGTTTTAATAAATAAAAACTTTTTTTTGCTCCCTCTACCTGTTTGGTTTGAATTGACAGCTATGACATCACAATATGGCGCCCAGTCGGTCCTATTCTAAGTTGAATCGCATTAAACCACCTAGCACGCGTCAACCAGAGCCTAATTGCCCAACTATTATTTCTTCCGCGATATTTTATTCTATATTTGGAAACGAGAATAGTCAGATTGTACCGTACAGCTCAGACTAACGAATGCGCGCAGACCGTTGCATTGCTGCGCTCATAGCTAGGCCAAAAGTCGTGGCCGGGCATTTAGACAATTAGTCAGTTTGAATTTGATTGAAGAACATTTTGATAACATCACAATGATCCAAAGATCATCAAATTTAAACAGTTGTCGTGGTTGGCTGCTAGTCATAGCTCCAACATTGTAAATCGCACATAGTTTAAGAAATCACAGTAAGCTGACGTGTTTGATCTAGATACCCAAACTACTCTACTCAATCACTATAAAAAAAAGTAAGACATTATACAATATTACACTATATGACGCGGAGGTTAGTAGGCTTGGTAAGCGATAGTAGAAATAAAACTACTTTCACGAAGACCAGTTATCATAAATGGGTAACTAGGGAATATATTCTCCATATTTCTTAAAGACGGCTTTCGCGTTGGTGAAAATCCAGATTTAAATAAGTTTCTGCCCATGGTTGGGCCACAATCACCAGTGTGGCGAGAAGTTAGCGACAAAAACAAATGAGGAAATTGCGTGACATAAACGTTGCCACAGACATCTACGTCGAAAGAAATAAGTGAGAACGAGCACATGGGTGGTGGCGGTCGGTGGGCGGGAAAATGGAAACAAAAGTACTCGCAAGTATCGACGCGGCGGCGGCGGAGGTCTACTCAGAATTTCACTATCAAGATCAATTTGATAGTGAAATTCTGAGACCTTAATATATGTATGCTTGACACAAAAAAAAATCGATAGTTATAAGGATCTATGATGCACCATAATACTTCCGTTAGTGAGACTTGTTATAAACGTTTAAAGGCGTCAACTAGTGTCACCGTTGCAGCCGCAAGCAAACCACTAGAAACCGCGCCACCCGTTTCTTCTCCCGCCAAGGCAGCTGCCTTGCCCCCAGAAGCTGTTGTCTGACCCTTACAATTGAAGCGCAAGCTCGAATTTTGACTGCTCCGTAATTGCATCACATCGTTAGCTTCTATGAAAACTAAGAAGCGCCTCTATCCAACGTAAGAAATTTGAAGTTGACAATACAATTACCTATGGAGCTGTCAAAATTGGTGCTTGGGCCACCATACTCAGAGTAGACAGTCACATTTTAAGGTTGATTTGAGTTATTTGCCACTTTCTTTACAATCACAATAGTTTGAGATAGTATGCGACTTGGTGCAGCTGTAAAATAAGTTGATGTCTACGAGTATATAAATCTAGCCCAATTACAATGATATGTGGTGCTATTTTGAAATTCAATTAAAGCATGTCAAAAAAGTTTAAGTAAATGCCAAGAAATCATAAAATTATCACTTAATTAATACTAACCAATTCTTTTTTATTCATCCATTTGAATTAAAACATTCATGTGGAAGTATTACTTAGATTATACTTGGAAATAAAATATATGCGAAATTATTGTTTAAAAAAAAGCTTCACATGAAGCAATATTAAAACTATATTGCTTTTGTTGAAATAACTTGTGACTTCCTGAAGCCCAATAAGACTTTAGAGAAACTATGTAATTCCTATCAATAATGTAAAATCATTTAGTGGGAGCACACTAAATCTCTCAAAAACCAAAGAAATATTAGTCTGAAAGAAATATTGATTTAACCACATTGGGCATTGCATGCATGAACACATTATTTTATATAACAAAATCCTAAGACAAACAGTGCTATTCTCTACTATAATAATTGGCATCGCCAAATACATGTATTAGGAACCTGCTTCTGGTTCCTGATCCTCAGTAGAAAGTGCTCTTGAGGAAGTTGTGTGTGTATTCATTTGAGAAAAAACTTCTTTTTCTCCCAATGCCAATGGATCAGGTTGTGCAGCTGGAGAAGGGGCATAAACCATCATGGTAGATGGAGAAGCAGGTCTCACCACACCACCAATAGAAGCTTCTTGTTCCTCCAAGAACCTATCCATATAATCAGTGTGACCTGGGTGTAATGTATACTTTTTTTTCTCCAGACGTGCTTTATTTGCAAAAATATCATGTCTCTCGGTTTTTTTCCAGATATAATAAAACTGAACCAACTCACCAACAGACCTTGTCCGTACTTTATGTTGTCGTATTAAATGAAAATCTTTTCCATGAGCTTTTAGGCCATTCTCAAAGTTACGACATTCCTCTTCTGACCATAAGCTAGCATGTGCTGGAGTTTGGGCAGAAATTCTTCTTCTTCGCAACGCCTCTTCCACATTGTGTCCACATTGTTGCAACAGAAACAGTGCTTCTTCATCATCACGTAGCTGTTTACCACGAGGTACCGCTTCAACTCCTGTGCCAGAGTTCATGACACAAACTTTCTTCATATAATCTTCTGTCACTTTTTCATCCAAAACACTTGGATTCCACAGTAATTTATCTTCATTTTCATATGGAAGCGCATCATCATAACTGCAAAGGCCTTCGGGTATACCTGCTTGGTAATCACTTCCGACCATTATAGTCTTTTTCCAGTCATCTTCGTCAGGACTATAATCATAATCATCTTCCTCCTCGGATGGAGGTCTTGAACCTGATCGAAGGCATCTCGTTGCTTCTGGACTAGTGGTTTCACTATAAAGCTGCTGAAGTGCCGACTCTGGTTTTTCAGTTTCCTCAGGCACTACTTCGGGTGTGGGTTCTACTACTGGCTTATCCATATTTCTATCGTATCCGTAAAGAGCCAGCAATTCTTCTAAGGGCATATCCCCCTCCCTTTGTAGACTGTTTAACTCAGCCTTCGGATCTTGTTGCTCGCCAGCCGCCAAAGCTTCTTCTTCGTCTAACGTTCTTTCGTCATCAAAATCATTTACCATCATATCCACAGTAGGCTCGAAGAGAGACTTATCGTTCCCCACGTCCATACTCGCATCGTGTTCGTTTACATTGGCCACTAATGCACAGTCTGACATGACGACCAGGGTATCACTACAAAGATTAAACCATCAAAACATGATTATGATCAGACGTATAAATACCCGCTACTGTTGTAATATTAATAAAATTATTGGAAAACATTACAGATACGACATATTAAACGCAAATTTAAAGAAAACCCTAGGAATTACAAAACAAAAATATTTTGACACGAATTCAACCATGTCAGAATGGCTGTCTCTGTCATTTTTTTTATAATTCTCCCTTTTCAGGGAAGGCAAAGGCAACAATTCCCATATAGCCTAGCCTCAAATTTTTTTTTACTTTAAAATGTGGGTGTGACGTTTTCTAATGTTTCTTGGAGTATTTGGCACAAATTGTATCGAGTCAGCTTTTTCGATAGCATCTGATAAGCGTCTGTGAAAAAGTCAACATTACAGTAATGTTCTTACGTCTACTTGACCAAAATAGCGTGTATTTTAAAGATTTCACTAATTCTTCAGTTCCGCTGACGGTTTGTACCTCAAAATCATACCAATTTTATTTCACAATATGAACATATTAAAAAACATTTAAAATATGACGCCAACCGCCAACCGCACTATGAAATTGCGCCAAAAACTTCTATCTCTGCCAAATTTTTTGTGTAATTTTCTTTTTGCAAAAGCAATAAGTACTTTGTCCATACATCCTCTTTTTTTAGTATTTTTCTGTAATATGTTATTCTATAATTTTTTGAGGTGTTGTTATAGCACGAAATGTATCAGAACAGCTATTTCGATAAAATTCTGTGAGGGAGGAGAGACAGCATTGTACCCAAGTTTCTTCATCCACTTGCCTGAATTATCATTTGTTTTACGATTTCGTTATTGTTCACTTCGCAAACAGTTGAGAAGCAAAGCCAAACTAACACTTTCAGATGAGAAACAAAGCTGAATTTATGAACTGAAAGAACGGACGTAAGAACTTTATCTTAGTTCTGACCATGTTCCATGTTCTGATTACCTCAGAAGCGTATTGAACTCTGTTTCATATATTTTATGCCAAAACTTTTAGATATAACCTGTCGTGCGCGATTGAACAAACGAAGAAAAATAAGGTGAGGCTGTATGAACTTTGCTTTTCTTTATTGGGAGACATTACAAAAATCACGTTTTGACAATGACATTGACAGTGTCAGCTATAGGCTACACCAAAAAGTGGAAGTGAATCGACTCAATGAATCGGCCATTCATTGTATTTTGTGTTACTGTAATTTGGGGAAATTTGTGTTGAAAATCGGAAATGAAATGATGATTTGGATAAAAATCTCTTTCGTTATTTAATGAATCATAATTATCAAAGACCGTAACAAGATGTTTCGCACATTCGTCATAATAATAGCTGCTACAACTCATGTTTCGCTCGGGTTTTCTGATGTAGGAAAATGGGATTTGCCGCTAAGTGGGGTAAGCACTCGATACTTTATCAATTTTCACCAAATGGATAGTATATTATAACAGGAAAATATCATAGATAATACTGCTTTAATGCAGCTAATAAATTGATATTTATCATAACTATAAATATAAAATGGAAATAAGAAGGTTTACTTAAAATGATGTGTTTTTAAATTTTTAAGCAGTATTCTTATTTAATGTTACCTGTATATTCATCTTTGTTTATAGAAAAGTTGCCGGTTTGAATTAGCAAAATCGTTGTTCAAGAATTCAAAGTTGATTGCAGTGTGTGAGTATATTATCTACTCAATCTTTATGTAAAATAGGTTTTTGGGTTCTTTGATTTGGAAAATCTTTATTTTTTTTGTGCTGATATTGTAGTACATATTTGATTGTGAATTTTCAGTACATTGTGGTGTTGATTCAGCTAATGTTACTGTAATATATAACTGGGCGCCGTCACTATGCTCAGCAGATTATTTCCACTATTTTGAACAGGTAATTTTAAGTGTATTTTGTTCAATTAAAAGTCTTTAAGTTTCATGCAATCAAACCATCTAGATAAAAAAAATTAAACATACAATAAAAAAATGTTCTATCTACAATAATTTCAAACTGGACATTACACAACTCATTAGATCTTATTGGTATAGTTACAAATATTTTAAATATCCCTTTGTTTTATAGCAAATTGTAGAATGTTCACCAAGAGTGGAAGCGTCGGTGCTCGATATTGTCAATACAAGTATAATAAATGACGCAATAAGTGTGAAAAGAACGTACACTTGTCATGACAAGAACTCTATAATATTACATGATGAAAGAAATCTTAATGATGCCAACAAAAAGACAGAGGAGACTAATTTAGTCAGTGTAAGTAAATTTCTGTGCATATTTTATACTAAATTCATAAACAAAAAGGTGAAACTCATTAACTAACTTTAACTGTTTCTGCAATCCATCCCCTTCAAAGCTAAAGCAATAGGAATGATGACTAACTTTTTATTCTTTGCTATTCAGGTAGATTATCAAAAAGTATTGGACACATATTTTTTCTTTATTATCACAATCAAAACATTACAGAGATATATTGGTTTGAAATGTTTAATGATGTTCATGTCTTGGTATGTCACAAGACCTTGATTTTGATGCGCTGTATCTTTGTTATATTTTGGTTGATGGACAAAAGAAAAAAAATTGTCCAATATTTTTTGATAAACTAACTGATAAATTAAATAGAATTTTCTATACTTTCAACTCTATTGTAAATCTGATAACCTAATTTTTCCCCAAATATGCAATGAAATGAAAGTATTGTAGAATGTGTTGTGATGTTTTTTATTTAGCTTTCCAATTTTTTTGTATTCGATACAAAAAAATAACAATATAAAACAACAATAAAGTAATGACTGTAACAACTTTAAGTGCCAACCATTTATTTGAACGTTGTTATCCTTATCTATTCTATGTTTGTAAGCAATATGATAAAAATTTGTTAGATTTTAATAGTAAAGTAACAATTATTGATTTGTTTCAGAAAACACCTGCTATTCTGACTGTGGACAAAGAGGGTGTATACCAATTAGTAATGACAGTATTAAGTACTCCCAATTTCAAGGGGTCCATGCAAGTGGAAATGGTAGCTCCATCAGGGTACCTCTCTGCGGCGATGTATCCCCTCTTAGTGGTAAGTTATGCACTTTTTGAGTAAATAAAATGGTTTGTGTACTTATGTTCTCATGATTAGAAGTTATACTTAATTATTAAAATATAGGATTATCTCAGCGATACAATTATTATTTTTAAACAAAATATTTCCACGTATTGTCATCACACCAAATGAAGAATAACTTAAAAATATTTTTCAAGGTCCTTTTGTCAAAGGTGACATCCAAATACAATAGTTTCATGTATGAAACATAGTTCTATGATAGTGTAATGAAATCAAACAGTGGCTGTTTATATTATATGTAGGTAATAATAGTAATTACCTTATTGGATATTTACTGGAATATCTTAAAATTGTCTAGTTGACTATTATTACTACACTTCAAATGTATAGGTAATTCATAAATATGAATGTGACTTAATTCTGCTACAAAAATTTAAATAAATACAGCTGTGTTTTCTTTTTTATTAGTTACAATGATGTTATATAAACTCATTAGCATGTACTACAATTCATGGTCATATTTTGTTACCTAATTAAGTGCTCCCACACATAACTGCAAATATGCATTGCATCGCAAATATCTGCGAGCTCGCACAAATGCTTATGAGATATTACGTTACACTTTTTGACACCATTTTAGTCCGCTCTGAGCCTTACCTTGTATGATAGTAAAAATAATAAAACTCTTTATGTTACACCACAAAAAATATAAAACATTATACATAATGGCTGGATACAGTGTAAAAATTGAGGTCTTATCGTTAAGAGCGATCTCTTCCAGACAACCTTGGGATGGAGAGGACAAGAAAGAAGCTAAAAAGACGATGGTGTAATTAACTGCAATAATACGCGAAAAAATCTTTGTACAAACCTAGTTTTTTTTTTTTATGTTATAGGGGGCATACGAGCAGACGGCTCACCTGATGGTAAGTGATCACCCATCGCCCATGGACACTTGCAACACCAGGAGTATCACAAATGCGATGCCGGCCTTTAAGGAGTACGCTCTTTTATTGAAGGTTCTTGGGTCGTATTGGTCCGGAAACACTGCTGGCGACAACATATTCCACAGTTTTGTCGTACGTGGTAAAAAATTTCGACAAAAACGCACGGTTGTGGATAGCCACGCATCAAGATGATGGGGATGAAATTTTTGTCGCGATGTACGATGGCGAAATGCAGCAGCTGGAATTAATCCGAACAATTCTTCAGAACACTCCCCGTGATAAATACGATAGAAGATGCAGAGCGAAGCTACATCCCTACGCAAAGCCAAAGGATCAAGCTGATCGGAAAGGTCCTGGTCGTCGACGATTCGAGCCGCTCGGCGCTGGATGTGATCCAAAGGGAGAAGCTGGTACTGGGGTGCCCCCGCCCAAAGATGAGAGCAGTACTCCATGTGAGGCCGAACCTGTGCCTTATAAAGCTGCAGTCGGTGGGCCGGTGTGAAGTACATTCTCGATCTATTGAGCACACCAAGCTTCTTAGAGGCCAATTTGGCCTTGCCCTCTAAATGATCCCGAAACTGGACGTCGCTCGATATGTCAACGCCAAGAATTCCAATACTAGCTGAGGCAGTTAGAGGAGTGTTCTCAAAAAGAGGAGATACGACAAATGGTATTTTTTTTGCGGTGAAGGCGCATAGTTGTGTCTTCGTAGGGTTAAATTGGACTAGATTAAGTCGGCCCCAATTCGTTACTCGGTTTAACAAAGTTTCGACTTCAGACACAAGTTTGTTCCGGCACTCGATGACGTTTTCCCGTGAAATGTTGGCGCGGCCGGTTGTATAGGGCATCACCCGTGCTGTCGTCTGCATAGCAATGAATGCCATCAATTTGAAGTATATCATCATCATAATAGTATATAATACAAATAAACTTAATAAACACATAGATATACATACATACACTCATCCATACATAGGTAAATATACAGGATCATGGTATTCTATGTCTGTCTATACGCATTTTAGTTTTTCGGAGTGATGTGTGCCGTGTATACGATCCTCTGCGCGTGTTGGCTGACGGTTTGCGCGCTGCAATGGCGCGATCTATTGCGAATACAGTATTGGATCGGCGGCGTCGCCATATTGGGCATGATCGAAACCGCCACCTTCTACGGGGTTTACTCGTCGATCAATAGAACTGGGTGAGTATTGACGAGATAAGGATTAAATTTATATAGATAATGAAATTTATTACAGTGGTACGCCGATTAACCGAATCGCCAATTATCCGAATCGGTCCTAAGCGTGATATAAAAAACTAAAACCAAGTTATTTTTATTTCTTTTGTTATAACAAGTTGGAACTCGCTGAAGTCCAAATATATTTCAACTGTTATGGTTGAAAGCTAGTAACAAGACATTACTACTTTGTACGGCTACTATGTACCTCTATTATTGTATCTAGTATTGAAGAACTGTGTTTGTTAAACTTAATAAAGTATATGTCCGTTTATCCGAATTTTCGATTATCCGAATCGACCCCGGTCCCAATTAATTCAGATAATCGGCGTTCTACTATACTTACTTTCGTAGCTACAGAAAGAAATCTTCCCTTTGTTGGTCCTTCGAGACAGACAGATATACAAAAAAATGTATATGAATATACACTTAGTAGCCGAAAAACTCAAGAGGCTCTCCTGTTTGCTGAACTCAAGTTCAATACTCTGTTAGAACAATCTACATTCACAGAAAACTCTCGATCTCGAGTCGGTAGTTGTGAGCGCTTTTTAATGCTTATTGAATTCAAAGAACATCGTGTTATATTCAGATAACATAAATATGTATAGAAGGAGCCCAGCGAACGAAAAAGTGGCACCGTTTAAAACTAATATCCTGCCGTGTATGTACACAAATACACGCACACAGCTACAACTAAACAGCTAATTTAGAGTAAACTGTTTGTTTGGCTTTGATAAAAGGCGCGGATATAAAACCAATGGGTGGTATAATTTTCATTTCATATGGTTAACGGAGTTCTTCATGTCAAACTGGCACTTCACTTGGCTATTTGTGTTAGCTGTTTGTAAACTTGGCATCAGTCTGTCACTATCATGCTCTACAAGGAATGAAAAGGACAGACTAATGTCATGTTCGACGACGACCACACGACCTCAGTGGCCGAGTGGTTTGTACGCCGGGTTTCATGGTGTCACCGACTCGAGAGGTTCCGGGTTCGAATCCCGGTGGGGGCAGATGTTTGTGTGATGAATATGAGCATTTGAACTTCAGTCATGGATGTTTAATATGTATTTCTATATAAATATAGTTATGTATGTATTCTACCCGTTACCCTAGTATCCCATAATACAATAATTGGTGTCTTTAAAAAATAGGATACACAAATAGCCAAGTGAAGTGTTGACTTGGCTATTCGTGTATTAAAACGTATTATTCGTATCCGGCATCAGGTTGTGATAAGGTGCTTGTCCTCAGATACTTCATAGTGGAAGCGTACATGTTCGCCGAATGGGTTTCTGTGGCCAAACGAGCGTTGGCGCGAATGCTAGTCATTATTGTCTCTCTAGGATTTGGGATTGTCAAGTAAGTTACATACGATATTTTATGTTTTAAAAAGTCTTTCTTGACCACAGATGTAGAAAACGTTTAGAAAAACCTTGAATTACGTAAAAATTCTATTTCCAACCCACTTGAACGGGTGTTTATGACTATTAAACTAGAATAAGATGAGAAACATCGTGAATTACGTAAATATTTAATTTAAAGACCACCGAAACGGTGTTTTTGGATGTTATATTATATCGAAATATGAGGAGCTCGATGACGCAAATGGGTAGCTAGTAGTAGTGGTCGGTTATTGGATGGGTGACCCAAATGTACTATCTCGAGCTCCTCCGTGCTTCGGAAGGCACTCTAAACCGTTAGTGTCGCCGCACACGGGCCACCGATCACAACCGCAAAATGCTGCCACCGGCATATTTCTTGCAGTCTTCATACATTTTATATGGACTCGCGACATACGGTACGCCGGTGGTCGCCACACGCTACAAATCGTCGTTGCTCGCTTCTTGTGGCCCGCACCGGCCACTTAATGCGCCGATACAAAACGCCGCCACACGTCACTCGCGCGATTCCCCACCCCTCTCTCCCTTACCTTAGTCGGCCGCTGTCGCGCGCTTCAGCCACTTTAGTAGCCGCTTCTAGCACGTGGCGGCGTTTGTGGCTGTGACACTTAGTCTGCATCTGCAGTCCACCCACCCACCATTCCGCACTGGGCCCGCGTGGGTGGGTCATGGCCCAATCCCCTTTTTGATGAAGGGAAGGGGAAGGCCTGTGCCCCAGCTGTGGGAATATTAATAGGCTGATGAAATAATAAATGAATATTTGGTTTTTAGGAGATGTTCATATGTTTTTCCTATCTTTGATATGTAAAAATAATTGGTAGACGAACATTTAATGCAGTGAGTGAGGGGTCGTAGTATTGGTCTGTTGAGTTAGATACCAGCACCTGTGCTGGTAATTGATACTGTCGATTGGTGGTTTGTCCCTTCGTTTATTGCATTATACCTATAACAATTGGTTCAAAAGTTGTACTGAATTTCTTTTCTAAATTATGGTGTTATTACTCTTCTATTAGGTTCATTATTAGAGTAAGTTAGTTCATATGCTATGGAACTGTTAGTACAGTTTTTTTACCATGAAATTGTTCATATGTTATTATGTATGGCTGTTTATATCTCAATAAATAAATAAAAAATAAAATAAAATGTTTATAGACCGCGGGTAGGGCCGGCTTCCAACGCGTAGTAGGCCGTCGTACTGGCGGTTATATACGCGTGGCTGCGGATCCGCCACAAGGCCAACGACTCGAATAGGGTGCTTTGTAGATGTAACAAACGTATTTATAAATATAAAAAAAAACCTACATTCCATAACCATAGAGCTAGAAAAGGATTAGAAACATCCTGAATTACGTAAAGTGTCTCATGAATTTTGTTTTATTAGGTACAGCATTGATTATGTGGAATATTCGTGTTTATTGGCTTGGATGGTGCTCTTGGGCTTTCATTGCTCTTTCGTATCGTATTCTGAAATCTTTGGATCTGTTGAATAAATGAAGATTTTTATATATTAACCATAGGATGTATAGATAGATAGAGTGCCTAACGCAAGTTTTCCAAAAATAGAATTGAGCATGTGTGCGTATCAGAGTTTGATTGTGATTGATAGTGTCGTTTTGTCAAGATATGCTTTAAACACATTACACAATACAATTACACAAACTGAATTGTATAAGCACAATTGTTTTCATAGTTTCACAGAATTTTGTAATAAACTATATCACAGTACGACTTGACAGGACGCTGGTGACTCTAACTTTATTGCAACAAAGGTACATCACGTTGCGTCCCTTTCTACCTTGTAGGTTTGTCGTAAAGGCCTTGATGATGTCTCTTTTCCTCACTCTGTCAGTGTTTAAGTAGTAAGTGTATAATATGAATATATGTTTGGTTAAAGACCGCGGTTAGGGCCGGCCCTCCAACGCGTGGTAGGCACGGGGGTTCTATGGGGCGTACTGGCGGCCATATACGCATGGCTGCGGTTCCACCACAAGGCCAACGACTCGAATAGGGTGCTTTGTAGATGTACCAAAGTTTTAATAAATATAAAAAAAACAATGTCTAGTTATTTCAATTACTTATTTAATTTTAAACTTCCAACATTCCTTGACCATAGAGTTAGAAAAGGATCAGAAACATCCACTACATAATAAACATCACGTTGCGTCTCTCTGTTCATACCTTGTGGGTTTGCGTCTTTACGCATGTCTTCACATGATGCCTCTTTTCCTCACTCTGTCAGTCTTTAAATATTAATATGTTTGGTTATAGACCGCGGTTGGGGCCGGCCCTCCAACGCGTGGTAGGCACGGGGGTTCTATGGGGCGTCCTGGCGGCCATATACGCGTGGCTGCGGCTACATCACAAGGCAAACGACTCGAATAGGGTGCTGCTGCTGTCCGAAGCGCCGCTCTCGTTGCTGGACAGCGCCATCTGTTGGTGGGTGTTTGTATCACTTGCACACACAATGCGCACTCTGCAGTTGAGGAGGTGAGTTAATGATTTTTTTTTATTATTGATTGATGTATTATTGAAGCGTATTTTCGCTAGATGACAAATAATTGTGGTCTGTTTGCTAATGCCCTCTTTTTAGATGTCAATTGACTATGAATAAGGGTTTTGTGGAATGACGGGCGCCAGGTGGCAGCACTGAGACGGAAGGTCTACTCATCCGTCAAATAACGTATGTCGTCATAGTCTATGGATCATTTTAAATTAGATCGTTAGATTAATGGCGCGATTGCACTTGGTTGTTGGCGCGAATACGAGTGCCAATGGAATTCGGGTAAACGTCTAAGTGCAAATGAACGGAGGCAAGTACGCCAGTATGCGGGTAGATTTGATTTTGTTTAATCGAGACAGTATTCCAGTGTAAATATTGCTTCAGGTTCTCGAATACGAGTAATGTCTTTCGTGCACCCGAATACAATTTAAGGACCAAATGTAATTGCGCCATAATTCGCGCCAAAAACTTCATACAAAAGACCTCTTGTCACAGTGACGCCAAATGGTGACGTAAATTTTCCTCATTAGGTTCGGTATACGTAAAAACAGTGTGATAAATTAAGATATTACTTCACGAAATTGGGCTAAAAACAAAGTAATAGGTAATCATGCTTTTATATATACAATGGAATAGGAGCAATTTTTGTGACAAACACATTGTCAAAATACTCCACTGTTCTGCAAAGACCGAGCCTTTGACATCACACATATTATTATGACGACACGCCTATAGGAGTGATGACGGTGTAAACGAAATTCTATTTAGTGAGAGTTAAATTGACAAAAAATAATGAACACTTATTTTTTATTTTGTCAACCAAACAATTACAAAGCTAAATCGTGTCAAAGTTTGGAAGTTGCTCGCGACGTCGTTTCTAAGTGAAAATTGTACCAAGACGTGTTATGCGATATTTAAAATCAATATATCTGTAATGTTTTGGTTATGAATAACATATAAAAAAAACGCGTCCAACACTTTTTGATAATATAGGTACCTACCTGATGAATGAAGAAAAAGAAGTTGGTCATCAACCTTTTTACTGTATCGTTTGTAAACTTGAGAGCTAGTAGATGTTTGCATTCTTATCACTAAAATAGTAAGGTTGAATCTATCTTTTCAGCACGATTTTCATATTAAAATCTATGCACACATTAAAGATTTCTTCTTCTCACAAAATCTATTCTGTGTTGAATCACAATAACTTTCTCATGGTTTTGTTACAGAAACACAATAAAGCTATCACTGTACAGACACTTCACGAACACATTAATATTCGCTGTGATCTCATCTGTGGTGTTCATGTTATACTCTATCAAATCATACAGAGCTTCCGACTGTATCAAAGTGAGTATGTTATGTGATACATATAGCACCCTTATTAGAGGCCGTTTTGCCTAATTTTTGTTGGAAATCGAAATAGCCAAAGTTTGTTGTAGTGCGGAGAGGGTAAGCCGCTGTTTTGATTGGACACATGAGTTAATTAGGCTGAATTTATACCGCAGCAGCGTAATGAAATGGAAGGGATTTTTTTGTAATGGAATTGTGCATGGCGTAATTACCTTTATATCAACATACAAACTAAATTCGACGTTATTCTCGAGAATTTTATTAATTTATGTTATACCTACATATATGTAGCGTTTTATGTTTATTCAAAATTTGCTTGGTATTAAAATTAATGTTCATATCAAAATTTCATAAGATTTAATTGCTAGTTAATTTGCTAGTATATTGCATGTCGGAATCGCCTATAATTGAAGTTCCACTAATAAAGTGTCCTACTATAAATGTGTAAATAAGAAATGTCTAAGTGTACCTTTGTTGGCGATTAAATAGATAAATAAACACAATTAACATAAAGTTCATTATGCTATGCATAATTTCGTTGCAAAAAAAGCGCTTCCATTACATTCCGCGCCGGTGTAAATTGAGCCTTAGGAGCAAACTTATTTCGCCATTGGTCGACATTGGGGGTCGTGTCACATGCTTATGTAGTATTACTACATAAGCTTGGCACAAGCAAGTGCCTCTGTGTATGCGGTTTACAGTAAGGGTGTATATGTATTCTTATATGTTTATTATAGAAATAGTCATAGTTGTTGTTTCAATCTAATTGCCGCTTTCCACTTACTATGAGCGAACCGGATCCTTTACGGAATACATTTATTTCTTATCAAAATAGTTGATACAAATCCACCGAAGGGAGTGGAGTTTTCTTAATGGAAAGCAAAATGTATATTACTCCGTTCCGCCTGGCTATTTTCTGCTCATTTTACTTTATCAGTGGAAATAATTTTATTGCACCCATTATAGGTGATATTAGGGCGTGGGTAAAGACGCAAAGATTTTACGAAATAAACTGATTAGCCAAATTAGACATTATAGAAATTATGGTACGAAACCAGGGACTTAAGAGCTTTGCTTACTTTTGCTTACAAAGGGGAGAAGTGATCCTAAAAATAAGGTGCACGGCGCCAATCCCTTAAGCCGGGTCTCCAGCGCGTTTAGCCCTACACAAACAACAAAAACATATCAAAATTTTACAAAATCGTCTACACAAAACTTTGTTTCACTACACACACTGCTTTCCGAGCCCGATGGAAAACACGTACACAAATTCCCCCCGCGCGGGTCGCGGGGCAGAGAATGGTTTCATCTCATTCATGGGGCTCCGTTCCAAATCTATGCTCCTACTACAACTTTTCTAATTTTCACTCTGACGTTTCAATTTTGACATAAAATGTACCTACGAAACTCTTGTCAAATTTGACATTTGTTGCACCTGGATAATAGTTTTTGAACGTAGCACTATGTATTTTGTGTACGTCGGCCACGTGAGCAGTAGACGGCGTGTGTAGAGGAACATGTTTCAGAAACAAAGTTTTGTGCATTTGTTTTTGTTGAATGTTTCCAAAACATAAATTACTATAATAAAGTTAGTGACCGTGTTAGTTTAAAACAATAAAACGTTAAATTTATCCAATATTGCCGTATAGGAATGGAAAGAGGTGTGGATGGACGAAGCATACTGGCACATTCTGTTCGCGAGCGTTCTCACAGTGATCATGGTGCTATGGAGGCCTACAAACAACAACCAGCGATATGCGTTCACGCCGTTACTGGACAATGCCGAAGATGACGACGGTAAATGTCACCATATATTATTATTATTATCTTTATTAGATCTTTCGTACTATCACATTTTGTTCGCGAACGTCCTCACAGTGATCATGGTGCTATGGAGGCCCACAAACAACAGCTAGTGGTACGCGTTCACGCCGTTACTGGACAATGCCGAAGATGACGACGGTAAATGTCACCATATATTATCTTTATTAGATCTTTCGTACTGGCACATTCTGTTCGCGAGCGTTCTCACAGTGATCATGGTGCTATGGAGGCCTACAAACAACAACCAGCGATACCGTTACGGGACAATGCTGAAGATGACGACGGTAAATGTCACCATATATTATCTTTATTAAAATTTTCATCAGTACGAATTCTGCACATTGTGTTCGCGAGTATTCTCAGAGTGAACATAATGCTATGGAGGCTGGACAATGTTACTGGACAATGCCGAAGATGACGACGGTAAATTTTACCTTATTATCTTATCTTTATTAGATCTTTCGTCAGTATGAATTCTGCACATTCTGTTCGCGAGTGTTCTCACAGTGATCGTGGTGCTATGGAGGCCCACAAACAGCAACGGCGTTAAATGATACCCCCTTTATTTCGAGTCTTCGAGGGGATTGCCACCGGAGGCAAATAAATAAAAAAGTAAATAGAGAGGAGCTCGGCTGCGATCTTTGAAGCTGAGCACCTTTCGCAGTGGTCGGTCATTGGATGGGTGACCAAAAAATTTACTATCTCGAGCTCCTCCGTGCTTCGGTATCGTCGTGCATCTGCGGTCGCTAGCACCCACCAATCCGCCTTGAGCCCGCGTGGTGGGTCATGGCCCAATCTCCCTATTCCAGCCATATGGAAGGCCTGTGCTCCAAAGTAAGCACTATAAATAAGGCTTGTGTTATGGGATGCTAGGGTAACGGATAGAATACATATACTGATTTTTATATAAAAATATATATGAGCATCCATGACTACCTCACTATATTACAAGGATTCGAACCCGGGACCTCTGAGTAAGCGACGCCGACGCCATGAAACCCGGCGTATATACCACTTGGCCATGGAGGTCGTCTAATTAATAGAAATAAATAAATGGGAGCGATGTCATTGCACCCACTTCAGTTTTTTTCTTCCCATTTGCCTCCGGTGGCAATCCCCACGGGGTCTTTTATTCCCACTCGACCCCGCGGGTATTGCCACCGTGGGCAAATGGGAATAAAGTCATTGCCTTTAATTTTTTTTCCCATTTGCCTCCGATGGTAATCTCCGCGGTGTCCTTTATTCCCAGTCGTCCCCGCGGGTATTGCCACCGTGGGCAAATGGGAATGAAGTCATTGCCTTTTATTTTTTTCCCATTTGCCTCCGGTGGTAATCTCCGCGGGGTCCTTTATTCCCAGTCGCCCTCATGGGTATTGCCACCGTGGGCAAATGGAAATGAAGTCATTGCCTTTTAAATTTTTTTCTCATTTGCCTCCGATGGCAATCCCCGTGGGGCCCTTATTCCCAGTCGCCCCCGCGGATATTGCCACCGTGGGCAAATGGGAATGAAACCATTGCCTTTTCAATTTTTTTCCCATTTGCCGCCGGTGGTAATCTCAATCTCATAAAAGATATACCATTATCTCCAGAAAAGAAAGTTTGTCTGTCTGTAAGCTTGGATCTTTTAAACTATGCAACGTATTTTGATGCAAGTTTCAACAATAGATATTTAAGCGGAAGGTTGGTATGTACAACACAAGCCTGATAACAAAATGCTATGCTGCTATTGTTTGCCTGTAATAAAATGGATGCCCAAATGAAAGACAATTTGGTTGAAGTAATTTAGATGTTTACTGCTCGGAAGCCAATAAAAAGTCCATAAAACATATCTTTTTCTGCGTCCATATACATGATACGTTGTCGGCAACGCAATGTAGTTTCGAAGTGTCGGAATCTAAACTCTTAATGCGAAGTTTGCAAGCCATCTAGATTCACCTAGAGTTACTAGATGGCGCTGTCGTAACACTGCCTATTATGAATGGTAAAGGCAGGACTGGAGGCCGATCGGGCTAAATGTCAAACTACTGACACGCATTGAACCGTTAAAAACATAGAGATATAAGAATAGAGTGGGGAAGGCGGCTCTAAAAGTGTCCATCTAGTAGAAAGAGAAAGAAGATGAGAGACCGCTATCTATCTCTCTTGTGTCGCATAGCATCCAATGGCATTACATCGAAATAGTAAGATGCTTACAGTTGCCAATGCGCATGCAATAGAGGTATAAGAATAGAGTGGGGAAGGCGGCTCTAAAAGTGTCCGTCTAGTAGAAAGAGAAAGAAGATGAGAGACCGCTAGCTATCTCTCTCTTGTGACGCATGGCATCCAATGGCATCACATCGAAATAGTAAGATGCTTACAGTTGCCAATGCGCATGCGCGATTAGAGAGAGACAGCTAGCGGTCTCTCATCTTCTTTCTCTTTCTATTAGAGGGTCATTTCCACTTGTAATAGAGTCTTTATCTCCCCCACTCTATTCTTATACCTCTATGGTTAAAAACTGCAACTTTTTATGACATTTCGTATCGCACTAAAGTTTTGACAGCTAGTTGATATGTAAACGTATCACGATTGGACCGTACTCCAGTGAACTTCAGTCAAAAACTTATTTTAGACTTATTTGACAGGTGAAAATTAGCGCGACTTCGATTTCGTATAAAGTTGAGTTGCAATTAGAATTGGATTATGATTGAAACATAATTGAACTTTGGCGGATCGTTCATAATAATAAATAGCGCGATTAGCATGCTGGTCACTAAGACCCACCACACGGATCCATTACGGTTAAGTCCTACTGTCCGTGCGATTACCCTTCTTAACTCCTTACAAGATAGAGTCTAGGATGCCAACATTTTTACAGATAGATTAAATCTTTTTAGAGGTAAGCTGTAACTGCTTACCTCTACCTCTCTAAATTATAATCTGAATTAAATAGATTTTATTTTATATTGTTGCATATTATGTGTATTTTTTATTATTATTTTATTTAATTATTACAATATACACTTTTGTTTATGTATCTAAAATTTAACATACAAACGTGTTGGCATTATTAGGTGTAAGTTTGTATTTTTTTTTAAATAAATAAATTAGTTGGCTCTAGCGACGAGGTTAAAGAGATCATACATTTTGCCATTGTGCAAGTTGCTCTACTTCCGCGATCGCCGATCGAACGCGATAATCGCAGCGGATAATTAACTTTTGAGATAGTAAATTTTGGTCACCCATCCAAGGACTGGCCATTGCGAAAGTTGCTTAACTTCCGAGCGATTGCAAACCGAACGGGCTAACCGCAGCGCATCCATAACTTAAGCATGAACACACGTTACTAAAGACATGTGTTACATTTAGCATTGGTTGGTATAAGTTGTCTGGTCTCGTCTGCAAAAGTCCGTTGAAAAGCCTTTTCCTAGCTTTGCATCTGAAGTGCGCATTTGAAGGAAAAATAAAATCGGAACCGTTTCTTAATTGCAGAAGAGGAGGAACAATTCGTGAACGACGCGTACGGCGTGAAAATGCGAGGATCTGGCACAAATAATAGTGATAGCAACACTGAACCGAAAGAGTCTTCCCACCCAGATCCCAGCAGCAACTCTCTCGACTCCGACCTTCGCTGGGTCGAAGAAAACATACCCACGAGTACATTACCACTGCTAGACTCTGACGAAGAAATTATCAACACAAAATTCGAAGTGTCCAAAATGCAATAGTTACTTAAATTTTACAACTTGAAGTACTGTATAAAGTAATTTACATACCTATGTGAAATGTGATTTTTGTGATTTCATTTATACTATTTTGTAAAAAGTTCTTATTATTGTTAAGTGCACCTTACAGTATATAATAATAAAGTTTAGATCGAATAAAGTATCTAAATTAATGATTTTTTGTCCCTTAGTTTTTTTTATTTCCTATTCTAAATATAAGTGTTTTTCAAAGTTGAGTTGGGATGATAGCTAATGCAGTAGAAAGACATGCCATCAAACTTCCTTTATCTTGATAGCAAAATTTTTCTTCACTTAACCAGACCACTATGAAAGTGTGAATTTAAAAATTACATCAGTTTTACGTTATTCAATTCTGTTCTATGTTATTCACTTTTAATTTTACTTTAAATAACCCTAAACGATAGTTTAAATTAAAATAATAGGATTTTATAAGATAGAACATTTATTTGTACATACACATTTTAAATAATCTTTGTTCGTTAAACATGATCTTTGGTATATAAAATATAATATTGGAATATGGCCACAATACTTATTATGTAACTATAATAAAATGGAAGTTTGTTTAAAATCAGTCAATACATAGAAATCGGAAATTCAGAAGACAATATTTATGTACTTTAAGTAAAACAGATGTGAAACCTAAGATTATCCACTGTTAATAAGATATCCCACTAGAATAAAGTTAAATAACATTGTGCTTTAAAAATCTTACACAGCTAAAGTCTTTTAAAACAGTATAATGGAAGTTCACACTTAAAGTAGATTATATGAAAAAATATTATCTAATCTTTCTTTCTACACTTGCTATAAAATAGTTAATACATTAATAAATTATGCGTGAACCGTCACAAAGAGCGGAAGTGAGCGAATCGCCATAGAAAGATAATGTGAAACCCAAATATGGACCCATAGCATGTGCCAGTTGTCTGTCGCATACGCAACGACGTACAATATCCGATGATAAAATAAAAATATATATAACTTCATTGAATATTGAATGGTACTATAAAAAAGTTGTATGAATTTTGTTTATATACATTTCTTCTAAGTCAGCAACGTTAAGCTGAAATTCCAAAAAAAACTTGTAAAATATCCTTTTTCAAATCATTTGGATACTATATAAAACAACCGAGATCTTATAAATACTGAAAGTTTTTTTCTAAAATAGTTTTTCTTTCTTTACTTCTGATTTCTGTCATTTATTCAATGAGATGAAGTATACTGTCAATTTGTACAAGTAATAAAAATGATCAATTATTGTCATAGTAAAAATCATAATCTTCTGGCTCCTCTGGTATCTGTGGAGGATCCTGTGGTATATCAATACCTTCTGCGTCTAATAGCCGAACTTTTATGTCCATAGACAAAAGAGTTTCTAAATCACTCTCAAATGATTTGCTTGACATCTTTTCTTTTAATAAAGCATTGATTCCATCTGTCCAATAGTCAAATACCTGCTCATCTGGTGCCACAAAATCTAAAGATGTCACTTCTGCTGATTTCAGAATCAAAGAAAATGCCAAATGTAGGTTAATTTTTCTACCTTTTAAGTCCTTCATGTGGGGACAGTCTTTACCAACTACAACACATTTTATGTCTGCAACAGCAAGTTTATTTCCAAGTTCCTCTAAGCTTGGAGTACTTTTCTCATCACAGTCTCCATAATGTAAAACCTTATGGTTTGGAGAAAGACGTACAAACCAAAACTTATCTTTTATTCTTTGTGCTCTTGGAGAATATTTCTTGAACCTTGTGCCCCCGACCAAAACACCTAGTCTCTGCTGTTGGATCAAGTCTATGATTTCTGGTGTGATTTTCTCTTTTAATTCTACTATTGGTCGAGCATGTGACTCCCAAACTTCCCTGTTGTTCCTTTCTTGTAGCCATATTTGTGTTATTTCTGCATAAGTAAGCTGATTGACTCTTTGACGAAACTTATCTATACCCTTTGGACCCAATGATAAAGCCCTGCTAATTTGCTCTCTTACAACACTGGATACTTTAATAAAATCCTCTGTAGTTGCTCTCATCTCCTTCCACGTCTTATTTAATAAGACTATACAAATGCAAAAAAGCTCCTCAAATGGATGATCATGTGTGAAGAACAATGGTTGATATGTTTGGCCTTGTTCACTGGGTGGTTCCCCTATGTGTAATATGTCACATAACTGTTTTATCAACTCAACACTTGTCTTCCCAAATGGACATTCATGTTCATCTGCCCTACAACTATTTTCTAACACAATTTTGGTATAATCTTCTGGGTAGTTTCTGGCAAAATACAACATACAATCCAATGCTAAGACTCCTGGTGGGACTTCATTGAAATCTTTTATTGGATCAATCTCACATTTGAAGCCAAGTTTTTTGAATTCTTTGGAATAGCTCCCATATTGACGTCTGGTTGTGACTTCAATATTAGAATTGTTATCATTTTCAAAGGCAATTTTTCGCAATTCTTTTATTTTTTCTTGGGACTCCTGTTCCTGTGAGTCTGCTCGTTGCCTCATTTTGGGTTCCAATAATCCAAGCATCAAAGTTTGTAACACATAAAGTTGGTGAGCTAATTCAGTGCCCAAAGCATCCTTGGATGTAGTTTTTGAGAACTCACTGGCTCCAATGAGATTTTCATATATTACATTACGAACTTGCTTTGATGCTAAAGTTGCTCCTATGGCTTTCTTTTTTGTATTGTCTGCTTTTGAAAAGATAGCATTAATAAGTGCAATTGCATTCTGCTGTATGACACTATCTTGGTAAGGATTTTGTAAATGAGAAATTAAACTTGGTATTGTGATTTCCTGTTCAACATGTGAATTCTTACCAGAGCTATTGAGGACAATGTTTTCAAGAATAGACAGGCAAGACTGAATTATCTTAGGATCTTGTGTACTTGCCTGATTGTTGATAAAACTTGCAATTTTATTGATGAACTGATTTTCTAAGATATCCCAAGATATAATTCCATGGTCCATTAGTTCAACAAAAGTGACCAAAGCGTATTTGAGCGAGTTTCCTTTGAATCGTCCACTATCAATGTTATTTATTATGAGTGAGAGCCCCTTTTTATTAATGAATTCCAAAGCAAATGTAAGATCGCTACTTAACGTTGATAACTTGGTGAGGGCAGCGGTTTGTTCGGCTTCGGATCCTTTGTTTATTTTCGCAAGAATGTCCTGAACAGTTTTAGCTGGTGATTGTTCAAGACGCAATACAGACCCATTTTTAATTTCGTTCCGATTCTTCTCTGTTATATAGTTTTGGTTGTTGCTCTCTGAGAATTGTAAAGCGTAATTGTCTGGGTCAGGAAGACCCCAAGGTTTACAAAGTAATTGAATAATACTCGATAAAGGTTGACTTTGGTCAAACTCGATAAGCTGAGGCACTTTATCGGGTGCATTAAGCATTTCAACAGCAATCTTGAGTATGGTTGAATCTTTCTCTTTCGTTGCCGACGGCATTTTTATTGGCTTTGTAGACATTTATTTATCATTTGATTGGAAATGCGAACCACAACAATTCCACCACACGTCTTCAAGTCACACCTCTAAAAACTGACAGTTAATCAGTATTGCCAATCTGTGCTGTCAGAATTTCGGATGTTGATACTTGGTGGCTTTATTTTTTTACACCCTGTTTTTTTCCAAACATTACATACTTTAAATATTTATAGTTTAGGTTCGGAAGGTTAAGTCAAGATTGTGTCGTTATAGATATTAAAAAATACTGGCACTTAGATGTCGTCTCGATCGTGCATCGACATATAGTACAGTCAATCTGTCGGAAAAAAATATCGTTTCAGTGAAAAAAAAACCTAAAGGGTAAGTCTTGTTTTTTCTGTTGCCAAATGACGTCAGTAAGCCACCTTGGCGATGGGCATGTTCAACTCGTAGGCGTTTTTTGAAAAACTCAAAAAAACCGTCAAAATTTTTTTGAAACGCATTTTTCTTGTTTTGTATGCATTTTAAAAACTTTTTTTTCGACCATAATTGTAGAGGGCGTTGAGTGCTACAATTTATGTCATTGTTGCAATCTCGTACAACAAAAAATGCGCATTGTAGGTGGCGCTAAAGTCTCAAAAAAAGTGTTTTTTCACTTTTTCACCCTGAAAATATCATTTTAATGGAAAACTTTAAATGGCGAAGTTGTTTCGTACATCAACCAACCAACAACTTTTGTATAAACAATTTTTTTGTATTACTTACCGTTTTCAAGTTATAAATTGCGCAGGTATGAAAAATCCAATAGAGCGGTTTTTGGGCAGTTCAAGTACACATTTGCAGTGCACATTTCAATGTACGTTTTACTATCCGCCATTGTTTAAATCAAAATGCCTTTTTTAAATTGATCTTAGAATTTAGGGTTTAAAAAATTAAAAATGTAATTGTTATCACCGACTCCTAAAATATTTACATTTTCTTTGAGTTGCTGCTTTGAAGTCATTTAGGTCATTTGACGTGCTATTTATTAAAACGAATTATTTACTAACTTAAACAATAGTTGTAATCCAAAAACAGGGTATACTAATAAAAGCAATTGTAATTTATTGCTATTCTTAAAAATTGTTGTGGTAATGCATCTGTCATCTTGATTCATTAGTAACAAAGTTGGGAATATTCCGTAGGCTCAAATTAACAGCTTTGATCTGCTCACATCTCATATCGGCATCTTGAGAAACTAAAACAAATAGTTTCGTATAAAAAAACACTTAAGATTGAAACATCTAGCAGTTAAATGCTTAAAATAATAATATACTACTGTTAATACTGTTATGGATAAAACTAATAAACAATAAGAGTACAGCTCTAAAATATACTATTTTTCAATGCGAATTTTGTATGCAATTTTATTTGTATATTCGTGAATTTAATATAATAGGGCCGTGAAATTTTGTGACGTAAACTCTAAAGAACCCCGTGATTGTATTATACTGATATAAAAATACTATTACCTATATGTTCAAAACGTTTGCGAAGACATGACGACGGCTTACACGTGAAATGATAATTCCGAGTTTTTAAATTCTTTCTTTTACCGTTCGCTGAAGAACACAGCTAAACACGGCATTATCATATACTTACTTTTATATAATTTTCACGCTCAACACTATGAATTCTTTTCAATTTATAAAAATACCACTCGTCACCGCAAAGTTGTAAGCATATTACTCGGACACTTGTAAACCAACACCGATACTCAGCATTGTCAAACTTACATCAACTGTGGCAACTACTGTTTCACTCATAGGTACACTCTACACTGTATCTGTACCTGCATACGTGGCAAACAGTTCCATCCGTCATTCAGGCTGTCAAATTTCTGGCTCCGTCCATTTGATACTATGCTATGGGATCGTGTACCAGTTGAGAGCGGCAAAATGCATGCCGTTTTGACCCGGTCTATAAAGAAAATAATGATAACAAAAGGCGCAAATTCAGTAGAAGTTTTATATTCCACACATCATGCTAGTTCTATGCTCCTTCCACCCGTCAACAGCGAACGGTAAGAAAGCTAATGGTGGGAGCAAAAGAAAAGAAAAATACTGCATGTGTGTCACAATGCGTCCGATTTCATTCTATTCTTAAAACGAAAGTAGTCAAAATGGTATGTTTTTTGCCGCTCTAAAGTTCGAAAAAAAAATCATAAGCGGCCGCAATATTGTGGATTTGTTGGATCTAAATTCCTTTTATCTCAATTAGTTATTTCTGCTCAGGTAGGCAAGCAAGTAAAGTTACTGCTATTAAAGTATTGTATAGGATGACGAATGTATACAAAAAAATGGGTGCGTGTACTTATGTAGGCGCGTGAGAAGTTATCCTTCTTTGGCATCGTTTAAAATTAGTTTTTAATTGCATGCAAATAATTAATTACAATAAATTAATAAAAAGTCTGGAAAAGGACACAGTCAATAAAGTTCAGTTTTAATTTGAAAAAATAAATAAATAATCAAAATATTCAATTAAAATCTCTACTGAATATAATTTATTAGAACATATGTGATTTGCACTTGTATGAAACTCAAACACGTATTCCGAATATACAAACTAGAAACATGTGGATAAATATTATAAATATGAATACCTATAAGGGGCCATCCATAAATTACGTCACACTTTAAGGGGTAGGGAGGGGGTCGAAGAAATGTGACATCGTGTGACAAGGGGTGGGAGGGGTCCTAAATTTCGTGACGTCACATTTCAAAATATATTAAAATCTAAGTGTTGAAACTATTACTTTACGAAAGCATTAACAACCCAAACGAGAACAAAGTGGTGCTATGCCAGTTATAAATAATTTAAAGGAGTGGGATCAATGTCCATGGACTCAAGATTATTAAGTTTGTATATTTAATTTAATTATAATGCTATTAATATTTTATGTTTTGTTAATTTCTTTAATTAACATAGTCAATCACTTTTTGTTCGGTAATTTTTTTGTTTTGTTAATTGTTTGATTTGATTATAATAATAATGAAAAAACAATTTAAATGGAAATAAAACTGATTACAGAACCGCTGTTTTCATTCAATGATTTCTAAATGTAAATTTGCAAAATATGTGACGTCACACTAGGGACGGGGGGGAGTCTTACAAATGTGACCAGCTGTGACAAGGACGGGGGGAGGGGCAAAAAAGACATGAAATTCGTGTGACGTAATTTATGGATGACCCCTAACTGTTACTTTATTACAAAAAATAAAGATGTGGTTTTTGGTTCTACTACAACAATGGTCAAGAGATGGCGCTGTAGTCTCCTGAATCGCGCTTTGGTTCCGTCTCCTGAATGGCGCTTTGTTTCCGCATGAAGCGACCAACTTCATGCTGTTAAAATTTTGTGTTACAGTGATGCGCGCACATCTTAAAATTTCACTGTCATCATTTTTTCATAACGCGCCTAAAGAAGTATAACTTCAAAAACTTACTTTTGTTAAATGCTTTGCAGCCGTGAATTTTTTAAAATAAATTTTGACGTTTTTTAAACTTATTCTTGTATGAACTTTTGACGTACGATAATGTTCACGTTCGCGAAATAGATATATCTATAGCTATACCGAGGTACCGAAGAAAGAAAGTGCAAATCAACAAATAAGTGATTGGTACAAATTGGTATAAAGCGATAATATTACCGAACGACTGGCAACACTGTAGGAGATTGATTTTTAAACATCCCAATCCCATAAGAGTAGCAAAGGATTCTGAACTCTTATTGCCAAATCTCATTACATTACATTCATAAAAATACGAATGTTACGTTAGGGTGCGGCCAGAGTGCACTCAGATTCAGATTCCGAAAACAAGCGCGAGAAATAAACAGTGTTGTCGAAGGGTACGGCCAGAGTGCACTCCAGGGTGCCAATCGCCTAACTGGATTGCTTTGGAAAACGCTATCGCTTACGATTTCATTTTGTTATTTCTAACCGCCGAAATACCTCACGCTCATTTTCTTTAACATTGTTATTACCAATGCAAAAGAAAAAAAAAGAGCGCGAGGCATTTGAAAACCTCAGGGGGCTAGAAATAACAAAATGAAATCGTAAGCGATAGCGTTTTCCAAAGCAATCCAGTTAGGCGATTGGCCCCCTGATTCAGATTCAGACTCAGAAAACAAAGCGCGAGAAAAAGCAGGCAACCTGCTTAGACTACACTGTTTATTTCTCGCGCTTGTTTTCAGAATCTGAATCTGAGTGCACTCTGGCCGCACCCTTAGCTTTCTTGGACTTGGAGGGCAAGTGAGCTTTAGTCCGTTATTAAAATAAAATATTTTAGCAGTCCCGTAGAAGTCGTACAAACACGCTTATTATTTGATAAAAACAGCATTTCAATAGAAGTAATTTTATTTGTTATATTTTTTTTAATAGGCTCATTTAATGTCATCTGCAATGAACTTCAAACTTTTTATGCAAATGTCAACAACGCTCTAATTTCTTCCTCAAATAGGTATAAATAAATATGGTTCGCAGAAAAAATAAAATGGTAAGCCCTAATCATTCTCCAAATCATAAAATAAGGCGGATATAATACGGTGCGGGCAAACTTTGACCGTTGTGCTGTTGTATCACAATGGCAATCCGTCTAATCGTCGTATCGCCGCCGTAACAAAACAAAACGGCATCTTTTTTTTTAAAACGACGGACGCCTATAATCGACATCTGGATTTGACAGTAGTGTAGGTAGTGTGAAAATGCGTAAAATTACCGCATAAATGAAACGTTGCTGTTCTAGCCTGCAGCATCCACGGCACGTTTGTTCACTGCGGCCGTCACCGGACCGCCTAGTTCCAGAACGAGATTATTTCCCAAAGACGGCTGCGGTGGCCTTACCGATCAGGGGCGTGGCCAGCGTTGCCAGACGTCCCGATTTTTAAATCAACAAAGCCCGCGCTTGTCAAGCGCTAACTACCACGAGCAAAAGCTGCTTTTATAACAAGTAGGTAGGCATGTATATTTAATTATAACGTAAGGCTTAAAATAGACCTAAGTAATTAGCTTCAATTAACCTAAATTGATAATTAAAACTAACTCCACCTTAGCACGCATAAGGATAACGGCCGAACCATGGCTGAACTAAGAATTGTCAAGTTAAGTTTTAGAAAAGTCGATGTTATCACTTCCTTTGTGCTAATGAATGAACTTAGCGATATACGTATTATGACAATAGGTATCAATACTGTACTGACTTTGACAAGCGTTAATTAACCAATGCGCAAATGACGCAAAAAGATTAGGACATGTATTCACATACAATATATATATATATATATATATACTAGCGGACCCGACAGACGTTGTCCTGTCTACACGTCTTTAATTTGATAATTTCAAACTTTTTTTAATAAGCTAAAACCTGGACCATTTTGATGAAAATTATTATTCAAATGTTATGACAATATCTAACGTCATTACATGTAAATTTATTACAATTAGACTAATCGATAGCGTGTGAGTATGTGTAATGAAATCTTCAACTTGTTTTAATTAAAGGTAAAAAAGCTTACACTCAAACTATTTTATTTAAAAAATATATTTTTTTATTTACAAAAACTTAATTTATCGTAATGCCATTGGATGTACAATATTTTTGGTTAAACCCTGAGGTGTATAAATAAATAAATTCGATGGTTTTCCAACTCTGGAACACGCAACATAACGGTGCGCGTTCCCAATAGCACTTTGCCGCTAGATGGAGCTAGGGGCGTAAAATCGGTTTTTTATTTTTTAAAACCTTTTAAAATTGAATATTATTTAATATTTGACACTGCGATGGTCTGTCGGATCCAATGTAAAACATTCCAAAATCAACAACTACTAATAAATTAAAAATTAATTAAAAAAACATTGTCCAGCGGACAAAATTGTGAATCTAAACCATTCTCAGATCCCCTTGAACACACACAAAAAATTTCATCAAAATCGGTCCTGTCGTTTATGAGAACTTTCGGTGACATACACACTCACAGAAGAATTATATATATAAAGATGTATATATATGAATACATGTACATATACCACCCACCAATCTGCAATGCGGCATTGGATCCACGACGTGACTCACGTCACGACCGAACCTCCCTAATCTATACATAGGGAAGGCCTCTGCCCCATCAGTTGCATAGCAGCAGACATTAATAGGCTTCTGATGCTGATGAATAAAACATAGGATACTTTTTATCACGGAAAACTGTAGTAGGTACCTCTGGGATTCTCGAAAACATAACTGTAACGCGGACGGATGCAGAATAAAGCAAGTAAATATAATACTATGTCCTTTAATTTGCTAACCTACATTGCCTTTATTGACGAGAGCAATTCATTATATCTGCAACTTGAGATCTTGTTAGATATCATTAGGTAGGTATTCAAAGTTTTCTGAGAAGCTATATAAACCACATACACGTCGTATAATTTTCATTCAGAATCATCAAATTCATTTTACAATGAGTGCATTCATAAAGTACGTGTTGATTCTCCTATTATTTGATATTGTGAAGAGTGTACTGAGTTTTCGCTGCGATAGAAGACCGTATGGTTCCACAACAACATCCTCGCCGGCTGACGGCAGATTTAAACTGCAGATAGTTGGAGGTTACGATTCCTACATGCCTGAACAACTTTATTCAGGTTGGTAAGAAATAAAGTTAACTTTTATATGCTAAGTTTCTCAATAAAATACCATTTTTTAACATAAAAGGGGTGGTTGTTATTGCAGTACAAATTACGGAAACAGATGGCCAATCGAGATTCACAGGTTTCATGGTATCAGCTGAAGGCGACCTGAAACAGGATCCTAGGAATCCTAGAAGAATGATCCAGCAATACCCGGGAGAAATAAGACCTCAGAATCCGTCGACGGCGAAGTTCAGTGACCGTTGCCTGTATTCCGTTGAACAAGCAGTGAATTCATTTAAGTCAACTGTTGAGGTAAATTATTTGGTAATTTTGTATTTGTAAAGGTTATTGCTTATTAGAGCCATCCAGCATCCGAACAGTACCGCCTCGTCTTTTGGCACCCATCTACACGCTGTGTCAGGTGGCTCACTTGTGGACGTCGCGTGGTAAACGCGAGGGCCACTCGGTATCCTTGCAAGAGCGCGCTGTCAACGCAAGATAAGCATGTGACCAGAGAGTAGTATATTGTAATACCGAGTGGTCCACTTGCTGCATGGGCATGGTATTTACGGTTGACAAATTAAGGTCACCCGTTGCTCAATAGAGCGATCTGGTATCCGACAAGAAGCACCTCGTCTCGAGCGGTTAGTACTTCTATGAACATGCACTCACCACATCAACTTCTTTTCTGATCAAATCGCTCGTAAGCTGTTCACGCGATAATATTAATCAACCCGTTGTTTTGGCACCCACCCAAACGCTGTGTTAGGTGCTCATTTGTGGACGTCGCATGGTAAACGCGCGGGCCACTCGGTATCCTTGCTAGAGCGTGCTGTCAACGCAAGATAAGCATGTGACCAGAGAGTTGTATATTGTAATACCGGGTGATCCACTTGCTGCATGGGCATGGTATATACGGTTGACAAATTAAGGTCACCCATTGCTCAATAGAGCGATCTGGTATCCGACCAGAAGCACCTCGTCTCGAGCGGTTAGTATCCTTTATATGGACTTCTATGAACATGCACTCAGTACATCAACTTCTTTTCTGATCAAATCGTTCCCAAGCTGTTCACGCGATAATAATAATCAACCCGTTGCTCCCATGCTTTTTTTGAGGTGGCACTGCAACCGCATTGTTCCTAAGTGGACTGTAGATTGTCGGCATCGAAAGTCTTTCAGACCCTTCGGCCGCCATCGTAACAGTGTTTCGTAATCAGTGTTGCAAACGAAGATTTATTCGTCCTTGGTCGTAACCAGCAATGATCGAGGATGTTTGAAACCAGTTACGATCGAAGATTTTTTCTATAGTTTAGGTAGATCGGACGTCAGTTTTATTTATCTAAATTGGGTTGGGTAAGGGTTCCTCGTTCCCTCTACTTGAAGTCAGATCGGTCGCGCCATATATTTGATATTTTCGTATATTGACGGTGTTTCGGTGATAATTAATATTATCTTGAGATATATATTAAATGTGTTTACTGGTGCATTGAAGTAGTTTACCAGAAGAAATGGGCTCCTTCCATCGGATTGCATAGCCACAGACAGTAACCAGGTCTTTTATTAAAATTTTCTACTTATTATATTTATTCACTCTGGGTTAGGACCATTCAAGGTGTTTTCTTCATTACTTATCTCAATCATTTATGGAGTGAAGTCTTCGACCGTAACTGGTGTCTTCCATCGTGATTGGTTACGAACAGATTTTGCTGGTGGATACTGGTTTCTAACTAGGAAAAATCAACCTCGATCGTAACTGGTTACGACCAAAGACAAATAAGTCTTCGATCGCAACTGGTTACGAAACACAGTTACGATGGCGTCGGAAAGGCTTTCGGATCGGCACGCGATAAAGAGAATAACCTTAATCCTGAAATATTTATGAAAATATAGGTTTATTGGCAAGCTCCGTCTTCCGGTAATGGATGTGTCACACTCAGAGCTATGGTTGCGGAGAACGAAAACATGTGGTTTGAAGATGGCGGACCATTAACTTTGAAGGTTTGCGAAGATATGCGGCAGCCCGATGATGTGACACCGCAATTGAATTATGAATGTCAGATCTGCGATGAGGCAAAGTATGAAGTAAGTATGTGACAAGTATATTTCTAGAAAAATACAGTAACTGCATAAAAGAAGTGTCCAACCTTTCTTTTCCAGATATCTTTTACTGGTATTTGGTCTCGTAACACGCATCCGAGATATTTCCCTGAAAACGATTGGGTTCCCCGATACAGTGATTTGGTTGGAGCATCCCACACAGGGGATTTGATTATTTGGGCTCCTGGAACGGAAGCTACAGAAGGTCTACAGCAATTGGCAGAACATGCGAACTCGAGTAAGCTAGAGACAGAAATATTAGAAAAGGTGTTATATCCATATTGGCTTCTAAAGTAGTTATAATATCAATATTAAACAATCACATTATAGCTGATAATTTTTAGGTGGGGGATGGAATTCGAACGTTGATCAAAGGTAAAGGTCACGGTAATCTCAAGATGAACATACCAACATACGCATTTTTTCGTGCGAATAAAGATCATCACTTGGTCAGCGTCGCTATTGGCTTCTCTCCGTCACCGGACTGGTTCCTGGGTGTGGCGAGATTCGAGTTATGCCAACAGGATAATACATGGCTTCAGGAAAGAGAGTTAAACCTATTTCCTTGGGATGCTGGCACGGATAGCGGTGTCACCTATGAAGTAAGTTTTTAATTGTTTTAATAATAAAATACTTACTTATCATAAAGCACTTAATTTCAGTTTAATTAAGTATTTGAAATTTCAGTCGCCGAACATACAAACGTTTCCCAAAGATGCTGTGACCCGAGTCCAAACGAGTTCGTATGACAAAAATTCGCCATTTTTCGAGATGGACATGAAAGATTTGCATCCTTTTGGACGTCTAGGTTTGAAATTAATAAGGACTTATCATAGAGAGTGTGAAGAGACCACCGGTAGGTAGGACAATACGAGAATCTTAGGGCCACAGCCTGTCCACGGCCACTTGCAACAACATTCTTCTATGTATAAAGTCGCTTAAAACATCACTACATCTTTAAAGTCATACATAATAAAAAGTGTATTAGGTTAAATTATATATATTATTATTGTTCTGAATTTATTTTAAGAACTTTGATGCAAGTGGGTCTAAGTGCAATTGCTTCAAAGATTGATGTCTTGATAAAAACTTTCGGTGTGACTTTTCAGAGAGTGAAGAAGGAGAAACGACAGAAAAAGCAGAAAAGGAAGAAGTTCCCGACGAAAGTGGGGAGCCTGAAGAACCCTCCAGGTATCAATACCCAGAACTAGCTAGCAGCGACAACGGGGGGTGAGGCACTACCTTGACAATAGTTGACAGATCTTCACCACATTTTCATTTACAGCTAACATCACTTATATTGAACAAATGATATAGATGACGTCATTAATTGCTTTCATCTCTTACGGTAGATGATTGGTTTTGTTTGTTAGTCGTTTATTATTACAAAATGATGCATACGAATCTATAAATTTCCCTGATTTTTTTGCTAGTTCGTTAGGTCCAGACCCTGAATCTTCAGATGATTGTCCAATGACGCCTTGGCAAGATTGGAGTAATTGTGAAGGTATATGCGAAGACGGAAAAATCGTTGGTATCAAGTGGAGAGAAAGGTATCATCTAGTTGATGGGATTCCAGTTGGAAAGTATGATCCAAACGTAAGTTAGTTATTTTCAGATACAATATAGTTTTGCTAAATATCTAGGCTAGGTATCAAAGAAGCTTTGTCCAACTCATTATCGTACCTATTACTTAACAAAATAATGTTTAAAGGCGAAGCATTTACCAAAGAAGGAAGTATCCAAATATTGCGAAGAGACATTTGAACATTTTGAAGAACTTCCTTGTAAAGAAGATTGTTCAGAAACAAAAGAAGAGAATGACGAAATCACAGGTGATAATATAATTAATATAAATATAGACGTAAGGCATAGAAATAGTAAGTCCATGTATTTAAGATTGAAACCAGACGCACATACCCTTAGAGGCGCGAGTGGTATGTGCACCTGGTTTGGGGCAAATGTTTGTGAGATGAATACGAGCATTTGTAGCATATTTATGTTTCTAGTTAAATATACTGATTTCAGTTCATGCTTTTATTCGTTACTCTGGTATCCCATAAAATAAGCCATACAGTGCCTACGTTTGGGCAAGGCAGTCAGGTCAAAAAAATATGATTTTAGGACGATGTCAATGTTATGTTGTGAGTGTGATCGACGAGACTACGGCTTAATTATAATGTTCTTTATTTCAGCTGAACAAAGATTTATGGCACCGGTGATTCCTGGACACACATGGTCTAAGAAAAGAGCTCTCATTAAGACAGTGAATAAAAATTAATGTAGCACTATTGTAAATAAAATTACGTTTTTTTTCTCATGGTTATTATCATTTATAAGTACTTCATACTGGCCGATTAGTTTAAGATACTACTGACATATTTTCACTGAAATAATTATCTCTTTAGCAAGCCGTCGCTGAGGTCGTCACTATTGTAAAGACTCTGATTTAAGACTGAAATTAAATACACGAATGCACTTCAAACGAATGAAATTTTTATTTATTTCCGGAACAATCAACACAAAAACCTTATTTATCTACCATCTCACAACCTAGTAAGTACGTTCATCACAACGAAACTAAATCAATTTTCCCAAGTGTCTTTGAATTTGTTATTTGCTATTTACCTTAGTAACCAGCAACTTCTGCTTTCTGCTCAACTAGCACAAAAAAAGCAACTGAATGTTATTAATAGTCAACTGAATATTATTAATAGTCAACTGAATATTATTAATAGTCAAAGGAATATTACAAATAGTCAGTGTCCGCAATCCGCTTTTTCTCTTCGAAATGGTTCTAGGAGAGAAAAGAGAAACCTCATGCAGTCAATGTGTAACACAACAATTCTTGTTCAATTGTTGGATGTTGCATTCATTGCATGTGAACATTCCTTTTTTAGGACATGGTATACCCGCTACAGTAAATATACCTAAACTCCTAATGACGGAGAAGAATAAAGGCATATGTATATGCCGGCGACTTCGTCTGATCGTTCCATTGATTTCTCATATAAACTTCCACCTATCTATTCACCTTCTTAAATAATGATTGATTTCTGGGATAAAAATTTCTTCGGGGCCCTAACCATATATACTAAATTTCATTTAAATCGGTTTAGCGGTAAAGTGCGATGAGGTAACAGACAGGCAGACAGACACACTTTTGCATTTATAATATTAGTATGGATGAATAACAGGGCAGTACTTATGTGTTTAATTGGAAGTGACGCATAATTTAAATTATCTCACTTACTCTAATTAACGAAACAGTTATACAGTAGTCGCCAAATGGGAATCATGTGCTTTTGAATTTTTAACTGAATATCTGAAAGAATTGATTTTTACATAAAAACAGACTGTGACAAATTCTAAAAACGAGCTCAGAAAATTACAGCCATGGGATGTCATCAAATGATATCCATACGTATATTTGTTCTCGGTAAGTTACTATAACGATAATAATTTATTGACATTTAGCTGTAACCTTTATATCATCATCATCAGCCTATTAATGTCCCCACTGCTGGGTTACAGGCCTTCCCTATGGATGGAATAGGGAGATTGGGTGCTAACTAACTGCAGTTGCAGCCGGGACCAACGGCTTAACGTGCCTTCTTCCTAAGCACGGAGAAGCTCAAGATAGTAAATTTTTGGTCACCCATCCAATGACCGACCACTGCGAAAGTTGCTTAACTTCAACGATCGCAGCTGAACGCGCTAACCACTTGCGCCATCGAATTCGAGCATCGAGCCTTTATATAGCTGTGTGCAAATAATGTTCAACATCAGCCTATCGAGGTTTCCACTGCCCACTGCTGAGGCAGAGTAGGCCTTCCCTATGGATGGACTAAGTGTAGAGTGCGTGTAGGGTGACCGGTGCAGGTGTATTGTCTGGTTTTTACTGGGCCATCCCTCCTACGTCCTTTTATTTCATTGCGCCCTCGAACTGGATGAAATGTCAAGGAGGAGCCCTCAGAGCCCTGTTCAGCTTTCTCCCGGGTGGGCGAGGGCTGAGGTCACGTATTTTCCAGACCTAAAAAAAAAAAGAACGGGAAATGACTCAGCACGCCGCGCCGGCCCATTGCGTATTGTTGGGTGCCAACAACGACTACAGCCACATCAGAGACCAACGATTTATAGGAACTAAAGATAATAAACTTTTGGTCACCCTTTCGAGGACCGGCTACTGCGAACGTTGCTTAACTCCACGATCACATATCGAACGCGCTAACCATCGCGCTTGCGCCATCGAGCTCGAGATCGAGAGCACATATTTTAAATGATCATAAAAAAAATATAATGGATCCTCAAAAATACAAATGAATAACCTAACCTTTAGGTTACCAATAAATTTTTTTTTTAGGAATCATTTATAATTTTTTCGAGGATCATTTAAATATTTACTGGCAGACCCGTCTTTCCCAGTGGGCACTTTGGGCAAATGCCGAGGTGATCGATAGGGGCCCATCTCAGATCACAAATTCAAAGTCCCTAGTTCCTGTTAGATCACCAAACGGGGGCCATAGGGGCCCCATTATCCTAATATGCCCAGGGCCTCCAATAGGTCAAAGACGGCACTGTTTACTGGTCTATAAAACCGTAATAGAGGAAGGGAGTTGCCGTTCGAATTGAAATGCTCATCTAGAATTAAACATAAAATCACAGTAAAATAACGCTACCTTTTGGTGGTGTTGTGTTTCTGTCGGTGAGTAAGGTTCCAGCTTCTAGGGCAGGATCGGTCAGGGTAGCAACAGCCTACCCTGACCAATCCTGCCCTAGAAGCGGGAGTGATATTTTTGGTATCGCAAGCGTCTGTATGGTATGGTGGCCGCTTACCATCTGGCGGGCCATACGCTTGTTTGTCACCTTTTAGGGCGCTTTCAATTTATGCGTTTCGTGACGGCTGCTGCAGTGCCGAAGCGGTGCGTTTGTCGTACAGCGTACGGACGATCCTTTTTTTCACAAAAAACGCGCGGTGCGGCAACAGTAAACAAGCTTGCGTTCTCTAAACTTACTTAACCTACAAAAAATATTTAATCTTCATAGAAATAGGGTTTGAACAAGTACGCAAGAATCTCTACTCATAAAAAAATCAATATATCCTGAATTATTACAGACTGTCTCAGTTCAAGTTAACCACATTTCAACTGTTCGATCTATCGTATCGTAACTTATCTTGCTTCATTTATAATTGATTCATTATTGTAAACAGACAAAACTGTAAATCGTGATGTATTGCCAACTGTACATAAAATACGTTGTAAAGGTCATCTGCGACCAGGGTTACCATCCGTCCGGATTTGTCCGGACATGTCCGGACGTTTTGCCTTTTGTCCGGACTTTGTCCAGCTTTTTAATTTGTCCGGTTTTTTTATTAGATGGAATATGAGTCAAACTAATTATTAACTTATATCAAATTGTCAAATAATCTTAGTTCTCATTAAATTAAAATAAAATATAAATCATCTTTAAAAATCAACAACGAGACCCCCTCGCGATGCGAGCATCTGCTACCTCGCGTATAATATCACTGTAACTAAGTGGGTGATGTTTGCATTTTGTGACTAAAATGTCCGGACTTTTATCGAAATGTAAGGCTTTTTGTTAGACTTTTCAAATTTTTAAATAGTAACCCTTTCTGCGGCCAACATCATACACACTAAAAAAAAATTATTTTTATTTTTATTGTGAAACTTTAATAAAATAACAATCTATTGTGACATTATGTTCAGGAAATGAGATGTCAGTAAATGTTCAACAAAATGGAAAAATAGCGTATTTAACTTTAATTACATCGCCACAGTTCCAGACCTTATATACAAGCATCAACATGAACAAAGTGGTTCAGTGGTCGAAAGCTCGCCTCTTATGCGGGCGAGGGTTCGAATCCCAGCCGAGAAAGGACTTTTTTTTATTAATGATTTTAAAAGTTTCACTTGGTCTTGATTTCATAAAACCACATACATTCTTGAAGTTATACTTCTTTAGGCGCGTTATGAAAAAATGATGAGAGTGAAATTTTTAGATGCGCGCGCATCACTGTAACCCAAAAGTAACAGCATGAAGTTGGCCGCGGGCGCGTTATGAATGTTAGTGTCTGACATCTACATCTGTTCGAAAGGTACTTTGAACGATCCACGGAGCTCCATAAGATGATCGCGTTGTCAAAAACAATGTTGGCACGCTCGTCGCCTCTGATCACTGTTTTCATATTTATAATATTTATCCACATGTTTCTAGTTTCTATATAGACACAACGTGTTTTAGTTACTTATAAGTGCTAATTACATATGGACTAATAACTTAAATTCAGTATTGATTTTAATTGAATATTTTGAATATTTATTTAATTTTTCAAATTAAAACAGAACTTAATTGACTGTGTTAACTATCCTTTTCCAGTCCTTTTATTATTTTATTGTAATTATTAATTATTTGCATGCAATTAAAAAAATATTTTTAATGATGCTAAAGAAGTATAACTTCTCACGCGCGTACATAAGTTCTTCTTTGCCGATTCACTCTTGACAGAGCGGTCGTGGTCATCAGGTAGCGGTCAGGTTCCGGGCAGCCATAATCCTCTTCACGATGCGACGCCATCCTTCCCTGTCGGTTGTGCTACGTGTGCACTCGTGCAAGGGGCCGCCTACTGCCGATTTGATCTGGTCGGTCCAGCGCATGAGGGACCTGCCACGTGCCTTCGTGCCTTCGACCTTCCCCTGTACTACAAGACGCTCTATGGACGTGTTGTCCCGTCGTGAAACGTGCCCAAAGAACTGTAGTATTCGAGTCTGGACTACGTTTGTTAGACGCTGTTTGACGCTGAGTTCTTGGAGAATAGATGCATTGGTGCGAAACTCTGTCCACTTCACTCCAAGCATCTTCCTCCAGCACCACATCTCTAGTGCATCTATTTTCTTTTTCTCAATTTCTCTCAGCGTCCACGTCTCGGCAGCATACAGAAAAATGGGGAATATCACTTAAGTTACACGCATCCATTTTTTATGATTGATGTATTTTTCAACAGTATTTTTAGTACACGTTTGCGTGTGTGATCGGGAAACATGCGATCGCCGTCCGTTCGACACACACACCGCTCCTTTGCCACCCGACAATCGCTTCTACATCGACATCGACGGCATCACAGAAAGATATATACCGGGGGAACAGTACACAGGTGAGTTTGGCAGCACACATTTTGTGACACTCATTATTTTATCAGCATGTTAAATGTTAAGAGCGGACACGAGGTGAGAGACGCGAGGTGTTGCCCCTGTCGCACGGTATTTTCCAATACACGAGAGCAATAGTTTTCTCAAATACCTATTTCTCAAACATTAGAGGTTTTTTCAAATACCTATTTCTCTAACATTTGTGAAATAGGTATTTGAAAAAGCTATTGCTGTTGCGCATTGGCAAAAATCGTGCGATAGGGACAACAGTAGCTAACGTTGCAGAATTCGAGGTTTGGCTCTCGACGTTTTCCTCCTCGAAAATGAGATATCCCTATGTATCTAAAAGGAATTTTACCCATAGAATAATAAGTACTTAGTCTTGCTAGGCCTCAATGTTTAGCTTTTTTTTTGTGATAAAAAATTGTTTATTTTAGTCATTTTTGAGGGTTTCTAGCAAGTTTCTAGTATCTTTGAATAGCAAGTTATAGAAAAAAGGAATTACATATGTATGAAAATCATTATTAATAAATCGGCCGAGAGCGTTTGTATGGAAGAAACATTGCCCGCCTCCCCTCTTAATATTCTCACTGCTGGGTTACATACGGCCTTGCTCTAAGCATACGGCCAAATGAAAGAGGGAGAACGGGGCAAATTATTTGGGGAGAGAACGGATTAACGATAAGTTTGACAATGGACCTGATTGTGGCATGATTATCTAAACTTAAAGCTTAATTTTAATTTTAGGCGTGCCAGAATTTCGCCAGTATCCAATCCAGTAATAATATAACAATGTACTTATTGGCACATATTTTGTAACACTCATCATCATCATCTTTATCAGCCTGTTATGGTCCCCATTGCTGGTGTATTTACGAACCTTTGGACGGAATGGGGAGTACGGGTTTAACATGACTCACTATTCAGGCCCAGTGCCAATTGTTAGGTGCACAAACAATTGCAGATGGAGTCGACTCGACGCGACGGCTTATTAACGTGTCTTCTGAAGCATAGATGAAATCTATCGCCAAAGCGCGATCGCAGATCGAACGCTCTAACCACTGCCCTCTTTTTAATAATAATGTTTACCCTCAAATAACGCATTCGAATAGGCGGTACTTCCCAACTAGCAAAGTAACCTTATAACGCAAGAGTAATAAGAATAAAACTAGCAAACCAGTGAACCAAATGTTCAACAAAACCTGATTAAAAAAAATGTATTTAATTAATTGAGAACTTCGGAGATTTTGTGTGGTTTCGTTTGAAATTCGTGATTTCTCGAAAACCGGAAGTGCTACGTTACTCAAATCCGGTTTGTAGTCTTATCAGACTATTCTTAAGTTATAACTTAAACATTCTCTTTATCTATCTCTTACGGTTTGGCCGCTGAAACAGCACCACAGACAGACGGACGGACGGACTTGTCTAATAGATAAGAGATTCTTATAGATATGTTATTAAAGCATTACTTTTACCATTTTCCTTATAAACGCAAGCTAAGTATAAGTATTTTTGAATAATAAGGTATATTGAACTTATTATTGAGATATATAAGTTTTTATAAAACCAATTTATATGGCTTTAAAAAAACACATAGGTATATATAAGAATTTCAAAGGGTGTTTAGTCATATAATATATTTGTCATATAGTGGTTTTCGTCACATAATATTTGTTTGATTAATAAAGCTGTAATAAAACTAAAGACCTTGTATTGGCAAATAAAATAACTTCTATATAATATTTGCTAAATGGTAAATTATATATTTTTATAAGGGTTCATTATTTTAGACTGCCTTTATATGATATTTAAAAGGTTTTTATTCCTATCTTACTCTTATTTATGGCTTAACAGCAAGTATTAATAATAATAGCGTAATTTAATTGTGCGGATTCCAAAATGGATTTAAAAGAATGGAAAAAGATTAAGCGTAATGGAAGTTACAGACGTAAGGTGAAAATGAGATACGAGTCTATGCTGCCGCCTAATACTCGAACTATAACTGCGACAAATTATTACTTATTTATAATATACTTATTCAATTTAAAAAAATATATTTTGCTTCAGATAAGGGAACCCTAAACTCGCATTCAATAATATGGTGGACCAAATGCCTCCTGACTTCTTTTCAATGTTATATAGAAGTAATAGAAATGCAAATCGTACTTATAATAAGATTTTTTTAAATTTACAATGTTAAAAATAAAGAAATGAAAGGGCGCATTAAAAAATGACATAAAACTTACTTATGTTTACGATGTATAATCTGTCCCAGGTAGATTTTTGTATAAAATTCCAAAAGACAGTAAAAAGGACATTGTTCAGCGTCCATACATAGTTAGCCTAAGAACCAACAATCATTAAATATTATTTTCTAGGTTCAAAATCGTAAGTAAATGACTGTAAAAATAAAGATTATTGACGGACACTTCTGAGAACTTAAATTATTAGGAAAACTAAATATTTTTTGAGGTTATGTTTAATAGGTCAACCTATGAACTTAGTATAAACTCGGTATCAAGTGAATTACTATTACAACTAATTCATTTTATTCGGTGCGATTTTAAAGAATAACTAGGTATTAGGAAAAACTTGGTTCGGTAGAATCATGAATAAAATAGAAACTGTAGTTTTGCTTCTTATTTATTGACTGTTTTTCGCATAATTGTATCATCACCATCACCCCCACCATCAGCCTATTAATGTCCCCACTGCTGGGGCACAGGCCTTCCCTATGGATGGAATAGGGAGATTGGGCCATGACCCACCACGCGGGCCCAATGCGGATTGGCGGGTGCTAACGACTGCAGATGCAGCCGGGACCAACGGCTTAACGTGCCTTCCGAAGCACGGAGGAACGCGAGATAGAAGATTTTTGGTCACCCATCCAATGACCGACCACTGCGAAAGTTGCTTAAATTCAACGATCGCAGCCGAACGCGCTAACCACTTGCGCCATGGAGCTCCTCAATAATGTATCATATTGCTATAATTGTATCATAACTGCCATAATTGTATCATATTGTATTTATTTGTATATCACATGCATATTGTGTAAATATGCACGTGAATGTGTATCAGGTGTTCTTGAATAATTTGGCAGTATGATCCTCTCAGGATGTCGTGGCACAGGTTCACTGGCACTTGGTAATAAGGGTTCTGCTCATTGGTAACATCGATGGCATATTAGATAGCCGAAAGACCTAGTTAAATTAAAGGAAAAACAATCGCAAATAAACACACTCAACAGGTAATCCGAAACGAGAATGCACTTTCCGGTACCATGGACGTAATAACCTTTTTTTATACGTCCTTGCCGGTACCTATATTAAACTACTCTTTGGAAATGTATGGAATGCACGAATGCCACAGATTACTACGAATACAAACTGCCTGCACCACTGCACCACAACCACAGAGTAACGAGTTTTAAGCCGGCCCTTCACTTGACAACAGTTTGTCCTTGTCATGCTTAATAAGGAATGAAAAGGACAGACTGATGTCATGATTTAAAATAGCAAATTCGAATAGCCAAGTGAAGTGCCGGCATTAGGAAGAAAGAGTGTTTTGTTTGCAGCGCTGTCATAGATTATACACATAAAATGGTATTTATTGTCTCAGATTATTTTTTAACTTTTTAATTTAGCTTACTTAACTGGAAGTGTCCGTCACAATCTAAATACTGATAATTATCGCAAAAAATATACTAAGAATTATCATAAATGCCAAATTGGTGTTGGTTCTTAGGCCAATTTTAACATTGTCCTTTTCGCCATTAATCACATACACTTATTTAATTGCTGAACTTGTAACTTGTGTGAAGAAGTAAACTTGTAGTATTTTTATTTTAGTTTTGTTTCTATAAATACCAAAACCTTATTGTAGAATTTCGAAACCTAATTTTAAGACTGATTTTATAATAGCAAGTTCATCGCGCATAATAAGGGTAATTGGACATATAAAATGCATGTTCCTTACTAGTATATGTCTAATTAGCACCGTGAAAGCTATTTTATAGTAATTATAAGTAGAAATGACACATAATATGGCAACTTTAAAACAACTATAAGGATGTCACCCTTATAATTTGTGCCAAAACACGGTCATATAAGCCGTGATATGTCTACTACAAGGGCATTAATTTTAGCTTTATCGACCTTTAAAAGACCAGTTTTTGCTAGTTGGGTTGTTAGTACGGGGCCTCACGCAAGTTTTTTTTTCTTCGGGTCCCACGGGTTGGACCTCCGTGACGGACGTCCGTTCCGTGCTCCCGCTTAGGGGAGCGGATGCCATTAATTTTGCGTTGGATTTGGTGCAGGTTCGCAAGGTGAGGATCCCTGGAGGCTCCAGGATCCTCACCTGAAACAATACTCTCTTCTGCAGCACCAGCTATCTTTGTGACTGACTACACTTACATTACATTTGAAATCGAGTGAGTGGGTTATTGTAATTTGCTGCGCCTAGTATAAATCAATTACATACGCATATATTTACAACGTTAGGTTGTCATGGCGGGCTCTCAGATGAAAATAAGGGCGGGCTCCTGTTTTTTTTAGCTATGTACAGTAATAAAGTAATAAAAAAAGTATTTAAGACAAAATTTCGGTAAATATATTAGAAACATTATTAAGTAGGTACCTAAATAAGTATGTATACCTACTTACTGTCCTTATGATAAATTATCTCTATCCTCTTGTTTACTTCAAACTCTTATGATAAAACTGGTCATCCGAATGCAAATAATATGTCACGAAAGGTCTATCTATTATCTACTTTACTTAATTAGCAAATAGAAGAAAATTAAAATAGTAATAATAAATATTTCCAACAGTCGCACGCACCACTTAGCCTAGCCCCGAAGTAAGGACTGAAGGCTTGTGTTATGGGATACTAGGGCAACGGATAGAATACATACATACACTGATACTTATATAAGTATATTCATAAAGAAGTACATATTAAACATCCATGACTGGAGTACAAAATCATGTAAAAATTGTGTCACGTCTCACGTGGATATCTGGCAGTGCAACACACAACGTTACGTAAAGCACATTTTGGCGTATTCTTTAAGAATATGTGAGTCGCTTTAACATGGAACAATAAACAGACTAGGTAGGTAAATCAGAAGGGAATCAATATTATATATATATATATATATATTATTATTAATTATTATATGACTGTAAACCAGGAGTAGAGAAGAGACATTACCAGTACTGACGAGAATTTGTTTTTGCACGATTGTTAATGAAGAAATAGCAAAATAGCATAGACTAATGACAAGTCGCTATCGCAGATGAGGAGCTGGCAAACAAAACGGTATAATTACATAAAATTGAATTTTATAGGAGCTGTATAAAATTGGATGACATACCTCCAGTGAGTGAGAAAATTATTTGAGATTCAAATTCAACGCGCTCGAAACCTCCGGACTGTTAAAATAAATACTTTTGATAGGCCTTCACAATGCAGTCGTTAGCACCCACTAAATAGAGATTCTATTTCTATTTCGTTGGTAGATTTTCTTAATGTGCGGTAAACACAAAAGTAACAGCATGAAGTTGGTCGCTTTAGCGACCAAATTCATGAGCGAACAAATTTTGTGTTACAGTGTATTAGCGAACAAATTTTGTGTTACAGTGATGCGCGCGAATCTTAAAATTTCACTCTCATCATTTTTTCATAACGCGCCTAAAGAAGTATAACTTCAAAAAAAGGAGTTTGAGGAGATGCGTAATGATACCGTTTGGTTCGCCAGTTCCTCAGATGCAAATCGCTGTCGATATAAATTGGAAACCTGTATAATAAGAAACCTATATAATCCCATCGAATTCTTATACACTTATTAGAAATTATTTTTTCTTTCAGTGCGCTTGTTGTCGAAAGATAACAAGTCGACATTCATCGGATACACAATAGGTCTTCGCGAAGACGAGGCATACAATGAGAAGAACCCCCGGAGGCCAAAGCACCTGAAGCCTGGTAGGCTGCAGCCTTCTCCGGATTCCCACGAGGGCAAGACCCGCCCGTACTGCAACAACACCGTCATACATTCCGATATTACACCTAAAACATCTGCCCAGGTAAATCATAGCATAATCATCATCTGACAGAAGCAATTATTACACCGCCCTATCAATTGGACCCTTACTCAGTCTGAAAGAAAAAGTCGTCTCGGTTGAACGTTGTTGTTATAACACCCGATGCATTTTAATCAATTTTTTATTTACTTGTTTAAATCCTTCGACACTTTTATCTTTATTTAAAGGGAAATATGTAAATGATCATCAAAAAAATATATAATTCTCACATAAATAAATACAATTTAGTAACTTAAAGATTATATTAGGTTACCAATTGTATTTTTTGAGGATCAATTACTATTTTTTACTGATCATTTAAATATATGCCTTATCTAAATAGTTCTTGATTTCTTATTACCACAAAAATTAAAGATCTTAATGAAAGTTAAGTAATACTTCATTAGATGCCATCGCGCTCATAAACTACAAAAACGTTCGCACTATACGCTCTCAGAGCGTCGACTGAGCTCCCTTACTGCCTAACAGCAACAGCTATTTCACTACCCGATCTTCAGGGAGATCGGGTCGCGCCGATCGCCCTAGTTCAGGTCCTTTACTCACTAACTCATATTACACCATCCTTAGTCAGAGTAAGAGTCCCTTAAAATTGGGTAGTCTAATAGGCGCAAAACTACTAACACCCCCAATGCACGGGCACAGGCCTTCCTTATGGACGGAGTTGCGAGAACAGACCATCAAGCACCACTCTGTTCCGGGGCAGATTAGTGCTAACAACTGCAGATACTGCAGGAGCCAGGTCTAAACTTACGCCCTAGAAACGAAAAAGCTATAAAGATAACGAATAACATTCTTCCCCCTTCCGATGACTTTCTAAAAGTTGCTTAGCCTCTGGGCTTCACCGCCCTGCTACTCTATCGAGCTGCTCATATCAAGCTATAAAATAAAATAAGTTGGGTTATACTTGGTTATCGTTTAGTTTAGTATTGTATTGCGTGGTAACAAGGAACTAATTAACTTTGCTATGTTAATTTGGCTGTACACTTCTAGGCTTTATGGATTGCGCCGGACAAAGGTAGCCACTGCGTCACCATATACGCTATCGTGGCGGTGAAGCCTGACGTGTGGTACAACTACGAGGGGCCGTTGTCGAAGCGCGTCTGCGAGGACATCAGGAACGCTGACGATATTCTGCCAACACAGAATGACGACTGCCAAGTTTGTGAAGAGGCCAGATATCAGGTATTTGTAATGTTGCAAATGCGATTTTAGAGGTATAGTAAGTGAGTCAGTTTTGGAATCTATTACTATAATATTTTTTACTCTTTGCTCTTTATTACTGTTCTGGTATTATTGTATTAATTCTCTAGTTTACTTCTATTTTTTGCAATCTGAAATAAGTTACTATTTAATAATTAAATATGTACCTACTTTTTTCTATGGGCAATATTTTCAGATATAATTAGTTTGCTGACGTACTTTTCTTTCACTTTGCCTTAGCTTTTAATTGTCCATGTTTTTCAAATTTATTAACCTAATGTATTTGCAGGTTTTGATTTTTTTTGTAAATAGGTAGCAAATGTTCGACTAATTACACTTAATGCATAATGATTACGTACTATCCATCAGCGCTTATTAGACCATAATCATAGCTTTCTTGCCTAACACAAAGCTCAAGTAGTAAAAATTATTCTAATACAATGCACTGACCAATTATGCTACCGCGGCCCTCACGGACCGCGTCGAAATTCCTTCTAGCTATTCTTAAGCTGCAAGGCAGCGCCATCTCTTCGCATTATAGGTAAACCCACAATGTCAAATGAATACTTTTACAAGTATTAAACATTTGAAAGAAGAAATAGCAATATAGTTATAATTTTTATTATTTTTAAAGCATGTAACTGCTTGATGTTTAAATCTAAAGAAATATAACTAGAAAAAATTCCACGCGGACCAGGCAGCAGACGGGACTCGAACCCGCACCCTTCGCAATCCGGGCGAATGCACTGACCAATTATGCTACCGCGGCCCTCACGGACCGCGTCGAAATTCCTTCTAGCTATTCTTAAGCTGCAAGGCAGCGCCATCTCTTCGCATTATAGGTAAACCCACAATGTCAAATGAATACTTTTACAAGTATTAAACATTTGAAAGAAGAAATAGCAATTATAGTTATAATTTTTATTATTTTTAAAGCATGTAACTGCTTGATGTTTAAATCTAAAGAAAATATAACTAGAAAAAATTCCACGCGGACCAGGCAGCAGACGGGACTCGAACCCGCACCCTTCGCAATCCGGGCGAATGCACTGACCAATTATGCTACCGCGGCCCTCACGGACCGCGTCGAAATTCCTTCTAGCTATTCTTAAGCTGCAAGGCAGCGCCATCTCTTCGCATTATAGGTAAACCCACAATGTCAAATGAATACTTTTACAAGTATTAAACATTTGAAAGAAGAAATAGCAATTATAGTTATAATTTTTATTATTTTTAAAGCATGTAACTGCTTGATGTTTAAATCTAAAGAAAATATAACTAGAAAAAATTCCACGCGGACCAGGCAGCAGACGGGACTCGAACCCGCACCCTTTGCAATCCGGGCGAATGCACTGACCAGTTATGCTACCGCGGCCCTCACGGACCGCGTCGAAATTCCTTCTAGCTATTCTTAAGCTGCAAGGCAGCGCCATCTCTTCGCATTATAGGTAAACCCACAATGTCAAATGAATACTTTTACAAGTATTAAAAATTCGAAAGAAGAAATAGCAATTATAGTTATAATTTTTATTATTTTAAAGCATGTAACTGCTTGATGTTTAAATCTAAAGAAAATATAACTAGAAAAAATTTCACGCGGACCAGGCAGCAGACGGGACTCGAACCCGCACCCTTCGCAATCCAGGCGAACACTGACCAATTATGCTACCGCGGCCCTCACGGACCGCGTCGAAATTCCTTCTAGCTATTCTTAAGCTGCAAGGCAGCGCCATCTCTTCGCATTATAGGTAAACCCACAATGTCAAATGAATACTTTTACAAGTATTAAACATTTGAAAGAAGAAATAGCAATTACAGTTATAATTTTTATTATTTTTAAAGCATGTAACTGCTTGATTGTGGGTTTACCTATAATGCGAAGAGATGGCGCTGCCTTGCAGCTTAAGAATAGCTAGAAGGAATTTCGACGCGGTCCGTGAGGGCCGCGGTAGCATAATTGGTCAGTGCATTCGCCTGGATTGCGAAGGGTGCGGGTTCGAGTCCCGTCTGCTGCCTGGTCCGCGTGGAATTTTTTCTAGTTATATTTTCTTTAGATTTAAACATCAAGCAGTTACATGCTTTAAAAATAATAAAAATTATAACTATAATTGCTATTTCTTCTTTCAAATGTTTAATACTTGTAAAAGTATTCATTTGACATTGTGGGTTTACCTATAATGCGAAGAGATGGCGCTGCCTTGCAGCTTAAGAATAGCTAGAAGGAATTTCGACGCGGTCCGTGAGGGCCGCGGTAGCATAACTGGTCAGTGCATTCGCCCGGATTGCAAAGGGTGCGGGTTCGAGTCCCGTCTGCTGCCTGGTCCGCGTGGAATTTTTTCTAGTTATATTTTCTTTAGATTTAAACATCAAGCAGTTACATGCTTTAAAAATAATAAAAATTATAAGTATAATTGCTATTTCTTCTTTCAAATGTTTAATACTTGTAAAAGTATTCATTTGACATTGTGGGTTTACCTATAATGCGAAGAGATGGCGCTGCCTTGCAGCTTAAGAATAGCTAGAAGGAATTTCGACGCGGTCCGTGAGGGCCGCGGTAGCATAATTGGTCAGTGCATTCGCCCGGATTGCGAAGGGTGCGGGTTCGAGTGCCGTCTGCTGCCTGGTCCGCGTGGAATTTTTTCTAGTTATATTTTCTTTAGTAAAAATTACTCAAATACATTTACATACCCTTGATTTTTGCATTTTCTTTCATTATATGTTATTATTTCAGCTGTTTATAATTACATATATGTGTGTTTTTTTATTGGTCAATAAAATGGTTCTCTCTCTCTTATTTCCCTAATGAAGTTTCTTTCTACAACTAAGTAAGCCAATATATTTAAAATTCTCAAAAAAATATTATTTAAAGCAATTACAGAGTAGGTACCTATTTAATTTATTATTATGCCGTTTATATCTTTGTCGATTTATTACATGTTGAATATAAATGCATGCACATACTTTTACTTATGCTCATTTAAAATAATGCAGTTATCGTGAGCACTTTGCACAGCCTGCCGCATTTATTACAGTCTTTAGAAAAAAAAGCAAACACATATGATCCAAGAGAATACATTAGCATGAAAAGTTCAATGGAATGAAATTCCTGACACTGGACATGCAACACATATTCCAACGGACCAAATACTGAGCCCGTCGGCACACAAGTTCCACAGCAGCTTCTGCACCCAAATGTACCCACTTCAACACGCATTGTTCTATTTTTCAGGCAATTACGGAAGAAATTGATTGATGAACCTCTGCTACCGCACTCATCTATCGCATCTATATATTGCTTGTTAAAAACAGTAAATTGTAATCTAATATATCAAACGCTTTGTTGTAATCAATAAATAATACTAATAGATACTTCTTCCTTATTTAAACTATCATTTTAACCCTGAGCTGTGTGAATATGAATGCCGTATGTACCTGTTTCTTTTAAACCAGAGTGAAGTGATTCAGCTTAATGTACCTACTATAGTGATATTTTATTTTATTTTTTAAGCATTTAACTGCTAAGTGTTTAAATGTCGAGAAAATTTTACTAGAAAAAATTCCACGGGGTCTAGGTAGCAGAAGAGGCTCGAACCTGCACCCTCCGCTATCCGGGCGGATGCACTGACCAATATGCTAACGCTACCATTATGTGGGTACTATGCGAAGAGATGGCGCTGCCTTACATCCTCAGAAATACTAAAAAAAAAATTGACACGGCCATTAGGCCCGCGGTAGGATAATGGTTAGTGCATCCCGGATAGCGGAGGGTTTTGAGTACCATCTGCTGCCTGGTCGGCTTTTCTAGTAAAATTTTCTTTAGATTTAATGTACTATACTTATCTCAGAATTCATTAGTTTGGTTCATTATAATTATAGCCTTTCTTATTATTTTGTTAATAATTCGTTCAAGGGGTCCATTATTCAAGGGCCAAGAGCAATCGTTCGGTCCCAAATTGGGTCGATGCAGGAATAGTAGATTGTTAACCGAGGGTGGAAAGAATCAATTCCCGAGGTATTTAGACGCCCGAGCGCAGCGAGGGCGGCTATAGTCCGAGTAGGAATTGATTCTTTTACCCGAGTTAAACACTGTACTTTTCATTTCGAATATGAGGAAAATAAAACTAGTTGTTTAACAAAAATATTTATTCATAAATAGTTATATATATACCATAAAATTAGAAATAGCTATTTAAAATTAATTATCATATTAGGACAATTACTGAAATTAAAAGTAACATTCTTGTTTGAAGCTATGCTGTTTGATATACTATTACAAATTTGGCTGTTTTGGATATCTGTAAAAGTAGGACACTCTGTTATTTCATCAAACGATGGATTCCATGGCGGATACTCCCTGGAAGTTGTCTGCTGAGGCGAATTGTAGGAGCCTGTAGTTTGCTAGACAGTCCATTAAAATATGTAAGAAATACACTTTCGGAAAACGATTTTAGGATATACTGTACTTCCAGGGCCCAAAAGTAAAAACTTCAGTTTTGTTGGTTGTAATTTCGCATTTTTGTTGTTAAAAAGGTTTCTGTTAACCACATTATTAAAAAAAAATGTCACACTTATGCACTGGTAGTTTTTTAGAAAAAAATATTAAAATTTTTTACTTTTCTTATCAAGTGGTCATACTTCACACTAGGTTAGGTTAGGTTAGTGTTGTGACCATAACGCGCGAGCCGAGCGAGCAAAGCGAGCGTGCCGCGGCAGCGGCCGGCGAAGCGCCAGAAAAAAAAAACTGTTAAGACCTTTTCTACAAAAAAAACAAGTATCACCTTTTGGGCCCTGAAAGTACAGTTTTACCCGATTTTATATTCTTCTCTGCTCACCACTTTATAAAATCATTGTATGTATTTATATATCTCTTTTTTAACATTTCTGGCAAAATATTCTCTATAACACAATTTGCCTCGTCTTTAATTGAATCCGGTGTCAACATTTCTGAATCGCTTGAACTCATTTTTAATATTCAAAGTTGGATTGCTCTGTTTTACTTAAAAGATTATTATTACTATTTTTTTATTCCATCACATAACAGATGCATAACAGTTTAGTATCCCGCCAATTTATGTCGACTTTTTAAATTTAAATATGGAACAGCGTAATTGCAGCGGCTTATTCCGCTCAAAGAAGTTTGTGCTAAGTTCACACTGGCTGTTTAGAAACTCACATGGCGGCAGCATTTTTTTTTTACAAATATCTTCACGCCTGACAGTAGTTCTATTTTTAAAGTTCATTCCGGCCCTTAGGCGGGAAGTAATTTGTATGAGTTTTTCCCTCTCTAGAGAGGGAAGCAGCATTTTCCACCCAACAAACAGATCAAAACAACACCACTTTCCGAGAATGAGAAATGAAAACGAACTTTTCTATACTCCTGTCAGTATTGCTGTTGTATTAAATATCAACAGAGATTATAATATTACTTAGCAAAAAGGTCGATATTTCTATGAATATCGATCTCCACATCCACAGTCATCAACAATCAATAATATCAACATCCACTTTCTATTTTTATTTGTCATTAAAAATTAATAGAAAGGTAATGACACCATGAAATAAATATTGTAATAAAACATCATGTTAGAGAAAAAGAGGAGTTGTTTTGGAATTGACTTAAAAAACAACATCGATTCCGATATTTTTGAATTAGAAGTTATCAAGCTGGAAGGCACAGAACCCATAAGGCACAAGGTAAACCGAGTGGGGCAGTCTTTTTGAGCGCGAGTTATATAGATCATTGTCAATATATATATAGGATTTCTTGCCTTCTGTGCTGCGCCTTAATGTAGGAAACTAAACAATTATACCGTTCTTTCATAAGTTAACCTTCGAAGGCCTATGGTCTTACAACACGCACTCTAACGCGTTTCCGAAGACACAAGAACTAGCTCGGTTCAGCGAGGTGGTCGGGGCATCCCACAGTAAATACTTCAGCGTGTACAAGTACAACACGGAGGCTAGCGCTGGCATCAAAATGTTAGCTGAACAGGGCAACACCACGGTACTCGAAATGGAAATCCAGGACAAGGTAGGTTCAACCATCGAACTATAACTTTACCTGAACTCCAACAGGAGTGAATAAATCTATAAATTGGACAATTCCAAGGTGCGATTTTTTCCACGCATCAAAATAATTCTCCTCTACTGAGGGTAGCTACTACGGAATGAAGGTCCGGAGCAAAAATTTAAACCCGTGATTTTTGGGACTACCTGTTAAAGGAACCGGGACTTTCAGATCTTTCGGGATTTTCAGGACTCATAAAAATCATGATTTTCCTTATGTTACGAGTATTATTATGATATCAGCCTTCGCTCCTTGCTATGTTTTCATGTCGGTCCTTCTCTTGCATTTTCCCTTATTTCTTATTCTATCAATTAGAAAAACGACCTTAATCTTTCCGTTTTGCTTCCGTATACTGACGACACACACAGTTTTCACGTAGTTTCTCATAGATTCAATTAGAGATCCCGTATACGTAGTGGTCAACAACTTCGAGTGTAGTATTACCAATTTTAACAGAAGTGGGTTCTCAATGTATACAGATCTTTCAAGGTCTCAGTTATAAGAACTACATCATTGAAACGAAGGATTTTAAGCTGATGTTGATGCCAAGTCCATTCTATTTCAGAAACTTGTAAATATCATAAAACATAGTGGACAGTTTCGGGGATGTTTAATCCCCCTGTTTCATGCGTCTTTGCAGTTGGATAGGATTTGAGCTCTGGTTCTCTGACATACTGGTGTTCTATATAGCTTGTTCGGGGTTGGAAGTCTTCAAACATCAGAATTGGTATTTAGTAGATAGTTCTTCAAAAGAGTCTTGCCACTCCTTTTTGAAGAACAGGGCTACCTCACTTATGTTGCATGCTTTTAGCGTTGTCTTCCAGGATAATGAGACTTTTGGAAAACTTTGAGTATCGAATTACTTTAACCTCAGTGTCAACAGATGCTAGCGTAGATAAATACCGCCCATAGAAAGTCTCAACCACCATAAGGATTCCAGTTTTATATGGAGTAATTTTAAAATCAGTCTGTTTTTCTTCAAAATAGTTATCACGCAACAAAATCAAAGTTGCAAAAAATGGATGAGAGTAGCACCAAGAGTGTGGCGGATCACGCCACTCGGTAGATGACTCCCTTGTCACCTACGAGTACCTTTGTTCGCGGTCTAGTAAACTTGAACTACCGGGGAATAGGAAATCGTTAGTGCACATGATTTTGCAATGGATAGGTATAATAAATTTATCGGTTTTTATTAGTCCCGAAAGTAACGAAAGTACCGAAACTAGGTTTTCAGTCCCGTGAATTTTATTAATCGCATTCCCTAGTAACACACATAAGCGGGCATTAATCGGCACAGCCGGGTGGTAAAATCGGATATGTAGATAATTAATGTTGTTCGGTATAACAAGTGCAGTAATTACTTCGGGTCGGCTTTGTTGTTCGACGAATACTGCCGAACCGACTATGCCGTCCCGATTATGTGTGTTGTGTGTACCCTTAGGCGTCAAAGCTTAACGAGTCCTGTCAGACATGACTTGTCATTCTCTATACAGAATGAAAAGGAGAGATTGATGTTAAATTTAGTTTTGAGTTTAGAGAATCACGTCAGAATTGACACCACTATAGTAGGGTTGGCAACCCTATGTCAGACAAACGGACAGACATGCTGGCAAACAGTGCATTTATAATAGATACCTAACCTAGAAAAGGTATAATAGGTACACATTTACTAAAAGATCCATAAAATATACCTATATGGATTATTATAAAATGGATGTTATACATGAATGTACGTATATGTAAAGATATACTTACAAATTATAGGCATACTTAATGCCTATTCCCAACTGGGTTTGTATGTATTGAATCCATAGTCCATCAATGAGCCAATTTTAGGTCCTAGGTCGACATTTCAAGTTCAGATATATTGGCACTTTAAAACATCTATTTCTTCTAAATCTCCCAATCGACAGGATTGGTTCATAATCTTTTCCATGTTAGTCACTATCACTACATCTTTCAGGCTGATGATTAGTATATTTTCTTTCATGACATCCCAAGTTGGGCCACGGCGGTGTCCGCACGGTTGTAAAGGCCACTGCACCAGCTAAAACCAACATGTCGACCGTAACCAGTTTCCGCGCGAACAAGGAGAACCATCTGGTTTCCTTAGTGACGGGCATAATGCCGTCCCCCGATTGGTTTCTCGGAATGGCCAATTTGGAACTGTGCGAGTTCAAAACGGGACAATGGGCCAAGACTGTGAAGCTGAATCTGTATCCATTGGACGCTGGGACCGACAGCGGCAAAGACTTTGAGGTAATTAAGGATTTTCTTCATTTGGAAAGAAAAAAAACCGACTATCTAAAAGGTACCTAGTCTGATTGTAAACGATTACTATTATAAGCTGTGGACAGAAGGCTAAGAACTCTTGGAGGGGTTTTTATCGCACCGGTCGAGGGCGGCCGCAGAACTGTTTTATTTCAAAACTCACGCGACTGCAGTTTTCTGCCGTCCCGCGGGCGCACGCAGAGGGTACCGCAAAAACCTGCGCACTCTGAGGGTGCAAATCGTGCCCTTCGTTTAGCTTTTGCGTTTGCATACAATTTTTAATAGCATTGATCAAGATCATTATCGAAACCCTATAAGCAGGTTAAGGTAATTTTGTGCTAATGATAAATAACGAGATGTATACCTACGCTGCTAAATCATATTGGCACTACGAAAATGCCATATGATATGACCCGGGCACTCAATGAGTTTTTTTGTAATATGTCTACAGTCTTCGAACGATGGGACATCACCGCCACAGCCGATTACATCAGCTGCCATAGCTAAAGGGGAAAAGGTGAAAGCTTTCGCAAGAGTTATAGTGGATTTGATTCGCACATACCCGAATCCCAACTGCACTGAGAATACTTCGTCTACGCTTAGTTATGACGAAGGTAACTAACTCATTTTTGACTTTATTTTATTGTATTTACTAGGTATATTATTTTTTTTACCTTTGCATTTGAATATAGATTTTTTTTTACATTGAAATAGAAATAGAACGTTCGTCGGTATGATGATATTGATTATATACATATGTAGCCACGTGAATTCAAGTTATGAAAAGTTGCCAAACGAAAACTTTCTAACCAAGAATGTCCCAGTCTCAAAATCTATATAAAATCGACTATGGGCAATTGGGAACTACTGAATACGGGCGAATCTGCGTGGTCGTTTTTTTAGACCGGTCTTATTTTAATAGTATGTATTCTAAATATTGTCGAGTCTGAGTAAAATGGATGGACTGTGACCAAGTTAAGTATTGAAATGCTGATGATTATAGATTGGTACACTCGCGGAAAGAACCGCTCTGTCACCCATAATGCCATAATCGCTTGCGATAGAGGCGTAGTAAAAATTCATTCATAGACATGTAATTATCGCTGTCTTACTTTTTCGAAAAGTGCTGTCTTGGTGCTGTCGCGATCACGATGCGGATGACAAATTGCAACTAAAACAAATGCAATTCAATTCATTATTCAATCAATGAAATGCTCTCTGTCTTACTTTTGTGCGGCGGCCCGGATTCGCGCGTCCGACGCGAAGGCGGGGCGTAGTAAAAACTACTGTAGAAAACCGTTCAAAGCATTTTGTTCGCCAAGTGACTACCGACCACTATAGTACCATATAACTATAATGCAATCAAATTTGTGTATCTGAGAACCCTATAAAACTATTTATTTTCAGGTGCAACCGATGAACCTCAAGAAAACGGCGATAATATCCCAGTACAACCGGGAATTTTTGAACCTTACACAACTCCGAAAAGGTAAAGTTTTATGACTAAAGTTATCTTAAAGAATGGGAGATTAGTTTCCAGGACCCTAATCCTTTTAATAATGTACGAAGCATAGGTAATGCAGTGTTTTGACCCTGTTCTAGAAGAACCTATCGAAACACCCTGCCAATATATTTCAGGACACATCTATCAGCCCAATTTTCAACGGTCTGTAACAAAAATATTTCTCAACCTAGCATAGGTTGAGAAATATTAATATAGGAATTTTAAAAAACACACACGAAAAAGATGGTTATAATGAGCTTCAAAATTGCGTAAAAACTTTCTGCTCAATGTAACATTTATTTTTAGCTAGGGACCGTCAAAATTTAAAATGTTAGGTGGGTTGATAGATATACATACCGTAATGTATTAACAACTAGAACACTCGTGTCAGCAGCAGCAGCAGTTGACCTGATATACGATATAAGTGTTGAGGAAGTGGATCGTAGAAAGGAAAGACAATCAGCTTTACGAGATTTAGTTTATGTAGTCCCAATCACATTACATTTTTTTATAGGTATAGACCGTTGACGTATTTAGCAAAAGTCCTAGAATGAAGTAACGGTGACATAGAGAACAGGCCATCGAGTCGCGCTAACAAGAAGGTTTTACATAAAATCATAACTTCAACACACCTCCTTGATTTTATAGAAAACAACAAAAACAACTTAATACCAATATAACAACTTAACATAATAAATAAATCACTTAACAAAAGACTATCTGTCATTAACATTTCATTTGACATTTGCTAGTTCTCTAAGTTTTATAAATTTATTTTTTCCTAATGCCTTGGTCAAAATATCCGCTAATTGTTTTTCTGTATGAACCTTTACTATATTAATAATACCCTTTTTCTCATAGTCATATACGAAGTGGTAGCTTATGTCAATATGCTTAGAATTTTTACAAAACTTTCCGTTCTTTGACAACGCAATAGCCCCGCTGTTGTCTTCGTAAATTTTTACTGGATCCCTAATCTCAACGCCTAAATCGCGTAACACACCTATTAACGGAAGTACTTCTTCAACACAGTCTGCCAAAGCATAATACTCGGCATGAGTTGATGCTCTTGACACTATTTTCTGTTTATGTGACTTCCACATGATCGGATTATTAAAAACTCTTATAAGGATTCCTGTCGTCGACTTCCTATCCGATTTATCTGCGGCCCAATCAGCATCTACATAAGCGTCCAATTGTTCTTCGTAGTCGGCGTCATAATTCATCTTTAAATGTCTCGTACAGTAAAGATATTTGAGAACTCGCAAGGCATATTTGAAATGAGTATCACTATAAGCATTTTGGAAACGACTCAAATAGTTAACGCTATAAGATACGTCTGGACGTGTTCCACTCGCAACATACAGAAGAGCTCCAATCAAGTTTCTATACTTTAACGTTGCACTGACATCTTGACTTGGATCAATGCTTAAATTCATTTCCATTGGTGTCTCAAAGTTCTTTGATTCGATTACGTTATACTTTTCAGCTAAACTTACAATGTATTTTTCCTGGCTTAAAGTCATTCTGCCTTCTTTTGGTTCAAAAACTACATCTATTCCAAGATACTGTTTCACCTTTCCCAGATCTTTCATTCGGAATCTATTGTTCAATAGCCGTTTAACTTCGTCAATTGCCTCATTTTTCTCCCCACAAATCAAAATATCATCCACATACAGACATAGATATATATTTACATTATTTACACACCCTGTATACAAACAATAGTCATAGTCTGACCTATTGAAATTAATGCTTGACATGAATTCGTGAAAGCATTCATACCAATCACGTGGGCTTTCTCGCAATCCATAAAGAGCTTTTTGTAGTTTGCACACTTTATTATTCTCTGTACAATATCCATCAGGTGGGTAAATATAAACTTCAGACTTAATACTCCCATTCAAGAATGCTGTCTCAACGTCCATTTGTTCAATGTTCCATCCTCTTACACATGCAATTGATAATAAAGCTTTCATTGTCGTCATTCGCGCTACTGGTGAATAAATTTCCTCGTTTTCTTCATACATCTGTTGGAAACCTCGTGCGACTACTCTTGCCTTATACTTTCCATTCGACTTGATCCTAAAGATCCATTTAACATCTATTATTTTCTTATTTTCAGGTCTCTCAACTAAAATCCACGTTTCGTTCTTTTCCAAACTGTTCAATTCCTCTTTCATTGCATCTTTCCATTTATTTACATCCGGACTTTTTATTGCTTCATCATACGTATCTGGTACCAGTGCATCACTAAAATTTATATATACAACATGATCTTTATATTTCTCTGGCATTTTTCTATCTCTTTTTGGTCGGATATCCGTCACCTCCTCAGTCACAGCTCTACTTGATTTTTCCTTTGAGTCATCAACACTATCATAAAATTCTTCGTTTCTTCTTTCTTCCTATAATCTTTATTCTGTTCTTCTTTCGTACCTATAAATGTAACGTGACGACTAATGACTATTTTTTCATTTATTAATACTCTGTATCCCGTATCTGTGTATCCTACTAATATACCTTTTGTAGCCTTTGGGTTAAGTTTTGATGTGCGTAATTCGTCTGGAATTCGTACATAACACTGTGATCCGAAAATTTTTAAATTACTTACATTTGGCTTCCTCCCCATAAAAATTTCGTACGGTGTTTTTTTTCTCATACGTATTTGTTAATATTCTATTACCTAGATATGCTGCAGTCATAACGCATTCAGGCCAATATTTCTTATTTATCTTTGCTTCTGTAAGCAGACACCTCGCTCTCATTATGGTTCGGTTAAATCTTTCAGCTACACCGTTCAACTCGTGTGTATAAGCTGGCCCTGGTTTTAAATAAATACCTTTTTGCTTTGTGTAAGTGTAGAAATCGTTGTTAATATATTCTCCGCCATTGTCACATCTGATTTCTTTCACTCTCTTACCTGTTTGATTTTCCACCATATTTACATAATCTCTAAAACAATTAAAAACATCACTCTTGTTATTAATTAAGCATAGATAAGCTAACCTACTATAGTCATCTATGAATGACACAAAGTATCGTTGCCCCTTATATCCAGTGGGCGTAATCGGGCCTGCCACATCCGTGTGGATAATCTCTAACAAGTCTGTTGCCCGTCGTCTTTGATTTCCAAAAGGTAGATTTGTCATTTTGTTCATCAAACAAACTTCACATTGCACGTAACCCTCGCCTAAAGTGATAGGTAACCATCTACAACCCTATGCCTGCACATTTCATTTAGTTTCTTAAAGTTAGGCCCAAGTATTCTATGCCATTTTTCTTTTTCTGACATAATGTTACCACTTGTGTATGCTACTGTACCTGCACCTAAATTAACTCTGCCATCTAATTCGTACAATTTATTTTTCTTGCGTGCGACGGCCATTAAACCTATATGTACATTATATATATTTGCTATTTCTCCTCTAAATTGAATTGTATTATTTCTATTTACAATGCATGAAACGCTTAATAAGTTCTTTTTCATATTTGGAACATAATATACATTGAAACATCAATTTTATTTGACTTACCTCCTGCTTTACAGTACATTGTTACATTTCCTATTTTCTCCGACTTAAGACAAAATCCATCACCTACCTTAATATTCACAGGTGTTTCTAAAATTTTATAATCACGAAAGAATTTATCGTCATTTACGATGTGATCGCTACATCCGCTGTCCAATAACCATGTTATATCCGCTTTCGTTTCGGTAGCTCCTGTCATCGCTTCTACTTCTACGTTGAATCCAAATCCATCACTGGTGCTGCTACTTTGTCCTGTATTCACGCTTCTATTGTTGTATCCTCCTCTATATCCTCTGTGAGTTCCTCGTCGTCCGCCTCCATATCCGCGTCCTCTACCACGACCATGACCACGACGTGCTAACTTAGGACAATCCCTCCTGTAGTGTCCTGGCGGTTGCATTCAAAGCAGTTATCATTATTCCTGGACCCATCTTGGTGTTGATTTGATCGAGAACTGAACGTATGAGCTTCTTGTTCGTTCTGTTTTCTTTTCATTTCAAGTAGTAATTTGGACTTCACGTACTCCACTGTCCGATCCTTTGTCGGCATCGCATCAACAATATTTACAATATGTGCAAAACTCTCAGGTAATGCAAGCAATAAATAGTTCAGTCTATCCTCTTCCGACACGACTTCTCCAGCATTTTTCAATTCATTGATTTGTTTTTCAAATGTTTGTATGAATTCTAGTATATCGTCGCCATCTTTGAATTTTGTTTCTAGTACTTTCCTTTTAATTAATAATTTATTAGCACTGCCTTTTACTAAATACATCTCGTCAATTTTTTAATCATTTGGTAAGCCGTACTTCATTCATTATTATATCGAGCTGAGTATTATTTACGCTATTCACTATAATATTTCTTGCCTTTAAATCAATTTTTCTCCATTCCGTGTCTGTCATACCTTCATGTTTCATATCATTTTCCACAGCTTCTTGGCATTCTTTCATTTGTAACAACAAATTTAATCTAAATTTCCATTTTTCATAATTTGCACCATCAAATATCTGAATGCCCACTTCTCCTATCTTTACTTCCATTTTCGGTACCTTACGTCTTCAATTGTTTCGGTACTGACCTTTTCAAATAATTTCCACTTATCTTCCTCTTTCTATTTATTTTATTCAACAACGCTCCTTTGCTACCATGTTGAGGAAGTGGATCGTAGAAAGGAAAGACAATCAGCTCGTAATATTTAGTTTATGTAGTCCCAATCACATTACATTTTTTTATAGGTATTGGGATCTGACAAAATTCGTGAGACACCTGGTGTTCAATTTTGGAACTAATACCGGGGTGCATCGCTCATCAAAACACATAAGTTATCATTAGTGTCATTAGTACTTTTGAGAAATTAAACAAAAAATGACGGAAGAATTAGGAATATTTAACCCTCGCAAGATTTCTAAAAAAAGAATAAAGTGTTGTGTGTATGGATGTGGAAGCAGTT